TCAAAACTTACTTTCACTAGTCAAATTACAAAACTAAACAGCTGTTCAATTTTCCCTAGGTTTTTTTCCTTTGCTTTAAAACTCTACGGATTCGCGTAAACAAGTTCTATCTCACAGAGCATAAATGAAAGTAAAGTAAAACAGAAAATAATAACAAAAATAATAATATTAACCCTGTATTTTAATTCATAAACTAGATCCAATTTGATAAATATCAATTCTGATCAAGGGACCAAAAAGGCTACATAAAATGCAAGTGGAACCCGGTGAAAGTTAGTAAATGATTAGAAGAATGGTAGACTAGTGAAAACCTCCAAACAGTTTTTTAAAGCAAGAAATCAACTTGCATAGTTTTTTGAAATGAAAATAGAGGATTTTGTAATTTGTTACAAAATCATGTCTATATTTCTTAAACACAACAGATACTATCTTTAGATAAGTTTATATTACTTATTCTCAAGCTATTTTTTTATATAGTTTTTAGTAACTCATGTTCCCAACCAAATCACTGTTTCATAGTGCTATACTAGTAGTATGAAGTGTCAGACTTTCATCAAGACCTAGATTCACGGTCTTGCAGTTAACTGAACATGTTTGATTACAGTAACGTGTAATCAGGCAATTTTTATGCCTATCAGCGATACCAGTTCACTTCAGAGAAGATAGGGCCAGTTTGAATACGAAGAACTTTTCTTCTTTCTATACTTTCTGGTCGTTTGAAAGAGGAGTATTGCTATAAAGGCAACACTGAATAAATAGTCATACATCACCTGTGTGTTGCAAAGTCCCTTCTCAGTTATACAAATTAGATTTTTTTAAGTCCTTCAAAAAAAATATTAAGTCAGCTAGAACGAACTGGTATTCAGTAATGACTTGTATTGGAGAAGCCTCACCTGATGACGTCAGGTGGCGTTTCTGACAACAGTATTCTTTCCAGTAACACAGACCCACCACGTGGATGCTTTGCATGGAACCATTACTTCGAAAGTCTTGAATCTCTTGGTATAGATGAAGGTATAACTGCCCCCTGGAAGAACAGATGATCGCAACTCCTATGAACGTATTTGTTATCATAATGCCCCTCATGCGTCATATGCATAACTTTGGCACTCAAGCTTTCGCCTAACCCTTCATGACAGACACATAGGCACAAGCACTATATTTGCCATCCATCTACAGACCTGTTTTTTCATTAATTTAGGCCTGGTATTTTTATTTTAGGGTAGACTATTCCGCTAACGTCCTTTTTGATTCGAGCTCACGAGCATAGCCTTTGTATCTTACTACACACATAAATTACGTAGGCTGAGGACCATAAAGTTCATATAGACAAGCATCTACATATACCAGTCAGTACCTTAGGTTTTTGGATTTAAGCCTCGAAAAATCATGCTATCAGTTACTGTTAGGATATTCATTGAATATCCTAAAGAAATCATTGAGTCTAATTCTATTGGTCAATATTTAAGGTCATCCTAACATATTTTAACTGTTATTTCCTATCGGTTAGTATTCACGGTCGCCCTAACTGTGTTAATATGCATTGTCTGTAAAGTTTTATCATCCTTTTCCTTCTGCAAAAAACCTCGAATTTTCTGGGTGTTTGTAGAATACACTTTCTACGCCATATCAAGACTTCTTCAACCTAGCCGGTGCTTGGGACTCTCGGATGATAGTAGCCTATCGTGTCACTGCATCATTTGTCTTCGCTCTCGTTTACCGACTAAGGGGAACTCGTAACAGTTCAGGCATATCAACTGACGGCTATAACAGTTACAGCATTGGAAAAGGTAATAAATCCGATCTCCTTTGATCCCATAAGTTAGCTAAAACGGTTTGTCCCCATTACACAGCTGAACGTCAGTTAGGCCTTATGTTGGATTTTATATTACTCCAAAAATGTAATTACTCCTCTGTATAACCAGTCACCACATTTATATTTGTCTCTTCCATTGCTAGAATTATTCTCTATGAAGATTGTTAGCCTAATTTGTCTTAATTTACATCAAAACTAATGTTATGATTTACTGTGCTCTAGATCTGAATGAGATATGCTCTAATCCCTCAAACTGATTACTTGAGAGAAAAAGCAAGAGTGGAAGTATTTAGAAAATGAACACATTTCTTGACCAGTGATGTGCACTCGTCCTTTAGAATATTTCTGATAATCAACAAATGTCACTTTGATTTGACCACTTGTTTTCACTAACCAACTAGATAAACGGAACAGCATTTGTGATGTTTTGAAAAATGATGATAATTATAGGTTGGGATTTTCGATTTTTAGATGTATGGTATTAGGATATAGACCGTACTGACTGCGGTTCAAAAGCTATGAACTATGTGATGTTACGAAGTGCAACATAGACGATCACATGACTGCTCCCGATGAACCTGATGAATTTGTATGATTTGCCTTAGAACTGTGCCGCCTAAAACTTATCCAGAAAAACTTATTCCAGCAGGTGATAAACAAGTTGATAAAGCCAACCGAAACGCTAATGCGAAAGAATTTTTCCAAGTAACAACTAGTGTAGAATTGTGGAAACCAAATCAGGAAGCATGTTTAGTTGTTAACTGTTATGTTCACTAAAGACTTACATAAAATCCATTAAAAAAGTCCTGAAAGTAAATGGAAGTTCGAGAAGCAAATAAACTGGTCCATAGTTATTGACTTTTTTATATCTCGATCGTTTCAGTTAACGAAGCTGTACAAAAAATGCAGCTTATTTCACCAAACTGTCACAGACAACCAGATATCAGCACCGATTACTTGCTGGCTAAATTTAGGCGAGAACTACATCAAAAGTATCTGTGATAGACACAACCTAAGGGCATTTCGTCCTTTGGTAAGCGGTGGAATAGGTCATAAGTGAAAAGGGGTCCATAAGTCAAACTATATTCGCATACTCGGGCTGACGTTAATTTAGCTGCTAACAGCTCTCCAAATAAATAAAGCCATAAACATACTAAAATAATTAATTACGTATTTAAACAGAAACAGTAGTTTTCTTGACACCCAAGAATATCCGGGACATAACTTTCTATCTTCGAACGGAAAACTCTATTTCATAGCTAATTTATTGTCAACGCCTGTTCTAATCATAGAGATGAAATTGACGGAGAGTGGTGATCGCTTCACTCATACTGAGAATCTTATTAACACTGGTTGATGGAATTCCAGGCCGAACCCGTATCAACCAAAATATAAGAAACACTTCTCGTTGCATATCAAAATAGTAAATATTTATTCAGAAGCTTTCTTTGGCGGCTGTAAACTATTGTCACTAGAAATTTAGAATCTGAAGAGACTATGATCATTACATAGTCACAGCTGCCTCTAAAGCTGTACTCATCTATCGTGGAACTACGATATATCAATGCGAAGATTAACCGCGGAGTATTAAGTAGAGATGATAAATCTGTGAACTATAATTGACAAGAGTGGTCGAACTAAATCGAATGTAGCCTGATCAGCCAGCACAGACTGGATAATGACGAGGGGTAAGCAGACTAATTCATGAAACTAGTTGCATTCATTCGTTTACTGTTAAACAAATTACTGCTACATAGTTGTTGTCCGTCAACTTTACTTGTCCCTTCGAAACATTGTTTCGTATAATAAAATTTTTTGTACAACTGACATTATTAATTCAACTCTTGATTTTCATTTAGTTATACTTGAAAGTAAGTGTACAAAAAGTTAGATCACAATTTACTTAAGACTATGTAACTTCAGATTGATCAGACGCACCAGATGAAAACGAAGTAAATCAATTAAAAACTTAAGGAGTATATTAGTGACTAGACTGAAACAGATTTAGAGAAGAGGGAAAAACTGCTTTTTAAACCAAAAGCCTGAGATTGCATGAACACAACAATAAATGCAATTTTTTTTATAATAGTAACAATTAATAGTCTATATTATTTTAGTTGAATATTTTCTATGAAGGAGTGTCATCATTTGAGTATCGTAGGATGAATGATAGATCAATTATTTTTACTACTTATCACTTATTTAAATATCTTTTTAATTGATCGATAACAAAATGAGAAAAGTATTTTCAAAATCATTAAACAAGTTGATAATTAAATATTTTATAGTTTGACTAGATCACGAGATGTTTTGCATTCAAATCAATGACAAGCGTTTAAATGCAATTTATACACAAGATGCATACGAATGTGTTTAACACTGATGTACCATAGATCTAAAATTAATCAAAGAACCGACGGCTTAACGATCAACTAAGAGTTTACGTACAAGATTGGAAAGAAATCATAATGAATGTGCGAAAAAGGAAAATAGAGATCGGAATAGTATTGCACTCGTGAATGTAAATTAAACAAGAAACTGTTCAGAATGCAATCAAAGGATGAGGAATGATCAACCGGTTCCCTACAGCAGACGACGTGACACATCTATGATTCTCTTCAGGAGAGACCAGGAATAAGGTTTTGTGAACCCGAAACGTTAGCATAGCGGTGACAAAGGAATGAAAGAAGGGTTGGTCGTGGAGACAACGGAGTTATTAAATGGTGGATGAAGGATTAGATTGTAAGTTGATTTCGTGCGCTGTTACGGGTAAGAGGACGGATATCACTTCCCCATTGCTCATACTGTAGAACGGTATTTCTTGAGGAACCTAAACAAGAAGTTGGATTACTGTTGGTCTTAAAGACCTGAAAGTGTAGCTGGAGAGCCCAGAGGAAAACTGCTTAAGGCTTATCACGCACGGATTTTTTATACGGCGTTTTTGAAATGTTAGCTTCGCTTTTCAAAAAACCTTACCACCGGAAACGGAAATCAATGTGGTAAGGTGGAGTGACATTTTTAGTGTCGACGTTTTCTAACCCCTTCCTTCCTTATGAGAAGGCAGCATCGATGCGGATGCTGATTGACTCAGGGAAACACCTCATAGCTGCCACACCCCTCTACATTTAGCTGTACGACTTCGCCATCAGACCTTAGATGTCTATTGGAATGAAAGCAAAACAAAGATTATCAAAAGTAATTTATATACATCACAATCAAGGTAACAAATTTTTCCGATTGTCTTTCAACGGACGCCAAAATACAGGACATGTGTATCGACCATCTGTAATTCTCGGTAGAAATCCAGGAACAAGCCAACCAGTTTGATTTTCCAAAAGTTGAGTATCATATTGGATGTTAAGTTTTTCAGTTAAAACACTCAGTGGATTCAGAGTGTCCAAGTATGTTTCAGTGAGGTGTATTTTTTTGCATAGTTCTTCATTTTCACGGACGTATTTCACAGCCAATGAGTACTAAGATATTACAAAAGCATTACAAATATTAGAAAGCATCACAAAATTGAAGCAAGTAAATATTTCAGACTTTATATTTTGACTTTACACAAACTGAAATAATCATAAAATAGCAACAAAAAAACTATTAATTTGCTGTAGTTAACATTTATCCAAGATAAGCTTGCTAAGGTAGCGCCAGTTTTACATCATTACAATGATTACGATTAAAATAAACATATTTTAGGAAGACGTAATACTTTTTCCAGCTCATATTGGCAATAAAAATCTCAATAATAATGAGTCAAAATGAGAATGTCAACCAACTTCAGCGTGATAACAAAAATTGTTTCCTTTTTTTTACTCTTTCTTGTAGATTACCAGAAAACAAACTTCACTTGATCCCCAACCGTATATAATCATTATGTTTGATAATTCAGAATTTAGGTGTTTCACATTTGATGGAAATGTGAATCAAACCGATTTCCAACACAATAAGGTTTCTTTTTAATAAAATTTGATATAATAAAAATTTCGAAGGTAAAAAAAAACATAAATCTTCATCTTTGTAATGATAACGAAATACTTCAATGTGATATTACGCATGTAATTTTTGTTTCTAATGTGGTGGATACTACTTGCAACGTGGGTTCTATTGTAGCAAATAGCGGAGTGTAGCCCAGAAGTTACTACCGGAAAGAAGACTGTCAGATCTGAATGTATGGCGCGATCAAAGTGTTTTGAAGATCACAAGACATGGATGAGTAAGAAGATAGTCACTAATCTGCTTGTTTTGCAAATGGAAGTCTGATGATAAAGTGTACAAATTTTGTAAGTTAACAGTGTTTTTCCGAAATACACTGCTATTCCATTGGGTATGTACGTTTCGTCGTGGTATCGGACTCCAGAGTAGTGCACATGGGAACTGAACCAAAGACCTTTGATGTTGCGAGCTAGATCACTGAATCGGCATCCAACGGTGTTGATGTCCAACTTCAATCAATCTAGCTAAGAATAGTTCGTTATTTTAACTGTGAATATATAATACAATCTCCAAACGCTAACAATATCTTACTTTGACATGATATAGTTGAAGAAAACAAGCTGTCCAAGTACTATCCACAATTTGTATTTGCTTAAAATTACCAATAGAAATATTACAACTAGGATATTGATTGCGTACAATATTCAATGCTTCTTCTGTTAATGGAGGAGCATAACAAATACGTGGGGATTCGTTCAATGAAAATCGGACTAAATGGTTTACGAGAGTAGGAAATATTGATCCATGTAAGGATTTCATTATTTCTTCCGACAGATTATCACATGAAAATTTGTTCCTATTTTTTTATGAAATTAAAATAAAAAATAATTTAGTTCAGTGTTCCATAAAGATGATGTGTAATATTAAAACTGACTGAAGAGACATTTCATCAGAGATTTTTTTAAACAGAGATAATCTACTCACGAACAGTGAATGTGTTTTTTCATTGTAAATCGATGTCAGCTGACATCATGCATGCATGCATGCATGCAACACATTATCCATGTACAGGTTCGGATCCATAGACATACATACACACACTATCGGAGGGCTGGTAATAGAGATTAACAACTACGAATAAATGAAATAGGGTGATTAAGAATCAATTAATGTCGTAATAATCGGATAGATAAACTCTACTCTTACTCTCGTTAGGATTTATGAACAAGGAAGTGATAGTTCAATCGGATTTGATTCTACGGTTAAATTGGATTCTTTATTTAATATAATTTATAAAATCAAACTGTAAAGTGTCAAATGAGTGAGAATATTGTGTAAATTATTCAGATTAATAAATTGAAATTTACAAACTGTTAATTGATAAGTATAAAGTTGAACGCTACAATAATTGAAGAATAAAGATTTCCTATAATATCATCTATTGCAAATATTTTTAAGACTCATCTAATTAAAATGGTTTTCTGTGTGAAATTAAACTATCTCAAATAGTGTTGTAATTAGCCTTGCTTTACCTACTGATCTAATTCAGTTTATTATCATTTTAAAATGTACAGTCATTTTTTCTCACCCTGTTAATTGATATTAATTATCAATATCTGAAATTACATGCTTTAATTTGTGTATATGTTATCATAAAAAGCAAAAAAAAATCACAAGTGAGTTTTTGAACCTTAGTAATTAATTACAAACTGAATGTCAAATCATACGTTCACATATAAAATAATCAAAACGATACATTTGATTTTCTCACGATTGTTGTGCTTTCAACCTGATCAAATAAGTATAGGGTTGTGTAAATGTATGCTCTTTATGTGTCACGGCAGATAACTTGATGATGCTATAAGTTACCCGTAAACACGTTTAAATGACGATTTTATGGATGTTGTAAATTTTTCGAAGTTGAAAATGTAAACCATGTCGATCTTGTAGCCGTAGGACACGAATTCATCGTATTCAAACTTCTATGCTTTGTCGTCTGTATGGAGTGTTGAGTATATTTGAACTAAGACGAAACTGGTGGCCGATGATATTTTTATATTTTTTTTTTCAATTGAATTTAGTTATTGTTGAAATTTTCCTACTAATCACATCGAATTTACACTAAAAACCAACTAACTTAAAAAAAATAATTGGGCCATTTCGCTAAACGGTATTTCGCGTTTTATATCACTATCGTGTATGTTCTTAAGGAATTTTTCGACTTCTGAAAGCGATTTACCAGAATAAACGTTTGGAGAATTTCTGGATGACGCAACTCTTACCCACAGACCAATTTAACACAAAGTTATCTTATTTCAATTATAGATGGCTTTGTACCGTCTCTTTAAAAAAACTGCTGAACTAAAAATCCTTGTTTTTTATCAGTACGCAATAATAACCATATTGTATTAACTTAATGAGACAACTAAATATTTTACACAATGTCAATAAAGAGTGATATCTATGGAAAAGTAGTAGGAACAGGCTGTTTAGCCAGTCAAACGAAACATAGGACCTGGCACATGTGTACGCAATCTCAAGTTGTCGTGCCAATATGGAATAAATCTGTTACTTCAGCACTTCGTAGTAACTTTCTAGCCGAATTTTCAGAGTTAAAAACTGAATCTTTACTTCAAAGTTGGTTTATGAACGAAAACAGTAGTACTTATAAGCTGATCATTGATTTTAATAACTTGGAAATTTCTATGAGTACGTAGAATTTAGTAAAATAACAGGTAACCAGGATGCAACACAATCCATAGTTTTTAAGAAGTCTCCATTAAATGGTGATTAAATGAAACAGCTTTCAACTTTTTCCTGGCTTTCCCGATTAATTCTCAGACCTACGTGCAGCTGACAGTGAGGTGAAAAGGTGTGTTTCTTCTTCCATGGTTTATTTTATTCATCTTTTAGCACTTCTGTTTTCCAGACTGCCATCATTGGAATATATCAATGAGTTGTAGGATCCGTTTCCGGAGTTACTAATTCTTTCATTTTTATGGATTTGGTATAACATATAACACTGCTAATTCTTTTTTAATAGTTCCACGTTCTTATCGATTCATAACTTTAAAAACGCAACTTTTTATCCAACAGAGACTAGATGCTTCACAATTTGCTAGTCTATCGAACAAATGATAATAACAACATCTAAACAACTACCGACTTATGTGTAATCGTATAACACTTCACAGAAAACGACTGCACAGCATTCATGACAACTCAGTACTACCACCTATGACTTTTATCAATAACTGATAAGTGATTGAACTACAATTGAAACAAACCTAAACAAATACGATAGGAGAAACAGCAAGTGATGAGGACCTCGATTACAAAGTTGTATTACCACCCAACTTTACTTGCCAGAAAAAATGTAGTCCTGAGTTCCATATGGAGTGGATAATGCGCGCCGTCAAGAAGTTTCAAATTAAATTGAGATGGGTTTTCAGTAATACCTGGTGTACTCTGGATGATATCAAGTCCGTAGCTAAAAACTACTTGCACATAATTAAGACTATGGTATATCCAGAGAGAATAAAAGAGTATCAGCTAATCGAATGCTAAGAAACACTTTAGTATAATAAGGTTACTGCACTTGAATACAAAGAGTAGAGAAAAAGGAAACTGCTTTAATTTCTGATATTTCTACATCAGAAAAATGTGACAGAATTTAGTCAACACTAAGGACTAGGAAAACATGAATATCTTGGTCCTGCGAGCCAGTCTTGGCTCCAATAGCTCAGTAACAATGTCTAAACTGTGAAACTGGGTTTGATTCTATTGGGAAGCATCTGTTGCTTTACGACTGCAGATACACCTTGCTGAAGAGTGCAAACTAGCACAAAACATAAGTCCGGAAATTCCCAATACCTACCATCAACAAGCTGGTACTAGAGGAACGTAGCAGTGAAATGTGTGGATGATGAATGAACTACGAACAGTAAAAGCATTATGATCAAAACATATTATTTACCATAGCCACATTTCATTGTATTCCATTTCATGAGAACCAAAATCAGCATCAATACTAACTGACTCATCATCATCAGTTAGATTTTTCTCTGATCCGATTTTCTTTTCAGTAAGAAGTAATTCTCTTGTTAAGATAGTAGTCAATAGACCAGCACAACGACCAGTTAAATAATGTTCTCTTTTACTAAGGGATTTATCAACATCAATCGAATTATTAACAGCGATTTGGTAGAAAAGTTGCCCCAGGAAAATTATCACCGGCGAAATAAACAGTCGCGTTGATATACTAATGAATATTGTATTTAAATAAACAGAGAAAGTGGGAAATAAAACAGGTTACATCTATGGCAAGAGATGACAAATAGTAGTAAATAAGAAAATATTTGAGTCTTAAAACATTTTAAAGATTCCCATTGTTTAAATTAGAACACAACTTGTACTTTTACTTATTATGTGTAGTTATGTAGTCTATTTCATTGTGATCATTGACTCAAAAATTGCCTTAGTATATATATATATATATATATATATATATATGAATTGAAATGTATGTTCATAATTTGCGTATATATACGTTGAGAACGTATGAGTAACCAAAGTAACGGGAGATTAATAAATAGGTTGTTGCTATGAGAGAAAAAAATGAAGCTGGCGATTATTTAGTAGATTAATTCAAATCATTTTAGATATGACGTAACTCTGTGATGTAAATTATCTTCAAACCAAATAAATTTTAACCGACTACATGGAACTGCTTCGCAAGAAACTGTTGCCCGGATTAAGTGAAAAATAATCCAACAGACACTGTTGATAGAAAATGTTATTGTTGGTTAATACCATAAACTCAAAATGTTTTGTTGTTACAATCATTTTAGTCAATACAAAAAAACGACCATTGTCTCCAATATCAATACCAAAACCTACGTTTCAGCTAGAAATCAGGAATGAAAACAAAGGTATTCCGGTACGACAAGCACTAGAGACCAGATATCATATTTTATTTTATTTTACATGGGAAGATACATTTACAGAACATTAAAAGCAGTAGATTGATCTAGCGATCGCTATTTAGATTCATATGATTATGGGGTAAATAACAACGAAACAACAAAATGGTAAACTATGGACAAAAAGGTTAGCGTATAACTTAATTATGTGATATACTTTTAAAATACAATAAGTTAATGGCATAAACAGTAGCAACAACAGAAACTCACTCAACATTCCATTTAAAGCGATAAGGTGACAGCAAGTACAAATCAAATGAACGTAGCCAACAGCTTGTTTTATAGTAAAAATCTGTAGTTGTTGCGTTAGATAAATCAAAATAAGATAAATGACTAAACCATAGTTTGATTAGACGCTCTTGAGTATTCTCTGGTGGTGGCCACAAAAATGGAGAGTGGTAATTTGTTGCTGAACATTTAAATGAATAATATTCAATGTATGTGAATAGTTCGAAAGCTGACTGGTTAATTAGCTGAATCCAATACAATATTTGATTATTCAGATTACTCTTTGTAGAGGAATTACTACTTCCTAAAAAAACGCAATAAAAAACATATCAATTGCTTTCCTTGACACAAACACAGTGTGTACGTTAATTTTTAAATTTAAAGCGCAGGACAAACATTCGAATGTTATCTGCAAACATACAGGGCGACATATAGTATATTGAGACCAGTTCCTATTTAACAAGGTTTGGACAGTTATTTAGCAGTATAATAAAGCTTTATAGCTGGAAAATAAACTCGATGTTTGTACTAATGGGACTTTTTGATTGAAAAAAACTGAATGGTCCGACTCTAAATTTTTATAGTCAGTCAGTCATTCAGTTACAACATAGAACTTTGTACATGAGTACATAAGTTCATGTTGCCATACAGTATTAGCACAGAGATGCGACTGTCAGTTCAAATCCCATAGTAGTGGAAATTATCATAAGATTTTAGGCAAATCCAACTTACGAGTACCAACAAACACTAATCAAAGAGTTTGTATTTCATTTTATGACTTAAAATTATAATACGACTATACATAACCTACTCTTGATGGAATCAGTTGTTGAAGTTAGATGATCATCGTCAACGATAGTTGAACCACCGTAGTCATCATCGTTCTCATCATCATTATTAGTAACATCGGGAATAACACCATTTTTCAATTGACGTTTCAACTGTTTGTTTCTACGTTTACGTTCTTGTTTAAACTGTTTTCTAGTTACATTCATTGATTTTTGTCCATTGGATGAGTTTAAAAGAAATGCATAATTTTTAATTTGATTATTTCTGCTTTTTTGTGACTTTTGTTTATTACACTTTATGTACATAAGTAATGAAGAATCAGAAGATAATTGTAACGGGTATATTGAATAAAATTTGGCCAAAAAACGCTCCAATGATGTGGATATATCGGGTGAACTAAAAAACAAATTTGTTTTTAAAAAAACGACACAAAAAAACAATATCAATTTACACATTGTAAATAAATTTGAGCGAAAAGAAACAAGATTTTTGATTGAAAATTCTGAAGGAAAATCAGTCAGTCAATCGGTTACAACGTAGAACATCATACGTACGTAAATCAATCCAAATCGCTATACTACAATTGCACACAGAGGACAAATTTTCAATTCAAATCCTATGGAAGCAGAGGTCATAACAGTATTAGCGGTAATCGAAAAAATTAGGGATTGAAGATATGATTCAAGAAATATAATCCAGTGATATACATTTAGGAGATAGAATTCGAGATAAGACAAAAACTGAATGCATCTGCGTCATTGCAGACGATTTTGAACCACGTTAATTAAAGGCTCCAGCCTTCGATTACTATCGTCCGACGGACCCCAACCAGGTAGTCTACATCTACTAATATGGATTAATCCACTTGTCAGTTACTTCATGGACGGGTACCATATCTTTGTTTGAACACTTCTAGCTTTCATCCAGCCTACTCTAAAATCAGACTTTGTTGAACGAGGTAGTCGGTAGTTAGGGATACGTAACACATGTCCGAACCACCTCAACTCATGAACATTGATTAATTCATCAACTGATTCGCCATCCTTACCTAGTACCATTTTCGTAACAACTGAATTGCTTATTCGGTGGTCCCAGGATAAACGAGCAATGCTTCGAAGACACAGATGATCGAATGCTAATAACCCACGAATACTCTTTACTTTTACTGATCATGTTTCACAGGCGTATAAAAGGACGCAGCGAACTACTGCGCAGCAAACTCGTCCTTTGGTTAGCAGACGGATATCTCGTCTACGCCATACGTAACGCAAGTTGGAAAACCCAATGAAGCCTTCTGTATCCGTGCTGAGATTTCATCAGACACCAGTCCATCTGCACTGATGAGACTCCGGAGATAAGTGAAGCGGTTGACACGCTCAACTACTTTACTCTGTCACTAGTTGACGACCAGATGCAAGCCAACCCTGAAGCAATATTTTGCATTTTGAAGGGGAGAATCGCATCCTGAACATGCTTGCATTGCTGCTTAAGGTGGTGAGAAAATCAAGCACTTTGTCAGCGTCTTAACCAAATAGTATAGTCTTTAAAAGCAAGTGTATGACGAAGTTGAATAAGAATGGATAAAGTGGACAGTTCGAAGAATGACAAGAATGAACTTGGGAATCATGATGACAACAAACTGACCGAAGAACTAACTAAAACAACCATCCAAACACAAAACAATGCGTCAATTTAAGTCAGTAACGGAGAGACGGAAATCTAATACAAAAAGTATAAAAGCCAAGTAGGACAATAGACAAACATGAAGGAAAACGCGAATAAAAAATAAAAAGGCAGTCTAATTTTATGTTGTAAAGACCGGATGCTTTCGGATCAATGAGATCACTGATGAGATGTTTCATGCAAGATTTCAAATGACTGATTGTGATTATATCACTGAATTAGGTTTACAAAACCTACATTAATTCGATACTAAGGAGAAAAACTGTTAACCTTTGGATGATAATTCCTTACTATGTTAACTATAACGTCACAATCCATGATTTCATTATTTTATTAGGTCAACAGATGATTTTTTTTAACAATAACTTTCCAACACTTCAAAATCCTTTGCTATCGTATAAAGACAACTTTTGAATAAAACAAACAGAAAAGTTCACTTGAGTGAAATTAATGGAAAGTTAAATTAATTACTTAATACTTCGGTAACATCATAAAAAACATGCATCATAAACTAAATAACTACAAAAATTTAAATCCTGTTACATTCATTTCCTATTAACTAATAACCTTAACAACATTAACTGTCATATCAAACGAGAAAAATCAAGTAATTATATCTGAAACAATGGAATTCAGTAGTACCGACACTCACATTTCATTTACATCCAATTTCCAACCGGAATAATCATGTTTTATCCTAGAAGATGAAGTGAAAAAACTAACTTCCTTTTTTTCGAAAACAACACGCAAAGAACGTAGAAGGTAGTATAGACTACTCAATACTTCCTCATTTGGATTTTCATTTAGTTCTATGTAAAAAAAAGAGTTCAGAGATTGATACGTAGTACATATGTTGAACTTAAATAACGACTGACTAGTGCTAGTTTCTTCAAAACATGACGTAGCAAATATAGAATTGTGTTGTATATATCGAGTCACAATTCGCATTAAAAAAATACAAGCCTAGACAAAAGGAAAAAGCTGCAACGCAAATGAAACCTGTTGAACATTGATTAAAACAACAGTAGACAAATTGCCTCATTTACCAAGTGAATGGATACGAGCCCCCTAACGCCCTGGTACAGCCGAGGGTAGGAAGAAACCACTCTTCCGCTCAAAGTACTCGCACTTCCCCACATGCATATAACCGCTCTCAAGAAAGTCCTACTCATTGCCTTCTCGCAGTGGGAATGTTGTTGACGAAATTCAGAGGACGAAAACAAGGTTGATGTTTATAAAGGTTCCACCTAAGGGACTCCAAACAAATGAAGCAAATGGGCTCCAGGATCGTGAGTGAACAAACGGCGTACAAACCTATTTTTGTTCACCAAACACTGTGGGATTTCATTTCCTAACGTTGCTCCACTGCGTTTTGGATTAGACCTCTGTGTTAAAGACTCGTGGAGTGACCTCCTCAGAAAACAATATGCTTCGGTTTGGACACCTGAGCATTATCATAGACCACATTCAAATGCAGTAATTTTTTGGCGTGTAATTTCGGTGCCCTTTGTTAACAATGCTTATGTTTTATTAAATAAAATGGGTATGAGGGCTCGAACATAAAACTTAATGGCTGGGACTTAAATGCTTTGACCAGTGAGTTATCGTTCAATTTGTTTCTAAGGCACATTTATTGCGGAACGTACAAGGTGAATATGCAAACGAACCAACACAATAATGAAACAAATCTGAACATAAAAACACCATGATATGCCCAAATTATGGTGGTGTTTAGTTCTCTGAGCTAGATGCCTCTTTATTTTGATAGTATCCTTCTTTGATTTGATAGACAATGAGTGGTTAAAGATCAATAACATCCAATCAAGATCGAGGCCAACAGGACAAGCTACGATTCATACACGCACACATTTGAACACTTCACTTTTACCTGAGGTCTGCGCTGATGTTGTTCAAAAGAATAATGAAAGCTCCACAACCAAAACATCCAGCTCAGAGAACGAAACTCCAACATAATCATCTACCTAGGCTACAAATTTTCTCCACCATCTACCTCGAAAAATCTGAAACAGAATGTGAGTATAAAAATTCAGACTAACTAACCATCCAATAGAACCAAACCTTCACCAATCAAGCCATGTATCATAACCTGATCATCATAGTCCTCCTGACGCCAAGTCGGAATATAATCAAACGAAGAACTGTCAGAAATCTCTCTACTTTTAGAATCCCTTTGATTTCTTTCACTTCGTTTATTCTGAGCATTCTTATTATTTACAACCATGTTGGTGATTGAGGAAGGGAATACTGCAGATTGTTTGGCAACACAGGATAAACCAGAGTCAAGAGTCCGTGATGTAGGATGGAAATCAATTAATTCCTTGAGGTAATATCCTTTCAAAGGAACATACAGTTGGCGAGATTCGTTTGAAAAATAAGGTAAAGAGTACAACCAAGGATGATGACTTTGAGCATAACTAAGAGATAGTGTGTACTGATTATCTTTTAAATAAACCATGGTAGCTCGAAGCAAATTTGCCCGATATTTCGATAAGATTTTGAAAGAGCGCTGTAAAAATTGGGAAGATAAATTTGAAAACCTATCGCAGTCTACTAAAAAAACAAGCATATACTTTGGTCACTGACTTTATTTTACAGCCTATATTTTAGTGGGGGGAAGATAAAAATTTGCTAGTCGTTCAACAAACGATAATTAATACAAACCTTCGTATATTTTTTAGCCACTTATGAGTAGTGTCAAAATTACTGCAAAAAAACTAATAAGTCGATTGAACGGGAGATATAGTTTAATTCAAAAGGCATCTTCGAAGAATATACAAAAATGTCCCATACTAACAGCAAACACTATTTGGTTTAACTGATCATTTCCCTTGGGATACAATATCACTACAGCTGCAATATGCAGAGAGAGCAGGATACAAGTCGCGATCCTCTCTTCTGTACGATCGAGTGGAATATTTCGTGTTCCTTCAGTTTAAAATTCATTACGAAGCACTTTTCCATGTTGTTCAAAGAAGAATGATAAATTATTACTATATTTAACTGTAATACAAACTTATATGCGGTCAGACGAACAGACGGTATCAGAAAAATAGACACATCAACAAACAGCCTGAGACCGAAATGCTTTCTTTGACTCAAGTTGCCGTACTACATGAACAGTATCAGATGAAAACAACAAGATGGATTATAAAGGGAATTGAAATTATATAATAGCAATGGTAATAAGAGAGACTAAACTTTGAGAATATGGTCAGAAAAGACAGTGTGAAATGGTACATATGAAGCAGCATCGGAATTCTAAATTGTCACTGCCATTGCGAACAATTCCGAGGCATCCCACCAAAATATTCCACCACTGATCACGGTTATCTGAGATATACTAGTAACAAGGATAATGGAAGAATACTCAGTACTTTCAAATCTTGATAATATTATGGAATCGTTTTGTCTCAACAGAATATGAAATACACTAAAGTAATTGGCTTTCCCTACACTATCACACTACTCAAAAACAGGTCCTACTTTCGTGCATTTAATAGCCTCCTGATATGGCAAAACTAACTGACAGAGTTTTGTGGAATATCCTATAACGAATGGTAGCAGTACATAATTACCTAAGTATTTCAAAACGATCTTCGACCAGTCAAGCCTCAATGACATATTTGAATTTGGTTAGATCCATGTAATTTTTGTGTCCATGTTTTCTAATTTTTTTGTTCATATCAGTACTTCACTATCTCAAAGTGAGTTAGTTGATAAAATCTCCTGTAACACGATGAAACAATATCATTATGGAGATTTATAATTCTATGTTACAAAATGTCTCATCACAAATTATTTTCTTTTACCTACTCATACTACTTAAATTATGCAGATTTATCATCATATTTACGTGATAAACGAACTTCATAAATATCATCCTTCTAACTTTCGTCCTGCGTTATTTATGCACTGGGACTTGAACACCAAAGAACACATGTCATCGGCAATTGAAGGTAGACATCAAGAGAACGAACAGCACTTCGGAACAACTAGGAAGGAGATTCCAGAACAGAGTTGGGAAACCATGGTCAGCGGCCTATGCTCCACTAGGAGTAACAGGAGTAAGTGAGTTATAAAAGTGCATAACGTTGATGAAAGGATTACTTCTAGAATTACACCAACATTACCTAAAAAAAACAAGTATGCGAATAATTGGTTCACGGTTTTATCTAACATCAGTTGCCATCCAGAGACACCCAAATTATCCAAGCTATACCTAGTATTCTGTGTACTACAAAAGTGTAGTGAATCCTAAAAGATTATCTTTTCTTCAACATATAGAAAAGAAAATATATCAATAAATTTACACTTTCCTTACACCCAAGCGGAATGTTAATAAAAATATCTTTTAAAAAGACATACATTTTGTCTTAAATTATTGTAGCATTGAATCATAAGATGTGAATAAGTTCGAAAACGTATTGACTGTTGAATTGAATCAAAAACTCCTGAATAAACTGATTTTGTTCGGTTGAATGGTTGATACAATATGCTCATAGTTGTTATTAATCTACAATGCAGACTAAATGCATAGGCAGACAGATGGCATCCGAGAAATTTCCAAACTTGTTCACCTCTATGCAACAGATTAATTACAACTTGATCCAATTCAAATATTATATCCGATATTTTCGGGTGTGTAGATGCTATCTGGAACATAATTGTACATATATATAGATATATAGTTATGTATTGCAAAGTGGAACAATGTACGAAAGTTTTTAAAAAAATGATCGTAGATTGGAAAACAACTCACAGTAATAAGTAGTGTAACTTACTATTATGAAAAGAGTAGATAATAATAATAGTAAACCCAAGAATGTACTGGACATAAGCAATACTAGGAAAATTCGCCATATAATGAAAAGTTGAAAGAACGACTGCCTACTAGATCAGGTGAAGCACACCAAACCTCTGCACAAATTGGGATACATTTTTATCAGCCAGGAAACCTAATTGAAAATCGACTACATGTTAGTTAAAAGTACACAGTTTACAGTTTTTACACTATCCCGTGTCGACAATACAGTTGTACATAGTGTTTGAAAGACGTGTGAAGTGTTAAACAGTTAACATATGCCTCGACATTGTAACGGCAATTTCAGAATGAAACAGACTCCGTCTACTTTTATTTTACCTCTGAAGGAAATAACACACGTGAAGAGCTACAGGAGGGAAGAACAAAAAAATTAGGATACGCAGTTTTTCTCCTTTGTAAACGACATCAAGAGGCGGAGTATCGTACCAAACTAGTGTTTGGGAGTGATATCACAGGACCCAGTCACGATTGATACCTCTTCACATTTCATGTTAGTAAGTGATTTGTTTAAAGAACTCACGACTTCTTAGACGAATAGATCTGATGTGTTGTTTGGTGGACAACACCTAAAATGAAAAAATTTCCTCCGTAGTACTGACACGGCTTTGCCACTGAATGTCAACAATTTTTGGAGACAACGGTAACCAAATACAGAAAGCTTTCTGGCATCTTCAACTCAGAGAGATCAGGTTGCACAAACAAAGAGCAAAGTTACTCTCACCGACGCATTTTAAACCCAACCTTTTAGAGCCAATCTTACATCACGGAAGCACTAAAGACGTCCCAGATCGGTATAAACCGCTCTAACCCAGGGACATGAACTTTTCGAGTATTTCTATCTCTCCACTACCAAGATTAAGTGCAGGTTTAGTCTTGTAAAAGTTCTTTGCGCTTAAAAAGTGGAGAGCACATACCATACCTACGGAAACTGATTGCCAAATCGTTGCACGTTAAGGATACATCATCCACCTACTTAAGGTCGGAACTCTTTCTCCAGGTAACAGATCCATACCTACATTACTTACATTCATCATACTTGCTTCCAGAATGTCGTCGGTGGCAAAACTGAAGAGGGATGGTGAGGTTGAGCTACCCTGTCTGATCCCACTGCTTGAATGAAACAAGGAAGAGAGATGGTTGTATGCCTACACCCGGCCTAAGGTGTTTGCATAGAGGGCCTTCAGAGTGCTAATAAACTCAGACACAAACTTTTTCAACAGACAATCCCAGAAAAAGTCTTGTCCAACGAATCGAAATAAAATGGTAGAACAACTAATCTACGCTTTTCCATGCACCAAATGCCATTACCAGATTATTTAGCCAAATCAGATAATATGTAATCATAACAGAAAAGTGAACATGATATATTGCAAAGCAGGAATAAAAAATGATGAATAGATGACTTGAAATCATGTTATCTTCCAATAACCAAGTAGAGTGAATATGCAAACAGTATGAAACTCCACAAACCTACTTGTACAATTTTAACAAACAGTTGACAAATATCATCGCAAAAACGAGGGTCATCAACTCGTCTGCAAAATCGCCCGAGTACGAATATTAGGTTTCCTATTTGGATATCACATCCTGTGCTTATGGAAGAACCCAATAGTTTCTGTTGCCCATCGATCGCTTTTACCATAAATTTGCTGGATAAGGTTAAAACGTTTTTATCTAAGAATGGAATTGTGATTATTTCCTTTGCCATTGGATCCAAAAGACGATTGAGAGCCCGCAAAGCAGACTGTCGAAGAGCGCTGTCTTCAATGTTTAGTGAATGAATAGAATTGTCGAAGATCTGAACACCGGTTTCATGGCTTTGTATCTACGTTATTTGTCTTATCCAATTATAAATATCTGTGCATACCTTGGTAGTTTCAAGTTCTTTTGGTAGGATTATTCTCTTCTTCTGTAGATTGATTACCGTCTCGTTTCGGGATTTCAATTTTCTTCCAACTTTAACTCGAACCTTTTGAAAGTCTTTTTTGCTTTTCACCATAACTTCAAACAAAAGAACAGTTGAAGATAATGATAGCTACTTTAAAATACAGAATAGATACTTTGAACTTGAAACAACAGTCGTAACTTGACTTTTAATGAATATTTTGTACGTTTAATTCTGAATTAAATTTTGGTCTAAACAACTAACTAATACCAATAGCTGTTAAACAAAGTGACTGATAACCATTTGTACAAGAATGTGATTGTTCAGTTATAATGGCCAATAAATAAAAAGTATTGAATCTCCGTCGACTAAAGTGGTTGGGCTATGTATTACGTATGCCCAATCACCGCTTACCTCGACGAGCGACATTGCCTGGTGCAGGAACAGGTTGGAAGAAAGTAAGCGCTGGCCGAACCAAAACGTAGCATCAGTCCATGAAGTCATTGACCAACGGAGTGAGCCATGTTACTATGTATATACTATCGAGTTATGGGTTATATGACGATCGTAACCAGGGGTTAAAGACTTAGGATTACATGGTTCAAAATCGTTTGAAAGGGAGCAGGTCCATCCACTGTTTTGCCTTCTCCATATTCTAAGCTTTTCAAATCCTTATGATTTTTTAGATTTCACTAATTTATATTACATCGGATAGTATATTTGATGCTTAACTTTCTGTAATGCGATTGATACTGTTACTACCATTACTACTAGGGATTTCATCTCTGTGCTAATGGGGGAAGGAAACTTGAAGCGATGAACATATGTACGCGATTGACTGGAAGAAAAATTAGTCAAACCAGAGCACCCATATGCTCCATCCATATCTTGTATTATAACAGTGATAACTGCGAATCAATGTTAAATATCGCTTTCTTCCTAAACCTTCCGCTGGAATGTTCATAGTGGACAAAAACTCTGATTAGGCTAATGATTGTATGGACAACTTGGACAAAAGTCTAAAGATGATTAATATGCCATAAACTCCAATCATTACAAACAGGTTACTCCAGGGCCGCTTTGTACAGATATCTACCCTAAAGATAAGTAGGATAACTTGAAGCATATTTTCCTTGTTAAAAGTCTCATTCGCCAGTCACTTGGCATGGATGACGGATTGTTCTGTTTTTCTTAACTAACGTATTTAAAATGCATTTTTAGTAAACTTCACTTACGTGAAGTATTATCTAGCTATCAGATACTTGAAGATTTAAGGTTATGGTGACAGGTTACAAAGCTTAAATATTTCTACTATATTATAATGAGATAAGGTTGATTTTGTCAAGGCAATTTGCAACTTGGGCAATGAGCTGAAAGATGATATTTAGTTTTTTCATTACGTCTGATTTTCTAAAACCAATACAAGTGCAGTTAGATAAATAAGAATAAATCGTGCTTTTGTTTTATGATAGTAAACTACTGCAACCCTTTAGCAGAAAAGGACGAATAAACATCTCTTGGTAATGGGATTCTGACAGATTATACTTTTTAAAAGGTGCTCATTGTTCCGTATAAAGTACAATATCTGGCCCATTTTACACAACTGAATTCTTACAGGGGTACTAATCAGATTTAAGACAATGCCTCTCGTGTTTATACCCACAACTTATTTATCAGTATGGCTATAAAGCATTCTTGACTACACCTACAGCACTACGAGAGTTACTACTGGTCCCAGGACTCGATAAAGGACTGTTGGACACGGGGTTAGTGACACCATCATGTAGAAAACAAACCTGCTAAGGAAACACAAAAAAGAAAAGTCATTTCAGCAATCTAAACTCTGTCTTTTGATGCTGTTGTACTTCTGTCATGAAAAAGAGAATGCAACACAAGGAATAGCAGTGATGTCCGAATGAGTCCGGAAAGCACTTCTGAGATAAGAATTTCATGGACCTAGAATCATCAAAGCACCCTTCAGAGCAAAAATGGAGGGGGATTGTAGTACTCACGTAAATGTGACAATTACTGAGGTATAACACTACTATAAGCACCAGGAAGTCTTCACGTGTTTTTGAACCGAATGAAAAATTCCGGAGACGCCCGACTTTAAAACGACAGAATAGACTCCATAAGGATCCATCTTGTAACGAACAAACCACGAATTTACAGATCATTATTGAACAATAGATTGAATGGAACTCATTACTATACATCAGCTTCACTGAGTAAGATAAAACACTAGACAGTATCGACAGAACGTCATGAACCCTTTTGCACTATGGTGTACCTGAGAAAATTGTCAACATCGTACAGAAACCTTATGATTGACTGCTCTGCAAAATCGAGCATGGAAGACAGCTGACAGATTCATTCAAAGTCAAGCCCGGTATCAGATAAGACTGCCTGCTCTTAGTGTTCCTTTCTTTTAGTAGTCGAATAGATTACGAAAATTTGTCTCGGGGGGACGCAAAGGATATAGTGAACAACAAGGATGCAGCTAGATGATTTGAATCCCGCAAATCACCTGGCTATTCTATTCCACATATAACAACAAGTGCAGGCGATGACGACCAGTGTGGCAGCAGGTCTCAACATACACAAAGGAAAAAGCATGATTCACAGACAAAGCAACCATTCACAAACTAAGTCACACTAGATGAAGAAACTCTGGAGTAGATGGAAACTTTTACATATCTGGGAAGCATCATTATTATACACCGTAAACTTGATGCATAGGTAAAGACGAGGATTAGCGAAGCAAATGTAGCATTTCTACAGATGATTGACATCTGGAACTGGAAACGAATCTCGACCAACACGAGTCATAATTTTCAATACAAATGTCCAAGCAGTTCTACTGAATGGATCTGAGTATGGAGAACTACGAAAGCCGTCATTCAAAAGATACAGGTGTTTATACGCAGTAGTCTTCGCAAGATGGCGCTCACCATCAGCGACCTCCTGAGGCAGGGAATAAACCAGACTCCAGCTCATAAAATTAGAAAGCGCTGGAGGTGGATAGGGGATACCACCCTACTGCATTACGAGGTAAGACCCAAGCTGGAATACTAAAGACAAAAGAGATAGGCTGAAGGACGAATTGTGCTGAGAATTGGAGGCAGAAATCAGAGGAATGAATGCATAGCAATTGGGAACAGGTGGAATGGAAAGCTTAAGATAGAGTTGAATGAAGAACCCAGGTGGCCCATGCTTCACGAGGGTTAATAAGTGTTCACGCATCATAGTAGATATCAGTTAGTAATGCAGTTACCTTAATTACTGATAATTCTAATTCTTAGCACTGTCCCCTAGACATATTTTGAACGCAGTAAGTGAATGAAATTCAACAATGACGCTTAGCGAATCGTTTGGTGTCGTTCACAATGTGAGGTCCTATATCGTTTGGGTTTTCACTACCAGCTGAAATCAAAAATTGTGTAGGAATCTTGAAATTTGTGTGCGAACACCAAGTCCTGGTAAGTAAGCCTAACCTTCTGATCTTGGTGTCTCCTGACTGGTTTAGACGCACTGAGATCTCAAAGTCATCCATTCTACGAAAACTGCATTACTTGCCGCGTCTGGTGATCTATATGCACATACTTAAGTAAGCCTTAATGTCTACGACTTTAACACTGAAAAGTTTTCTAACCTTATTCTAATTATTTTAGATTTAGTAGTTCTCCCAAATCCACTACTTCAAGCACCAATAATACACGCTGAACACTTGTACCGAAACGTCTCAAATATCCGCCATTGTCTAACCGAAGTACCATAACACGTGCTTTACTGTCTGAGTATGATGACGTATCAGGTTACTTTTGAATCAGTTGACTGAAGATACATACGTCACTTCGTTTAGAAGCATTTTAAATGGTCCTATCATTATGGATAAAAAGATTAAGTTGTGGCCCAATGTTTGCAACTATTGTAACTGAAATGGATTGGTTGGGAAGTACCAGAAGGACTGAAATGTTCAAAAGCATACTGCAGAAAAAGTTGAACAAAATTTACTGATAACTCTTAAGGTAATTGGTCAATTATTAATAGAGACCTCCATGAAAAAATTGGACCTGCTGTATCCGTTATCCTTTATTTATGTGACCTCTCCAAAGTACATCAGGAAGAAATACTTCCACAGCACATACTAGCTGTGAACAACTCGCTGAGTCATGACATGTTAAGTGGTTAGTTATAATTTGGAAACTACTCAAACAACAACTCAGTAGATATAACAATACTATTCTATCCCTTCCATCCATCGGTAGTCATCCAAGCGGAAATTCGGAGATAGTTCAAAAGCTAAGATCAGGTAGTTTACGTCTCAATATCCGTTTCCCACAGTAAGTGGATTGATGGTATTGCCCAGGTGAACATTTAATATCAGCAACTAAATATTTGTAATGTCACATTGTTTACTTTTCCTGTAACCATCAACAGGGCATAATATCCTCCATCCGACTCAGTCCTAAGCCTCCCTTTCCAGTTTCGTCCAATTACCGTTCACTCCCCTAATGTCTGTCTCCATTTCTAGGTGTAATATGTCCCTTGGCCTTCATCTTTTCTTCTGACCCTGGAGGCTGCAAATAAGGGCTTGTCTTGTGAATGCGTTTGTGTGGGAATATTGTGCCACAGATGACCAGTTTGTTGAAGGTACATAGGTTTGCAAATCTCTCACCATTTTCGTTCCTTTCTCCCAGTCCATGTCGTCCCATGATGTCTTCGTATCCAGTGTTGTCCACTGCAACCTCGCACCAGAATCATCAAATACTTTGATGGGCATCTGTCGACGATTGACTACAGCCTTTCGTAGAATTGATCTTTAACGTAATCGTTGGTAGGTGCTCTGGTCCTCTTCATGACCAAAGTATAACAGCAGTTCCCCTGACGCTAGTCTCAGTTGTCCAACCTTCATCGAATGCGTTTCACTGATTCCAAGCACCTCTATGTTGTATCTTTTCATCTCTGCAGAAGTTTGAAGCAGTTTTTCAATCTCCCACACTGCTCGAACATTACGTGTGCCTAGAAGAATGGTTGTTTTGGTTATGAGGAGGGGCATCGGCCTCTTGACTTCATCAACAGACGTCATGATTCTTCTGAAAGAAGACCTACTAATTCCCAGGGCAGAGTTTGAATAGTTTGAATTATGTCTTCTAGTCATCAGTTTTTAAGCGAGTTAGTTCTTTCATGGGGTGAGGTCGCAAACCCAATTAATGACCCTCCTCATTTATCCGGGCTTGAGACCGGTGGTAGCAATATCAACAATATCAATTTCAATTACATAATGGACAAGGTTAACAGATGTTACCAATCACTTAAGTTCGCAATGGAGTCAAAGTTTGATTCTGAATTCCATTTGATGCCTTTTTTTTAAAATGGCCTGAGTGTTCTATACAAATGTCGATATACAGAAAGCTAATATGAAGTGACCAGTTCACCACTTTTAAAGTTGAACCAGTCTAGAGTGAGAAGGAAATCCGATTCATTATCTCTTCACAAAGTCTAGACGAATATATACTGAGGATACAATTGAAATCCAACTTGAAAACTTCTGGAAGAAACTGAATATCAATGAAGACCCAGCTAGATTCGTTGATGAAGTTCTGAATCTGAAATAAAAACTTGAGAGAGTGTCGTTAGCGCTAAAATAGTTTTAAGAAGTTATTGTATTAGGAATTTTTAAGGGCAGACGTTTGAGAACTTTGTCGAAAATATTCAACTCTGGTGAACTTTGAACTATATTTTTAGTCAGCTTGTGATTAGTAGATGTAGGAAGGCTAAGCTCCCATTTTGAAATGAATCAACGGCTATTTGTCAGACTACTTGTTCATGTGATACTCTTTCAAAAGGCACCTCTGAACATTTTCCAGCCTGACTTTCTAATGGATCAAAAATACTCGGTTTTGGAACTGTTAGTCAATTCTAACTACTCCCCTTCACCAGCAGCCTTCTTAAGAATCCAACATGAAGTTTGATAAATTTACACGAAAAGGAAGCAAATGAAGAATTCGTGTAAAACAGAAACTGTTGAAATCCACCAGTTAGAACCCAACCTGTGCGTACAGAAATAGTGTGTTCAGTCCCTTATTACTTTTCCCATTTTCCTTTCAATCTTTCCATACTCTATGATTTTATGTACCTTCAGTCCTTGGATAGTTTGAGTTTAGTCAGGAGCTACCTCGTGTGCTGGTGAGTGTGAAATTATCTGGAAGAGGAAAGAACCAGAGAAAGGGTGAGCGGACGACTCAGTTGGCACATAAGATGTACTTATATTTGATAGGAAAATTGACACAAGTCTGAAGTAACTCAAGCTTGAGGTTAAGACGAACTGATAATCGAAACTTGAACTGGATAGAGTAAGGTCTCCAATATGTTACATTTGTTTTGGTTGTTTTGTGCTCGTCTTATTGTTTGTTTGTCTGACCATGAATTTGTTAATCCCAATCCATCCTAATTATTTCGAACCTATCAATTAACGGCTATTACAACTTCCGTTTATTCTCTTATTAATAGATTTAATGTGGACTATTGTCTTTGCCTTTGCATTTTTCATCAGTCGATTAATACAGAACTTGATTTCGACTTTTGATTTTCACAGACAAATCGTGATAATACAACTCATTATTTATTACTATTGTTTCACAACACTGTTTTATTATAGACTAACTATTTTAGCGAATAGTTTTTACTGTAATTACTAGTGAACAGATTCAGTAAATGAAACTGTTAAAAATATTTCTTCACTAGATCTCCTTTATTTATATTGGATGCTATTGGACTCTAATTCATCCTGTTTACTTATGACGAACCATTGCCGACTGTATTAGCTGAACAAAGCTACTCTTATTTATACAGCAAACAGACTGCTGTCAAACGCTCTTACGGATCACGACTTAAAGAAAACTTCTCAACTCACTCTATACTTTGGACCTGTGGAACACTTGTCTAGACTGATGGGTTCACATGTACTGATGGCTAAAATTCATGGAGTACTATTTGACACCGTCGATGGTGTACCAGTTTAATTCGTAGCTACCATAAAAGCCCTTGAAGACGACAAGATATGATGAGATATTTGATGTTCCCTAACTACCTAGCAGTCAAGACAGACTTCAGAGACAACTATTACAATATCTTCGGAGACGTGACTCGCTGACGGTTGTGGCTTTATTTAATATGTTATGTCATCACGTCATAGCTACAACAGCTCTCTTATCTCAAGTTCTGAAACCATTTCACAATGGATGTTCGATCATAATTAAAATGAAGTCTTGAGTACGAAGCTAAGAGCACTTGCCATCGACGGACTTGAAGGCAAATGCCACTGCTGCTGATCCACCGACACCGCTGGCCGAAAAACCTAAGGAAATTCAAATCGACAACGACGAAGTGATAAAGTTGTGTCCCAGAAATCAGGTGAAACAGAGTTTACGAAGAATTGTATACGAAATTTAGTTTGGTGATTGAGGGTATCCCCTAAATGTTTCGATATTCTTGGATTTTCTCTATCCACGAAACTTCATCAAAAATAGCAGCCTAATCCACCAGCATATGTAAAATTGAGTACAGGAACCAACAAACGGATTATCCTACCATGTATAAAAAACAGGAAGTTTCAGCATATTTCAGCACATAAAACAACAGAATCACCTCAATCCATTCTTTGTAAACTAAACGATAAAATGGCAGGGAACGTGATTCACAATATAAACTGCAGAACTGAGAAAACACTATTTTGGACAAAGTGGACGTCCTCTTCATCATCGCCTATCTGAACATCAATTAGCAGTCTCATGCCATGAAAACGAAAGCTCCACAACGAAAATATATATATCAGGAAATAGATTTATTTTAATCTGTCTCCCTTCATTCGGCAGATTTGACCTACCGAGAATCCGCTGAGTTGCGGTTCTTCGAACACTTTCCAAAAGCCCACTGTCTTATTTTAGACAGAAGCTCGTTGACTATATGTATCACTGATACTGTATACAAAGTAGACAATATCTTAGCATTGACACAGCTAAAAGTTCCACGTGTAAACCAGAGTTCCAAAATTGTTGGTGGCTATCGCATTGCAATCTGAAGAAGTTTCCAAGTGTTGAATAACAGTGACCTTGATTCTGAATAACAGGTAGTGCAGAGTTATTTATCAATACCTTGGCGATCAGTATGTATCCTGATGCACTTAGAAGCATTTATCGGCAAATGCTGAATCTCGGATTATTCAAATAATTTCTGGAGGTCATTCTGAGGCTGTAAACCATCTTTTCAATTTTTATTGCTCTCCATCTCCTGATATTGTCAGCCCTTATCAAAACCGATGAATATTGGGAATGTCATCTACAAACAACTGGAATGACGCTGGCCCCAAAACTTCAATCTCAGTCATCCTGCGAAGCATAGATTTCCAGATAGGCAACTTCGAGTAAATTCATACTATTTGCTGATTTCCGATTAGCAACCACTTAATCCATATAAGCAGGCTGACCATTTCTGATATTACTGAACTTAACTCTGTTCGAATCTTTTCTAGAGCCAATGAAGGCGGCATTTCTGGGGACGTTTTGATAAAAGCGCACCAACTTTCACAGGCTACTAACAGGTTTGTGAGGCATGGACCGTCTGTCTTAAAGCTGTGATGATTCCAGGAAAAAATTTTGGTTTTCGCCTAGGTACTTAAACTGCTCCTTACAAATAATGTTTTCTAAGATTTTCTTAAGGCTTATATCTCGATAGTTCTGAGGTTTGAATCTGATACTTGTTTTCTGTATACAGGACATCCTATAACGTTCTTCCAGTCTTCTGATAATCCACCTTAGTTTATGGATAAAAAAGACACAGTGAAGGGATTTGTGGTGAAATTTGCTAGTTCCTTGGGATCTTTAGGATGCATTTCATAAGGGGAAATTAGTGGCCATGATGTTAAGAACAAAACAGTACAGGGAAACAATCCCTGTAACAACTAGTTATAATGATAAATGTTTATTTCACACCAATCGTGTTCTACCCATACAAGTAGATCGACACGAGCGTCAAAAGTCTCTCGCACATTTCTTTCTTAATAAGCAGAAAGGTTTGAACCCCCCTAGTGAAGATTTTCTTGGATTCCAAGGAATATGCAGCGTACTTACTTACTTTCTTAAGCCTGTTACCCCCCATTGGAGCAAAGGTCGCCCACCAGTTTTCTCCAACCAATTATTTCCTGGGCTTCCCTTTCCAGTTTCTTCCAGTTTTTGTTCATTCTTCTCACGTCTTTCTCTATTTCTCGGTGTATTGTATTCTTTCTCCTTCCTCTTTTCTTCTGACCCTGGAGGCTGCAAATAAGGGCTTGTCTTGTGACGCAGTTGGGTGCTTTTCGCAGTGTGTTCTATCCACTTCCACCGCTTCTTCCTGATTTCCTCCTCCACTGGAACCTGGTTTGCTCTCTCCCACAGTAAGTTGTTGCTGATAGTGTCTGGCAAACGAATCGAAGGATTTTGCGTAGACAACTGTTAATAAACACTTGTATCTTCTGGATGATGGCTCTGGTAGTTCTCCAAGTTTCCGCTCCATACAGTAGAACTATTTTGACATTTGTATTGAAAATCACGATTTTGCTGTTGATTGATATTTGTTTGGAGTTCCAGATATTTTTTGATTGTAGAAATGCAGCCCTTGCTTTGCCGATCCACGCCCTCACATCTGCATCGGATCCGCCTTTCTCGTCGATGATGCTGCCCAGATATGTAAAGGTGTTAACGTCCTCCAAAGAATCTCCATCAAGAGTGATTTGGTTGGTGCATGTTGTGTTGTATCGTAGAATCTTGCTTTCCCTTTGTGTATGTTGAGACCTGCTGCAGCAGAGGCTGCTGTTACACTGGTCGACTTCTCTTGCATTTGTTGTTGCGTATGTGATAGAGGAGCTAGGTCATCTGCGAAGTCCAGATCGTCCAGCTGCGTCCTAGCTGTCCAATGTATACCGCGCTCCCTTTCAGATGTTGACGACTTAATTATCCAGTCGATCACCAGGAAACTAAGAAATTTAAATTTTCGACCGCCTCCTGAGCAGTTTCAAAGATTCTTGTTTGTTGTGTATAGTAAGGATTTGAGTGCATAATGTCTAGTGTGTTTGCCCTTCAAACATTTGGTTTGCCTTGGGGTGACTAATCTCTGTTAATGATGATATGGAAATCAAGGGCTAGAACAAAGTGGTCACTTATTGAGAGGTGGCTTTTCATCGAGATTTGAGATGTCAACCTCATAGTGATTCAGCATAAGATCTTATTTTGATGATTCGGAGTCTAGATAACAACTAGTGACTGATAAATATTAACTTGTGGTAATTATGTCAGCAAGTTTCTGTTCGAAAGAATCTTCTGAAAATTCAGTCCTTAGATTTCCTTAATTTTTGAAGGTGCAATAAAGTCAAAGAAAATTAAAAAACGTCTACTTAAGGACCAATTATTCAGCTTGTCTAACGATTACTCATTCGCTTCACGGTTTAGGCAGCCGAAATCTAAACCAGCAAGTAGCTATTACCACTAGCACTTTAAGCAGCAACCGAACAATTCATAAATTCCAAATTCATGGTATGTGTTGTCGATAACGATTAAGGCGATTCATCTTTTTGCTTGAATATTCTACTGGCCAATAAGTAACATGCAATTTTCAAAATCAAGTTTTCTGCGATCTTAAGAGTGGATCAGACAATTTTTTATGGTGACAATTGCGTATTGCTTAATTGAGTCAATCTGTAAACCCAGCTGCTGTCGCTTGATGGAGAAACTCTCGGGTTAATATAACAGATCCGAAGACCACCCGAAAAAATTCGAGCCACACTTAAGATGGCTTTTGTCGAAGCATCATCCTGCGAAAATTTACATTTCTCGGGTACTTCTCGCCAGCATCTAACATCAGTTTCAGTACATTTAGGCTTCCCGTATACCAATACTGTCAGACCCTTCACAGTATGTCGACTGTGTGGTATGGAGTCCCTTTCACTGAAAGATTTAAGTACTACTTTACGCAACCTAGTTAGGTTTTCTCGAGAACTACCTTCGCCGATCTATAAACATTCGGCTAGGCGACCCCGAAGATATCTTGAGGCATTAAGGTATTCAGTAGACATTTTAAGAGCCCATTGATATACTCAAAGAGAATTTGGGTCTCAGAGCCTTTCATTTTCTTTACTATTTCAAATACGACTGAAATGTATCTGTGATCGATCTTCAGTTTCGGAACTGCTGTCGTGGGAACTGGAATTTCCATAACGACATTGCAGTGGCGTCCGATAGCTAGTTATTTGTGTCCGACCAGCATTGGTAGCAAAGCCACACATATTCTTTTTGCTAAATTGTTTGAGAGCTGTAGGTGTTAGATTCTGGCAAACCACATGGTAATAAAGCGAGATAAAAGCCGTTGTTCTTTACGAGATCACCAAGTTAAATACCGATAGATCCAGAAGTCAGGGAGGAGACTGTTCTGGATGAAAAGGTGCAGTTATCTGAGGCCTCGTGGTATCCAAATAATATCAAGATCGGAATAAAGAAGCGACTACCAACCCCCGAAGCGAGAAGCAGAATGGAAATAACATACTTTGCGTGCAAGAGGTAGTCTTTAGTACAGATAAACAAAAGGAGTACGATAGAACAATTAATGTACAATAATAAATGTTTCCAATTAAGTAACTGTGTTATCTTTGTAAAAGTATACCACTACAGTACCATCCTTTGCATTCACCACACTTCATACAAATTTCGATAGGATATTGACAGCCCAGGCATTATCCAGCCATTGATTATAGGTGTGCAGATGGCTAGACAAGTGAAAAAAAAACTGAAAAAAGTGAACCTCGTACAGTTAAGTCCAGACATGCGGAAGAAAGACAGAAACACTGCAGACTGGACAAAACGCCGACATGAAGTTGTTTTTCGAAACAACAATAATTTTGGTGCTTCGTTAACCGTGAAGTAATTCAGTTATATTGAAAACGGTGGATTCGATGTGTGACAGCGATCAAAACTAAAAATTTAACATAGTGGGAAAAACATCACTGTGTACCGTGTGTTAGGATCAGTTGTTGGCAGGTAAATAAAGCCTAGAGCTACAGCACACAATGGTAATCACGAAATTCACACCATGGAAGTACTCGGAGTGGCACCCACGGGTTTTTATTTTAAAAGTTAAATTACGCGGTCTTACTATAAACAGAAAAGCTTATTCACAATGTAGTATCATACATCATCTTGTAAGTTCAGGTTACACAGAGCTTGTTCTTATTCATCCTTCTTCGCCCTACGATAGAAACAGAACAGAGTTATGCCAATAATGTCATACATTGTAATTTCAACAGTGTTACGGTTATTCCTTCCAAATAGCGCGCATTTTAGTGCGTCTGCCATTTCTCTCGTTTTGTTAGGCGTGGTAGGTTATTGTCTTTCTTTCAATCTTTTGAAGCATATTAGTAAACTATTGGTTTAAGCCCAAGATAATTCCGTAACATAAACAGTTAACTTTTATTTTCATCGTATACCTTGACGTCGCTTAAGAACCAGCCTCATTTTACCTGGAATTTTGTAACTTTAATACTGAGCATATTCCATATTAAATTGTAAACTAGCTAAAATATCTTTAGTGTATCGTCATATAATTGTTTCTGACCTAAAAATTTATAATGGGTGATTATGAGAAACAGTGTAGTGCGGACTGCAGTCTACTGCTTATGAATTCCCTACGACATTAAATTGAGTAGACGGCTACTGACTGATCATCTGTATGCGCAAGTGACTATATATTGTATCGCTTTGTTTCATTAGATAGTAACTGAGTATATCCCATCATTTTAGTGGATTAGGTTTTGCAAGTTAGTCGATTGATATCATTCTTAAAAAGACTCCACGCCTAAAACGTACCGGTCTTTCAATATATAATTTCCATTGACATCATTATTCAGCACTATGAGATTAGATTTCAAAATTACAAAAGATTCGAAAGAAGCGCTTATCGAGACCGAATTTCTAACAGGCAATAAATTATAGCGATGCTTACATTTACTGATTTCTTTTCGGGCGAAATTTACCAATCCCGTCCATGTCTGTTTACATGTTTCACGTATATTCATTGCAGTGTCATCTTTTCACTTTTCTGTAGGTGTTTAAGTTAGTGCTACTCAGTTAAAAGATTTATGAAGTTCATGAGCGTTTAGAAGTAGTATTATTGTGAAGTTACTTACTTTAGTTGTAAATCTTAGCATGCGGTTTATGAATTTCTTTTTAAAAATTTAGATTTGATGGAACGTGTTCGACAAATTGTCAACCAGCAAAAGTTACGTTGCTTGGATGGTAAGTAGTCCAAAGTATGTTGACCTAGTAGCTAAGTAGCAAAGCACGCAAATTTAACTATTTATATCAGCATGATATCCAAACATTTATGAAAACACGTTTTATCTACCGTTGGTAACGTCTGCTGAATTGATAGATAATTGGAAGCCTATCCCATTAGTCTTGGAACACGACATTGAGCAAAAATAAGTTGAATATAGACTGACCAAAATTCTACTCAATGGTCGTGGGTATTAGTAGGTAGCGAAGACAAAAGAGATGACAATGACAAGGGAGATAGGCGGCGATTGACTACTTGTCAGACTTATCAAGGAAACAGGTATTAATGCTTTAGGAGTTATTGACAATATTTCGGGCGACGATAAAGCAGTGATCCATTCTAAGGTCAGGAGATTAAGACAATGCGCTGTACACTTACAAGGACAGTTTAATCAGTCCCCAGCTAGCTTCTGATTGCTTGCCCCTACCAAATAACCTGGATGAATCGTCAACACTATTCTCCTGACTTTTAGGTTAGAAAACCTCTTATAGTGAGGGCGGTTAGCAGGTCCTAATGGATGAGCTCTGGAGATCTTTAAAGACATCGATCCAGTTTTAGCATATAAGCTCACTGAATATTCTAAGGATTAATGATTAGACGAAATGCCATCTGACTCATCTTGATAGCTGATTCTTCCAATTCCTGTGAAAGGACGAAAGTTGGTGATAACCACTGAGTAATAGTGTTGACTAATACTATATCTAACATACATACCCCATTCCGTAGAGAACCTGCTCGCTAAAGAACTCTAACGCTAGTTAGTCTATCAAGCAAGATATGCAAAACACAACTTTCATTTCCTCACTGAGCTGGTTTTGTAAACGTTTATAGATCTCTAGACAAGAGCTATCATAACAAATCCAAACAAATGTGGTTACCAATTCATAACCCTTTTTTTCAAAGTAAAACGGCAATCCACACTCTCGCATCATATTCTCACCCTATAACTTTGCTTCAGAGCGCTTGAAATCTCAGTATACGAAATGCACAGCAAGTCTATCATATTTTAACTTTGGTTTTATGACGTTGTTTGTTTATTTACTGATTCCTAAGCAGTTACAAATTAGTAGTGCAAAGTCTTATTTAAATTAATAATATTCTCAATTATTGAAACTACAGTAATTTGTGTAAAAATCTCAAACTCAAAGACTCGACGTGAATACACTGATCTGGCTTTGAAGTCATGTCCGGTGGGCGACGATAAAGCAGTGATCCATTCTAAGGTCAGGAGATTAAGACAATGCGCTGTACACTTACAAGGACAGTTTAATCAGTCCCCAGCTAGCTTCTGATTGCTTGCCCCTACCAAATAACCTGGATGAATCGTCAACACTATTCTCCTGACTTTTAGGTTAGAAAACCTTTTATAGTGAGGGCGGTTAGCAGGTCCTAATGGATGAGCTCTGGAGATCTTTAAAGACATCGATCCAGTTTTAGCATATAAGCTCACTGAATATTCTAAGGATTAATGATTAGACGAAATGCCATCTGACTCATCTTGATAGCTGATTCTTCCAATTCCTGTGAAAGGACGAAAGTTGGTGATAACCACTGAGTAATAGTGTTGACTAATACTATATCTAACATACATACCCCATTCCGTAGAGAACCTGCTCGCTAAAGAACTCTAACGCTAGTTAGTCTATCAAGCAAGATATGCAAAACACAACTTTCATTTCCTCACTGAGCTGGTTTTGTCAGTCAGTCAGTCAGTTGCAACGTAGAACTTCGTACGTGTGTACATAAGTTCATGTTGCCATACCACATTATTAGCACAGAGACGCAAATGTCAAATCAAATCCCATAGTGATAAAGATGGTAGAGGTATTAATGGTAATGAAGAAGACTAGGGTTTAAGATATTATTCAAAAAATATAATTCAGTGAGATAAGGTTAGAAAGACAAAGGTAGAGGTGCTGACGAAACCAGAAGATTAGGATTTGACAGAGCTCAAAGAGTGGATGCACCTGCGCCATTGCAAACGATTTTGAGCCATGTCGTTCAAGGTCTCTAACCATTGATGACTTTCGTCTCGCGGACCCCAACCAGGTAGTCTACATCTACCAACATGACTCAGTCCACTTGTCAGGGACTTCATGGATTTCTGCCATGTTTTGGTCTGGCCGCCCCTAGCTTTCTTCCAACCTACTCCTACACCACAAAACATAGCTCGTCGAGGCAGTCGGTGGTTAGGCATACGCAACACATGTCCCAACCACCTCAACTGATGAAGTTTCACCACTTCATCTATTGATCTACCATCCTTACCTAGTACTCGTTTCCTAACGACAGCATTGCTTACTCGGCTGTCCCACGATATACGAGCAATGCTTCTTAAACATCTATGATCGAATACTAGTAACCTACGAACATCTTCTACTCTTAACGGCCATGTTTCACAGCCATATAAGAGAACGGAACGAACTGCTGCGCAGTACACCCGCCCTTTGGTTAGCGAACGGATATCACGCCTACGCCATAAGTGACGCAGGTTGGCAAAAGCCAATCGAGCTTTCTGTATCCGAGCTGAGATTTCGTCAGTCACCAGACCGTCAGCACTGATGAGACTCCCAAGATAAGTGAAGTGATCTACACGCTCGACTACTTCACTCCCTATCACTAGTTCAGGTGCCGAAGCAACCCAGTCTTGAAGCAACATTTTGCATTTCGACGGGGAAAACCGCATCCCGAACATGCTCGCATTGTTGCTTATGGTAGTCAGAAGACTCTGCATTTTGTCAGCGTCTTCACCGAATAGAACTATGTCATCGGCATATTCTAGATCAGTAAGCGACGTTCCTGGCAGAAGGTCAACCCCTGAAAAATCTGACGAGCTTAATGTTAACTCTAAGAGGATGTCTACGACAAAGTTGAACAAGAATGGAGAGAGTGGACAGCCCTGACGGACACCACTTGATGTAGAGAATTCAGATGACAGTTCGCCATATGCTCTCACCCGACCAGTGGTGTTCGAGTAGAGTGCTTGTATAAGGTTAATGTACTTCTTTGGTACACCTTTCAATGACAGACACTGCCACAGAACCTCACGATCCACTGAGTCGAATGCCGCCTTAAGGTCTAGGAACACGACTATTGCCGGACGCCTAAATGTGTGTCTGTGTTCCAGGACCTGTCGTAGTGTGAAGATGTGGTCTATACAACCACGTCCAGGTCGAAAACCAGCCTGGTTTTCTCGAGTCTGCTCTTCGCGAGCTCTAGTTAGACGTCTAAGTATAATCGAGGCTAACAATTTAGAAACTATATTAGTTAGACTTATTCCCCTGTGATTGTCACAAGAGGACTTCTGTCCTTTCTTGTAGATTGGGACAATTAGCGACTGGGACCAGTCAGATGGGATTACGTCCATTTCCCAGATTCTACCTAGGATCTCGGTCAGTTTAACCGTTAAAACTGGACCACCATCCTTAAACATCTCAGGGGTGAGCCTATCGGGGCCTGCCGCTCTACCTCTCCTTAGATTTCCTATAGCTTTCTCAACTTCATTTAAACTGGGGGGACTTAAATCGATTTGCCATTCAGGATAACTGGAGATCGTGGGCAACCGAAGAGTGGCTGAAGGCCAGTTGAACTGATCCCTAAAGTGTTCTGCCCATCGGTCCAGCCTCCTACATTGAGAATGGATAATAAGACCATCCTTTTCTGAGATAGTCTCACTTACATTCGGGTTCCTAATACCGGTTTCTTTGATAAGGCGGAAAAGTTGTCTAGTGTTGCCTATCGCCGCTGCCTTTTCCATCGCTTTTGCTTTCGCCACCCACCACTGTTCACGGTCGTTACGTAGGCTTTTTATAAGTCTGCGCCTAAGTTGAGTACGCTCTTCATCATGTTCACAGTCAGGTGGGATGCGTTTTCGTGCATCCATCAGTTCGGTGGATGCGACTGAAATCCACGGCTTCATCCTAGCCTTATGGTTTACCTTGCTAGCAGATATCACTGCTGTTTCCACAGCCTTCTTTATATCATTCCAACCTGACTCCGGATGGGAATCACTTGCATGATCGCCTAACTGTTTTTCTAGTTCCTCTTGAAATATTTTCTTAGCTTGATTATCATCAAGTAAAGCCCTAAGAGGCTTCCTTACGGTGTCTTTCCTACGTCCAGCAAGCCTCAAACAAATACGTGCTCGCACTAGGGCATGATCTGAATCTAAACATGTGCCCCAGAACGAGCGACAGTCTTCTATCGAACCCCTCCATCGGTGGCTGATGGCGATATGATCTAGTTGTGTCCAACGTTGAGACGACTTCGGGGGTCGCCACGTCAAAAGATGTTTTTCCTTATGCTTAAAATTAGTGTTTGCTAGAAATAGTTGGTTATCTGAGCACAGTTGCAACAGACGGTCGCCATTGTCTGTTCTTTGAGCCGCGAGACCGTAACATCCACCTAGGTGTCTTTCATTTTCACTTAGTCTACCTACTTGTGCATTGAAGTCACCAGCCATTATAACTATATCAGAGCGCTTAACTTTTTGGAGGAGGTCCGAAAGCTTTCTGTAAAACTCATCTTTTACATCATCTGGGCTGCAGTCAGTGGGGGCGTAGGCTGATATGACGAAGAGGCAACGGCGAGTGTCCCTATCTTTCCGAGTCCTTACTGTCCCGTTCAGTCGGACGGCGCACAAGCGACTATCTACAGGGATCCAGTCAAGGAGAGATTGTTCTGCCCTACGACTCAATGCTATACCTACACCGGCGAGGCCCCTAGAAGCAGCATCAGGGCTACCGGATACACGAAGGGTGAATCGAGCTGCTTCTTTATCTTGACATGGTGAGGTCAAATGAGTGATGCTACTCGGATCCTGTATGCGCGTTTCCGAGACGCAGCATACATCGATGGAATCAAGACTGGGTTGCATCGGCACCTGAACTAGTGTAGGGTGAAGTAGTCGAACGTGTAGACCGCTTCACTTATCTTGGGAGTCTCATCAGTGCCGATGGCCTGGTGACTGACGAAATCTCAGCACGGATACAGAAGGCTCGATTGGCTTTTGCCAACCTGCGTCACTTATGGCGTAGGCGAAATATCCGTTTGCTGACTAAAGAACGAGTGTACTGCGCAGTAGTTCGCTCCGTCTTACTTTATGGCTGTGAAACATGGCCGTTAAGAGTAGAAGATGTTCGTAGGTTACTAGTATTCGATCATAGATGTTTAAGAAGCATTGCTCGTATATCGTGGGACAGCCGAGTGAGCAACGCTGTTATTAGGAATCGGGTGCTAGGTAAGAATGGCAGATCAATCGATGAAGTATTGAAACTTCACCAGTTGAGGTGGTTGGGACATGTGTTGCGTATGCCGAACCACCGGCTGCCTCGTCGAGCCTTGTTTTGTAGTGTGGGAATAGGTTGGAAGAAAGTTAGGGGCGGCCAAACCAAAACATGGCAGAAATCCATGAAGTCACTGACAAGTGGACTTAGCCATGTCGGTAATTGTCGACTACCTGGTTGGGGTCCGCGAGATGATAATAATCGATGGTTAGAGACCTTGAATGACATGGCTCAAAATCGTTCGCAATGGCGCCAGTGCATTTATTCTCTGTGTTCTCTCAAATGCTAATCTTCTGGATTCTTCAACCCCTCTAGTTTCGACTCTCTAAACTTTTCTCACTGAATCATACTTCTTGAGTAGTATCTTCTAATCCTAACCTCTCCGATTATTTCTAATTCCCTTACTACCTCTTCTACTATTGGATTTGAATTGACGATTACTTCTCTGTGCTGATGTGGTATGGCAACATGAACTGATGTACTTATGTACAAAGTTCTACGTTGCATCTGACTGACTGACTGACTGAGAATAAAAGAAATCGACACATATCAGAAATAATACTAACGTGAGATTAAGATAATCTGACAGTCGATACCAGAAGTTGGTAGCGTAGGTTTTCTACTGAGTCGCATATTAATTTTTTGAAATATGAACATTCAAACAGCGAGAAAAATCCATTTCGTCTTTAATGAAGAAATGAAGGCAATATGCCTTCTAAAAAATATAATTTCTTTAGTATCATCCGATTGCATTTGTTTGGAACTATATAAAATTGTGTTTATCTATTCAGAGCATTACCATTCTTTTATAACAGGGTTTTCTACTGTGAACGATGACCAGAAGGAAACATCTACAACTGATAAATGTAGATTCGATGCAAAAGCCCGCGTTCTAAAACGTTTACATGGTACAAGTCCAACAAACCCATGTATTAGGCGTGTCTGTGCCAAAAATGCCTGTTCGCAACAAGTTGGTTCACAAATCAATACAGTTCCTAATAATGTACATGCCTGGCGTAAGGGCAAAGAAATTATTCAAAAATATCTTAGTACTTCATCTGGTTAGTGTTTATTTATCTTTGAAATTACAATTTATTTGTAAGATACTAACTCGCGTTATGTCATATCACATGCGTAAAACCAACAGATGATTTTGTTTACTATATTAACAAACCATTCTTTTAAGCTTTTTTAATCATATTATTATTGAATTGATGGAAATTTTGCTAACACTGTAGAGTTCCCATTCATCTGTCACTAAGGAACGTGGATGTTCTTGGAATAAAAGCGAACTCTAAATCGATGGATGTTATGTCCATCTGCTTATCTCTCTGTCAAAGTTTGGTTTGACTGAGTTAAGTATTGGTTGACTGTCAGTTATTGCTGTACCAATCAGTAGTAGCTGTAGAGTATATTAACATGCATACATCTCGGCCCAGTCACTTCATAAAGCTAACTAGTAAATCGTGATAAGATAACGAGTTCACATTCTTAGATTAGCAAATGTCATGATTCATCGCTTCTGTGTCCCGCACCTGTAAGTGTTGAGAAGAGCAATACACTAGGATGCATGCTTAACTTTTATATATTTTTAACTCTCGATTTCATCGTATCCTCATTTTCGGTGTAGCAATGGTTTAGTTGATTGCAGTGTGAATGCCTTATATTAAGTTGATTTTTATCATTCATCTGTGACATATAATCGCATATTGATGAGTTATTAGGCAACATAGTCAATTAGTTGTGTCTGTTGATTATAGATGCCCAATTATATGATAGTGTTAATATATCCACACAGTATGTTCAATAGTACTCAGTCCAGTTTATAAAGGCAGTAGTAGTAGCACAGTGTATTCTTATATTAATTTGAATTATTTTGGAAGTCAAATCTATTTGTACAAACATGTTAATTTGATAAATTTTCCCCACAGAGAGTATTGATAAACATGTGGTTAGTGAAGAAAAATGTTCGAAATTAGAGCATACAAGCCCTTTGGAATTTGACTCAGTCATTACTAAGGATAATCAAAGAGTACTAAATTTAAACCAAAAGGAGCCGAAGAACACGAGAAATCTGGATAAAGCAAACGAAAAGATAATGAAAGCACCGTTTGTTGCTTCGAAATGTAGCAAAGGTCTCTTCCATCCAGTTAAGGCAAAAACTACAGTAAACAATTCAGGTTTGTCGAAATATTTTTGGACGTTTTTTATGATTATCTAAACGCAAATTTTACACCTTCATTCTTTCTTGTTCATGTTTACAACAGACAGACAGATTTTAGTCGAAACTATTCTGTCTTAGAAAATTTGTTCTTGACAGTCATTTTGCCTACAGTCATAATTTCGTGTGACCATTTAAAGTGCTTAGAAGATAGACCATTAGATCCCTTAATTTCAATTTTAAATCTGATATTTGTGGAATTGGGATTTTCATCAAATGAAATATTTTAATAAGTACTAGGTTTTAAGAATGTTAGTGGAGATAAGAGCTATGTTAGGTGTAGGAAGGATTTGTTTGTGACTTCTTTGGTCTCGCGTGCTGTTACGCGTATGAGGGTGGATGTTACTCCCCGGCTGCCCACACTATGGAAGAATGTTTCCTGAGGAACCTAAAAAGGAAGGTAGATTAGCGTTGATCTTAGAAACCTGAGAGCGTGACTGTAGAGTCCAACGGACAACTTCTTGAGGCCGGTTACGCACGGCCTTTTTATGGATAGTATTAAACGTGTTAGCTTCGTTCTTGTTTAAAAGGCCTTACCGCCGGAGACGGAAATCCGTGAGGTAGGGTGAGGTGTGACATTTTTAGGGTCGACCTTTTTCTGCAGAGTCGCTGCAGATGCTGGTTGTCTGAGGGAAACACCTTGCTGCTGTCACACTACTCTACAGTCAGCAGTACGACTTCACCCTCAGATCTTGAGTAATTGTTTTTAGTCTCATCGTTCTCCAATCGACCTTCCTAGCGTGGTAGAATCTACAGGAACATATGTTCCAGCCAATATAAACAAGCCCGACCACCACGTCAAGGTAGCGGCTATGGTCGGGGACTCGAAATGCAAAATGTCTCAACATTGGGCTGTATTGGCACCTCAACTAGTGATAGGGAGTGACGTAGTCGAGCTTGTAGACCGCTTGATTTATCTGGGGAGTCTCATTAGTGCTGATGGCCTGTTGACTGACGAAATCTCAGCATGGATACAGAAAGCTCTATTGGCTTTTGCCAACCTGCGTCACCTATGGCGCAGGCGAGATATCCGTTTGCTAACCAAAGAACGAGTGTACTGCGCAGGAGTTCGCTCTGTCCTACTATACGGATGCGAAACATGGCCGTTAAGAGTAGAGGACATTCGTGGGTTATTAGTATTCGATTCTAGATGTCTTCGAAGCATTGCTCGTATATCGTAGGACAACCGAGTAAACAATGCTGCCGTTAGGAAATGAGTACTAGGTGGAGATGGGAGATCAATTGGTGAAGTAGTGAAACTGCATCATCTGAGGCAGTTGGGACATGTTTTACGAATGCCGAACCACCGACTACCTCGAGTTGTTTTGTAGTGTACAAATAGGTTGCAAGAAAGCTAGGGTTGGCCAAACCAAAACATGGCACAAATTCATGAAATCACTGACAAGTAAACTGAGTCATGTTGGTAGATCTAGGCTACCTGGTTGGGGTCTGTGAGACGAAAGTCACCACTGGTTATAGACCTTGAACAATATGGCTCAAAATCGTTTGCGATGGCGCAGGTGCATTCATTTATTGTTCTCTCTCGAATTCTAACCTGAATTTCTCATCATCTCTATCTTTCTCTTTCTAAAGTTATCTCACTGAACTATGCTTCTCGAATCATATCTTCGAACCGTAACCTCTGTTACTGCTAATACTTCTACTATCTCTACCACTGTCGGGTTTGAACTGACAGTTGCATCTTTATGCTGATGCAGTATGGCAACCTGAACTTGTTTACTTATGTACGAAGTTCCACGTCGTAACTGACTGACTAAGTTTTAGAAACACATGGTAGTTCGTCGCTAATCGTGTGGTTTCAAGTACGTTTGTTTAGTGGTACTTTGTGTAAGCTGTGGTGTAGTGTTATAAGTTTTTACCACTTACGCAATAAGTATATTTCAGTAAATATTAAATTTTCTAAAGAAATTAATTAATCTATTTAATGTTCTAACGTAAAAATAAGCTGACTGTTTTTAAACTTTAGTTTGTTAGTTTGTATGTAAAAATAATAATTATTATGTAGCAGATGTTGCTCTGCAATTGAGTGATAATCTTCCCAAAAATCTTTGGTCTTATTTTATACGTAGGTTGCGCTACTAAGATGCATAGGTTTTTGAGTGTCGAAATGGACAATCTATTAATCTGTTATTATACACTATGATGAGACTACCAAGTTATTCCTCTTGGTAGTAGTGAAGAAAATATTTACTCGGAATGCAATAATTTAATATTCGTATCAGATAAAGTGTTATTAGCACTTCTACGTTTATGCTAATTAACTAGTTGAATTTAAATTTTATTACTTAATTTTTAGATGCACTAGTGTCTGCGCAAAAAGATATTCATGACTGTCCTACACCCAGAGCTCATCTTAAGGCCCTGGTTCAACAGCAAAGGGAAGCTCGAAAACGAAACCTTAAACGACAACTAGAAGCTGAAAAAGAGAAGCGTGAACGAATACAGCGAAATCTGCAAGCAACTGCCCTAGCAGCTGCCGCCGCTGCGAAGTCATCTGTCACTCAGACCAAAAGAATATCTGAGTTTTCTCCAGTTGTTCCTGTATGTTCGTTTCAGCCAATCAAAATGCCTGTATTACCGGTACGTATTGGGTGTTAAAGTTTATCATAAGCGCTCACTAACTTCAAGTCCGTTGGAAACCATCGAATTCACTTATTGCTAAGTTTAGTTCACTGCATCGGTTTTCGTAGTATAAATAGCTTCAATGTGATTTCCTTTCATTAATTTAAATTGGGTCACTCAACTTAACCTCGAATTTTCGCACACACTAGGAAACTATATTTTGCATATTACAGATAGCGAAAGAACTAACTAAAGCGAATAATTGCTAGGAAAGCCTCAAACTGTCTAGTGTTTTTTAGTAAATGTCCATACCTTTTATGTGGCGATTACCCCAGGTACCTTTTTTCCAATTATTCTGATTTTGATTGACCGTTGGAGGCTGTGAATGACATGACTCAAAATCGTTTGCAATCGTGCAGATACATCCATTCTTTGTCTTCTCTCTTATTCTAATCTTTAAAATTCCTCATGACGTTTGTTCTCTTTTTAAATTTACTTCATTAGATTATACTCCTTGGATAATATCTTCGGACCCCAATCTTCTCCTTTACTGCTAATACTTCTACTACCCCCACCACTATGGAATTTACATTGAAAATTGTATCCTGTTCATATCCTGTTCATATTAGGATAATCTCGATCGTCCATAATTAGAAATTATTGATTTTCTGTACCAATATCTGAAGTTCACATATAAAGGCACGTTATGTAGCTAGTATGAGTGTGTAAATAATAAAGACTAAATTATGAAACAATAGTTATTGTTTCCACATAATAAAGTTTGACTGTTTACTAATGAACAATTATCAAGAGTAGCTACTTATTCTATTGAGATAATCGAAGCTATTCAGGAGCTACAGGCCGATGAACAAAATCAGAATGAGAAATATCAAGGAGAAGTAGATAAAGCACCTTAGCAGGATGCATATTTAAAGTGATTCTGTAAAAGTACAGATACATTCTTTAGAGCTTTACCCCAAGGCAGTGTATTGATCAATAGATACTCATAATTAAGTTGAGTGCACTTTTGAGATTTTAATTTACACAGTGCAAAATAGATTTAACTTATTGCAGTGACGGAAATTTACGCTCATAAAATGCCGGAGTCTTAAAATGTATGTACTCATTCAACTCTGGAAATGAATGTTACTGATAAACTTGTTATTCTGTGTTGGTGGTTTTCATTTCTCTAAAACTAGAAATTAATTCCATCGAACCTCACTATCGTAGAATTACTCTGTAATTTTAAATCTGTGACCATTCAGCGTGTACTTTGTAATCCGCTTTCCGTTTTAAGGGTGTTTTTTTGTTGTTGCTAGTTTAACATTTTCATGAACAATACTCCTACGAATATGGTGTTTTTATGTTGTTGCATTTTTGTATTTATTATTTGGAAGGTATATTAAACCTGATGTATATTCCTTTATAGTTGAACTCTTACTCTTCGGAACGAGAAAGAAAGCTAGAGGAGCTTCTCAGACGTGAGACATCAACACCAGAAAACCAGACTACTGCTCCTGCATCTTCAGACCAAGATTCTATGCATTCTTCTTATCGGGATTTTATTGAAACCTTTAAAGTTAGATCTAGCTCAGTGAATTCCCATCTAACTAATCCAGTCTCAACGAGTGAATGCAGCATGAAACAAAATCTCATGGCTTCTGTAAATAAATCTGGAGATGTTAATAGTGAGTAATTATAGGTAGTTATTCACATGTAATCACTTTTAACTCGTACAATTTCTACGATATTCATGAGATTTACGTAGTTTAATGATATTATAGATAGTAAATTAAGTAGTTCCAAACACCCCAAGTCGTCACACTTCACAAAGGAAGTAAGAAAAATAAACAAACGTAAATTAAAGAATTAGACTTTAGTTGTAAGTATTGAAGTTTTAGAAGACTAACCGAAAGCTGACTGTGATATGATATGGGAAGTAAGGAATTCTTTAAACTAGTTTCTAAAGTTTCGCTCTATTCGTTATCAAGAGGATTGAACTTCTTTTTTTCATTTTCAGTTCGATTACACCATTGTCAATTCCGTTTGACATACAAAAAATTGATTTCAATACTTGTTTGTGTTCTATGCTCATTCGAAAGGTGCCTTTTCAAAAGGTGTATTAGGTAATGAAAGTGTCTTTTTTCAAATAGGCGCTCGACAATATCGAATCGATGAATAATCTATGACATTAACAAAGAATTTAGTTTATCGATTTAGATTAACACCCTCTAACATATAGTATTCGGCTGTGATTAATTAATGGTCGTCATACTGATGTACAAGTTACCCGCATCTTATATATCACTAAGTAAAAATGAAGAGAATTCAGCGATGGGTTGTTTTAATATATTTATCAAACAACAACTGAATTAAGTGTAATACACTATATCCCGCATAACTAAATCCTGCCTGTTCAAGTTTGTTACCTGGGTTTGAGTACTTTAATTTACATTACCTTATAAACCCTACTGATATATATATATATATATATATATATATATATATATATATATGTATATATATATATACCATTGAAGAAAAACTGATTTCATTTTTAAATTTGCTATTGAACTTTTTCTAGTATCGTTTGGAATCAGTTGGAATTTTTATTTTGGGTTTGTGTCTGTTTCTTATGTATAACAATACTGTCTTAATATAAGTCAGTCTTACGGAGTTTTCTAAGTATATTAAACCGGCTAACTTTACATATACACATATTTAATTTTGCCTCCTTTTTCTTCAGTTATAACTACGAAAAATCTCATTACTGATAATAATAATAATAGTAAATAATTTTATTCACATAATTAAACGAAGTTTAGTTCACTTTTTAGTAGTGAGTTTTCACAGTTACGACTTTTATTCAATGTACTGTTGTATTCATCTGAAAAACGCACCTACCGTTCATTGTAGCTAGGAGATTGTTTTAGCTTTTGTAAAGATATATGTATAAAATGTATAAATGACAAATAGTTCTACAGTAAGTTATCATTACCGTATGAAGCTTACATTTACGATAAGGGTTGACTCCTAACATTGGTAAGCACTAAATAACTTAGTATGGCCTCAAAGATAAAGTGTGTCAATCAATAAGAAATCAGTTAGTTAGCCGGTAGTTATATCTAAGTTCAGTGATGACTAACAACAATAAAATGGAAATTAACAGCAAAAAGTATAGGCGCTGTTGTATTTTCGTAAAGATTCAAGGAATGAACGAAATTTGGAAGTAGCTTTTAAAATTGTAAGTACTTGAAAATACTACATGAGGACAAAATATACGGTACACTGTGTACTCAAAGGTTATTGAAAATAAAACTGGTCATAGAATATTTGTAAGAAGTATAGGGTAACACGAAAGCGATTTGAGTAGGAGGTGAATAAAGACAGTGTAAACAGACTTAAAACTTCATTTATTCAATTTAGTTTTTAAGTAACAACTTTCTGACATGTTTTTATCTCAGTTTTGTACGAGTTCGTACCTGTTTATGCAAAATTTTGTAATCTTACAACTACGAAATATAACTAGAGAAATTTTCTCCATAGACCACTTCTACTACTACGAATATATAGGCCTAACACATTTCATTTTCACGTTTATTTTGTGCTATAACTCACCATCAACCTCCTCATATGCAACATAATCATTTCATAACTCTCTGACGAATTTCCTAGTTGTAATTGTTAACCTTTTATACTTTTCTTAATGAAGGTTATGAATCTGAATTGTCAAAAAGATCCCTTCATGAAGATCAAAAATTAACAGTTCCAGTTTCTTTTGAAAACGCTGTATCAACTGGTTCAAGAGCTGATGTGATTGTTACTCGTCCTGAAATACGACAAAACTGGTAAGAGAATGGCTCTAAATATTCATTATGTTTTGGTATAATTTTTGACACAGTTGTTGTCACTTTTTAATCAGTAGCTGTTTTTCTAACTAACTAACTAACTCACCTACTAGTTAGCAAAAAGTTAGTTGGTTTATTTGGTTAGTTTCTTTTTTGGGTTAGGGTGTGTTCTAAATCCATGTAGATGGTAATTATCATATCACCTCAATCTTTTCCCAACTATACCAATAATTTAAACACCGAGGTTGCTTTCCAATATGTAATTCTTTTCATTGAATACGTTTTGAAGAATAATAATTGTAGTTTTTCCATTATTTCCTATTAGTTTGTTTGCTCTAAAAAAGTCTGCTGATTCGTGTGCAAATCGACCAAAGAATATCTGTGATCATGCAACAGAAGCTGCTCGTCTAGGTATAAAGTTAAGCACACAACGTATAAAGCACATGCTTGTTGTTGATTCTGATGACGACGATGATGATAATAATTCTGTTGAGGATCACTGTTTTTATACGAAAGGTGTGGTTAACTCGTCAGTCTCTTCATCTGGAACAATTCAAAAGCCAACAGTTGGTGTCTGGAGACGTTTAGAAGCTGTAGGAGCTAGTGAATCTGAATTGGAAGATAATAATGTTTGTATCATTGAAGATGTCAAGGTTAGTGTACTTATTTAACATGCTAGGTACTTCAATTAGTCACAATGCCTTAAACCCGTTCACTCTTTACTTAGATTTTGAGTTTCAAATTTACTTAATTCCACAAATTAATTCTTTTATCATGTCATTTATGTTTAATCCTTTTTTACTATCACTGGTTTTACTGCTTGGCGAATTTCATCTGTTCTGATGTAGTATGGCAACTTGGATAGATACACTTATGTGCCAGGTCCTACCTTGTTTGTCACTGACCAATCTAATTATCAATCAAATATTTATGAATTCTGTATGTATCATTATTTGTTCGCATTTTAATCAAATTATCATTTAAATGCATTTTACGAATAATTTAAAGTAATTAAAGAATCTGGCTATGCAGAAATATTTCTTTTTAATCAAAGATATATCTTAAGTATATTGTGCAATATAACAATGTATCGTAAGTTAGATAAAGATTATAGAGAAACATATGGTAGAAATATGGTAAAAATGAAAATTAATCCTTTGCGTAGAAGCTTTTCACTTTCATCCAGTCAACTAAATGTCAAATTCACTCATCTTGTTTTGTTTTTTTTTTAGAAAAAAAGGTAGTTTCAACCTTTTTGCTGCCATTTTCATAATTTTGTCTTGTAATCTAGTTTTGTTATCTTTCGTAACATAGAATCATAATTCCGTGATAAATTCTATTTTCTTATGATATCTGATGAAAAGAAAGTAAATTTAACTTGCTATTCATTACAAGGGATCTTTAATTCATTTATTGGAGTTCCGATGAATACCAGAGCAACTAAGCTGTGTTGTTCTCATTAAATTGTCAATTTGTGTTGTTGATATTCAAACCAAAACATCAGATTATTAAGATCCTAGTCATTAGTTTCATGTAATTTCTTAATTTTAAGCAGTTGATTATAATTACTACAAAGCATTTTACTTGCTTACTTTATTTAGGATGAACAACCTTCGACTGTGGATCATGTATCTAAGCACCTCCCATCATCTTGGAAATATCAAACCAATCTGAACAATTTTCATCAAGCTGGAATAAATCATTTTACGAGAGATATTTGTGCTAAAGATGAATTTCGAAATCTAATTTATAGTGATCCTTTACGTTTCGCTTGGGTACACAAGCATCAAAAAAAGCTGTTTGATAGGTAAACTTTGCTTTTACATTCTATCTCATATGAACATATTTGTTTTTAATGTTCACTGTGTTTGAGTAAAACTTAAACTGAAATATTATTTATATTTTTAGAGGAGAAAAGAAACCTTTTCAATCTTTTGAAACACAAGTAAACAATATGGCAAAGATAGGAGCACGCGAAAAGAACAACACAGATAGAAACAGTTCGGCTTGCTCTCGAGAGGTGAATGGCAAAGAATTATTGGCTGTCAAATCGAATGCTTCCGGTGATATCAACACTCAAGCAGTTCATGTGAGTCAGATTAACATTATCAATATGGAATACATTTATAATGAAACTCCTATGATGAAACTTCACAAATTATTATATTTTCTATATTCATTAGGTGGGATGTACAAACTCAGGAGATCACAGTTCATTATCACATAATACCTGTCCTATCAGGACGAAAGCACAAGAATTGTTTATAACCGAAGATCATTCTGATTCTCAGACACTCCCTGCAAATTATCAAAATATTAATACGTTTATAAATAAAAATATCAACTCTTCTCAACCGAGGTTAACACCTGCTGCACTTAATCTACAATTAGCTGCTGAAATGAATTATCTTGAAGCACTCTCTGGTTCAATGCAACATATTGCTAATATGGAGTCCCTTCGTCAAATTACTGCTGCCCAAGCTGAATGTGTAAGCCTAGCACAGTTGCTGAAAGTGAGTTATAGTTTTTCGAAAATACCTCATCGTAACAGCATCAAAATGAGTCACGTTTTGAATTTTTTGTCCACTGAGTACAGATATTCTGAGTTTGTAGTGTTAACCTTTTAAGTTCACTTAAGACACTACTGTTTGTTGCTCCTTACTTAACTTCATCGCTGTATGTACTGTGTATTTTCTAGGGAACACTATCGGTGTCCATTTAAGTGAATTAGTTTGAACACATAATGGACAGGTTGATTGACGGCTAATGACACACTCATGTCTTACTGACCCTAAATAGCAAGGTAGTTTGTTCAGTTTCTTTATTAAAAATGTAAAATAAACATTAATTATCATTAAATTGCACATCACAAGTTGTTACCGTCAAAATAATACATCTCATCTTCTAAAATATTTAATCTGTCATCATTAGGAAAGGAAATTATCGACATTGAATTCTTTATAATTTACATCTAAATTTTATTCTTTTTAATCTAATAAAAAGGCTCGTGAATTGCAGATATCATCAAACATTGGTGATCAGATATTAGAGAAGGAAGGACCAGGTGCATTTGTCAGCTCTGATGAACCAGGTCGTCTGATTTCTGGTGTACATTCACCTCAGTTTGAAAGTGTACTTAAAGCTGCTGAAGAATTTGATAAGGTAATTTTTCGTAATTTTATGCTCATATATGTTTGCGTGTATATTGTATAAGATAAGACCTTTTTGTTTAGTTTTAATAAATTTGAGTTAACATTGTCAATAAAATGAATTAGGGGATGGAAAAATACCACAATGGACTGTGTAGCATTAATTTGGTGATTAGACCTTACGAATTCCAACTATTTAGCGTAAGATTCATATTCGATGCTTCACCTACTTTGACTTAGGGAGCTGGATATTGTTGCCAGTCCCCCACTCTACCACACATAATTCAGTTCAAAGTCAAGTACATATTATTTTTAATAGTTTCAGTTGTTTATTCATAGCGTTTGCAATGGCGCAGGTGCCTTCATTCTTTGTGTTCTCTGAAATCTTAACCTTCGGAGTTCCTCATCACCTTTATCTTGTGTTTTCAAGTTTCTTTCACTAGATTTTACTTCTTGAATTATATCGTCGAACCCTAATCTCTGAGATTACTGCTAATACTTCTATTACCTCTAATACTATGAGATTCGAATTGACGATTACATCTCTGTGCTAATGTGGAATGGCAAACTTGAACTGATGTACGTACGTACGTACGTACGAAGTTCTGCTGTTGTTGACTGACTCTATGAATGATTTGTTCAAGAGCATGTCTAATTAAGTTTATGATTGTAAGTCCAACCTCCATAAAACAATATGTTCTAATTCTTTAGCATATTTCATACTTGTTTTCGATTATAATGTGTCATTTAATTTTAAATTTTATTTTATTCGATCAGATTGAACGTCGTCTTAGTGTAAGAACTTCACATTTGGACTCCAATTCCTACTGTTCTGCTAAATCACCGTCTGTCAATTCAAACATTTCAAATGAAGCAAGTGTTCAAAAGTCTTTAAATGGATCCATTTCGGTTACTGTTTCTTGTAAAGATATGTTATCTGGTATGACGGGTATTATGTGCAGATGTGTTTAAAAAAATTATATCATATTTTAAGTTCATTTTTCTGACCTGTATTCAGTTTTTCAAACTTTCTTCATTTATAGTTATTAAATTTGTTAACCATATTGGACTGTGAATGAAATCTATTATACAGTCTTTCTTTTCCGATAAACCTTTATTTTCATCGATTATTTTATATATTTCCTTATAGTATCCAGTGCAAACAGGCGGCAATTCTCTGCAGAAAGCGACAAAACACTCTCAAACGATGATGTCATTAAATCGATTTCAGGCGGTGTCGTAACGGCCTCTGATTCTTCTAATGAACCATATCGTCCGTTCTCCAATGGTGATGCTGTTGCCTCAATGACTAGAATTGATAAAACTTCTGAACCGGGAAAATTGACTATCGTTTCATCATCATCGTCATCATCCAAATCAAATAATTCTAATGTTGAAAAACAGAAAGAAGTGAGTAGATTTTTCTCATATATAAGTAAATTCTTGTCTTTTTTTTTGATGAATTTTGTCAAACTGTGTAATTCAGCAAAGTTATTTAAATATTTAATCATGTTATACAAATCATAATCATACATAACTCTCTAAGGAATTGTATTTTGAATTAAAGCCAGTTAAGAATGTTTTTCTTACAAATTGTCTCTCTCTTCATTCTGTTGTTAGGAATTCGAAATTAGGCTCAACTTCACAATTTTTTGAAAGTTTTAAACCATTCATCCTCAGTACAATAACAGGTGTTTAGCGTTTTAAACTGATTCATGATAATTCAGTGGTTAGTTAATGTTTACTTATTGAAGGCTTTCGTAGTTTTTCTGTTTATATTTATGTTTTCTACATATAGTCAATGACTACTTCTATTTAATTCCGATTAATACAGAGAAAGAAAAATGTAGCAATCAATTCGAATAATGATAAAAAGGCTATGAAGTCATCTGGTCAACTTATCAATGATGATCTTCACAAGAATTCGAATGATCAAGTGCTAACTAGACGAAAAAAATTAAAACGACATTCACGAAACGAAAAACCATGTACCAAATCGATAGATATCCCAATATTAAATCTGAATGTTATATCACCTAATAGCTCTTGTCAAACTGAAAGAAATGAAAAATTCAATCAAGTAAAATAGTAAGTTATTTCAATTTGAAATTTTATAGATTATCTAAACTTGTTTCAACAAGTAAAATAACGATTATGCAACTCAACGCATTAGCCACTTGTAATATTCTTTCACACTCAGTCTATATTTTGTATGGAGGTAATCATAATTTAATAAAGATGTTAATTTTGTATTTCGTTTATATTATTTGTTAAGTGTTTTGTTCGTTGATTTTTTAAGGTTATCAGATGTCCTACTGTAAATATTCTTAATAAATTTTTTTCTTTCGAATGATCATTCACAATATATTAATATTTTCTCCGGCTATCGTTCACTCCATTGAACATTTGACTGGTGGCGTATATCTAACGCTTTTTTTGAAAGAATATTGTAGTGAACACATTAGTGAAGAAAGTACAATTGTTCTGTTGTGTAGATGCTTTGCTGCTGTTTAAATTTTTTTGTTTTGTATGATTTAGAGGTGTATTGCATGCAGATCAAGAGGGATGTCTCCTAGCTTTGAGTTTTCTGGTTTAATAGTTGTGAAGACTATACTATCATCTATAAAAATATCTGATAAAAGCATCACAAATAAGCTATCTAGCTCAGTAAAAATAAGACCAGTGATGAATCTTAATCATACTTTTCTTGAATATCTTCCAATTGAAACAGGTAATAGGATGTTAAAACTTACGACCCAAATGGTTTAGGCGTTCAATTTTAAGTCATCCGATCACATGTGTGTCCCTATAGTTCACATTATTCATTACTTGCCTGGTTTATTATTTATTGATTTATTCACTTTTCATTCCAGTGTTTTGAATAAGCGTGTAGCGGCTTTGCAATCTAGGCGCAAGAAAGCTGAAGAACTTTTAGCGCTTGCAAAAAATATCGAACTTGAAGAAGTCGAAGTTGTTCGTTTAGAACGTGAAGCCTTGAATGTAAGTATTGCGTCGTTATACGTATATTTATATTTCATTTCCTTATTTCGATAACTTTTCATGGTACTCATCATGCTCTTTTGAGAATTCGTGATAACTGCGGCTATAATTGATTGTATTTAAGTTTTTGGCAACAAAATTTGTAGCAATATCACAAACTTTTGTTATGATGTTTAAGTTATTCGTATTTCGGAAATGCAATCATGTCTGCTGTCGTCCTCATGTTACCCTATAGTTATCGAACTAAATAATGCCTTGTTTTATATAATCTAGTTGTATTTATGATATGCTTTGGATATATCCAATTGTCTTATTGCGTTCTCAGGAATTATCAACACGTTGGGTTCATTAGAATTTTAGTAAATTTTGCTTGTTGTTAAAACATCATTTCTTATGCAGTGAAATATCGAGATGTCAATCAAAATGTTTGGTTTATTCTTTTTAAGTTATGTAATTTTCTTCTGCTTTTTTCATACTTAGGCTATTCAAAATAAACATTTAGCTTTATCAAACGATAATGAATCGAAAAAATGTTCAAGATCTAGTCGGTGGTCGAAGAATAATGATTCTCAACATTGGAGGTCAAATTCTCATTCACCAGTCAACCAATGCTCCAACTATTCTCAATCTAGTGATGAACTTGGTATAGAAGAGCCACATAATGAGAAAACTAATTCTGAGCAATTTTCTACATCTTCATTGGGCAAAAGTGCTAGCTTGTTAAGATGCAATAGGACCAAGTATGTTATTCCATTAAGATGAATCTATTCAAATCTAAGATAACATGAGGGAAATGAATTTTTTTTTTAAATTATAAACAGGCATTTATTTAATGACAGTTTTAAATGTGTTACGAGAATTTTATTTAGCATACGTATCTCTTAGTCAATTACCACTTATTAGTGTGTACCTTACATTGTTAGTCTAAATAAACTTTTAATTTATGATGATATTCAGCTGACTAAATCGAAATTGGTAGGAGTTATGTTCACTTCTGTAATCTCACTGGTTGAAGGTCAAATATTTTAATCACTAAGCCAGTAAACTGACATTCTTCTGGCAATTTTTGACTTGAATTGAGGTCTTGTTGCGCTGGAAAATACTTAGAAAGTTCTTTGAATTTTCAATGAATTCTAATGGACTCGTTAAAATGGCTAAGAAAATGCCGCTAATTTTTATGTTTCATAATTGTATACTCATAAAATTTACTCATTTTGTGTAGTTTTGTTAACTTTGCACCACCTTCATTTACCTCAATGTATATCTTACCTCTGATTTTAATTTATAGTTCAAATACCACTTCTGAATGCTCAACTGCTCAGAGATTGTCTATTGCTACAGATCTAAAATATCGCAAGTCTGATTCGGATTCAAATCGATCAGCTTCACATTCTGAAAAGCATCATTCTAATACTGCAGCCGGTAATAATTATAAATTTATACCAGATAGATACACTGAGAAGTGCACATCAAATTTATTAATCACTGAAAATGATGTGAATTTTAGTCAAGTTTCCAAAGTTTCGAACCATTGTTTTCCGAAACTTGACATTGGAGGTGAGCTTAATTATTTTTATTAGAAAAATTATGCTAATTACCAAATTTACGCTTTATATTGTCAGAATTTACATTATAGACTGATTTTAACCAAGCAACCATTAAGAATCAGAAAGTACTAGACAACTGTCTTACTCTGATATCTAACTCCTCAATAGTGCACATCAACCGGAAATCATGCTCAGCACCCTCATTTCGTGGCGGGCGCTTATCTTCAGGCCAATTACCTAGCGTCCTACGATATACATATCTAACTCCGACCAACCTTCGAGCATCTTCAATTACCTTCGGTGGGTAACTGGCTTTATAGTCCACATTTTTACACTACGACAGGTCTTGGAACACAGACACACATTTACGCGTCCGACAATAGTTGTCTTCCTGGACCTTAAGGCGACATTCGACTCTGTTGATCGTGAGGTTCTGTGGCAGTGTCTGTCATTAAAAAATGTACCAGTGAAGTGCATTAACCTTTGACAAGCTCTCTAATCGAACACTTCAGGTCGAGCGGGAGCTTATGACTAACTGTCATCGGAATTGATTTCTTCATGTGATGTTCGTCAGGGTTGTGTTCTTTCTCCATTCTTGACACTGACGTGCTTCTGCAGCCGACACTTCGACCATCTGATTCTTCCTCAGTTGACCTTGTACCACGAGATTCATTGGTTGACTTAGAATGTGCTGATGATATATTTCTAAAATGCAGAGTCTTCTGATCACCCTGAGCAACAATGCAAGCATGTTCGCGATGCGGTTTTCTCCCTCGAAATTCAAAATATTGCTTCAATTAACTGGAGAGTCTCATCAGTACTGATGGCCTGGTGTCTGACGAAATCTCTTCACGAAGCTTGTACTTCTTTGCTACAAACACTGCCACAGAACCTCACTATCCACAGAGTCAAATGCCGCCTTAAGGTCGAGAAATACTACTATTGCGGGACGTCTGAACGTGTGTCTTCGTTGTAGGACATTACGTAGTGTCAATATTTGGTCCGTACATCCACGTCCAGGTCGTAAACCAGCGTGGTTTTCTCTTGTCTGCTCCTCACGAGCTATTGTTAAGCGTCAGAGTATTATTTAGGCGAATATTCTAGAAACTATATTAGTTAGACTGATTCCTCTATGATTGTCACAAGAAGACTTTTTTCCTTTCTTATAAATTGGGACAATCAAGGATTGAGACCGGTCGGATGGGATTGTGTCCAGTTCCCAGATTCTACCTAAGATTTCAGTCAATCGAGCTGCTAAGACTGGACCATCATCCTTAAAAATCTCAGGGATCAATCTACCAGGTCCTGCTGCTCTCCCACTCTTCAGATTTCCTATAGCCTTTTCAGCTTCATGAAAGCTAGGAGGGCTTACGTCGACTTGCCATTTAGGATCACTGGAGATTGTGGGTAATCGAAGTGTGGCTGACGGCCAGTTGAATTAATCCCTAAAGTGTTCTGCCCATCGATCCAATCTCCTGGATTGAGAATATATAATAGTCCCATCCTTTTCCGAGATAGTCTCACTTACAGTAGGATTCCTAATGCAAGTTTCCTTGATAATTCGGAAAAGTTGTGTACTGTTGCCTATCGCCGCTACCTTTTCCATCTCTCATGCTTTCGCTACCCACCACTGTTCACGATCATTACGTAGGCTTTTTGTCAGCCTACGTCTAAGCTGACTCCGCTCCTCATCGCCCTCAGAGCCAGGTGGGATGAGTTTTCTAGCGTCTATCAGTTCGGTGAATGCTAAGGAGATCCACGGATTCATTCTAGCCTTATGGTTTACCTTACTAGCAGATATCACTGCTGTTTCCACAACTTTTTTGATATCATTCCAAGCTGCCTCCGGATGGGAATCACTTACATGGTCGTCTAACTGTTTTTCTGGTTGTTCCTGAAATATATTCTGAGCTCTGCTATCGTTAGGTAGAACCCGAAGAGGTTTTCTTGGGGTGTCTTTCCTACGTCCAGTAAGTCTCAAACAAATACACGCTCGCACTAGGGCATGATCTGAATCTCAACATGTGCCGCAGAACGAGCGACAGTCTTCTATCGAACCCCTCCATCGGTGGCTGATGGCAATGTGATCTAGTTGGGCCCAACGTTGAGACGACTCCGGGGGTCGCCAGGTCAAGATATATTTTTCCTTATGCCTTCAGTCGGTGTTTGCGAAAAATAGACGGTTACATGAGCACAGTTGCAACAGACGGTCGCCATTGTCCTTGAAGCATAGCTCGTGTATCATGGGACAATCCAGGAAGCAATACTGGTGCTAGTAAGAGGATACTAGGCTTTATGATTTTAATAACCTATTCTTTTGAGTTAATTTATCAGTATTTCAACTAAACCTTTATTTCGGTGTCATGAGAAGGTATATTATGTAAGGTAATTGGCCAAATTTATCTGTTTTTGTGGTAGAGTAATCATTGGTGTTTACCTTTGTTATTATAGTTGAAACCACACCATCTCTACATAATCTGTTGATATGTGAAACCGGTACACCATCATTAGATCGCACTGTGACCCCAACTTCTAGACAGCTGCGTCAACGTTCTAATTCTCATGATTCTGGTCGCCGAAGACGCGTCACTGTTCCCAATTCAGTTGATTCAATGGATGAAGATTGTCGGTTATTTAGTGTTGGAGATGATGAGCCATTTTCTACTGTATCTGCCAATTCACATTCCGATTTAAGTGAATTGGAATCACGAATCCAAGCTCTGAATTTCAATCTCAAGAAACAAGAAAGTGTTCTATGTCGCATCAATACAGAATATAAACGTGTTCATAAGGATCACCTGGCAAGATTAGAATCCACTTTACTCAAACACAGACAGGTAATTTTAGTTATTTTACACAGATTGTACTATTTTTATTTTTATATTGGTCTGATTGATTTTCATGAGGACGATTCGATCATCGAAACAACTAGAGGGATTTGTATTGGTCGATAATGAAAAGTGATTAACTTTGACAAATTGTTATTTAATCATCAGTCTTGACGCAGTTTCGTGGCTTGTGAAACCAATCAAAATATCTGAAGGTTTAAACAGTAGCAAGGAAAAAGGGGAAAATGCAACTATTTTTAGAAGCGATCTAATACAAATAAAACGATGGTGCTACATGATAAAAGGCTCGTTCAGATCAATCACTATTACTATTATTACAATTTGTAATGTGTGAACTATTATATTTCACCGTACTTTTAATTATTAAGTAGTGTAGATGAAAACGTAAAAATGTCTGTAACAGTGACAGAAAAAAACATTACTGTTGAATTTTACAAATTGCTTAATTGTTAAAAATTTGACCAGTGAACTTCATGTGAAATGGTCTGCATAAACATACCACTATTTTTTCAATTGAATTGTCACTGTAAAATACATGAAACACTTGCATTTTATATTTATCTACCGTTCTTTATGTTCATCGATTTATTTTTTCTTCAGCTTTGTACAAAAATCATTGCCAATATTAAATCTGATTTAGATGTTTGCAGAGCATCTACCTGTACAGAAGCTAATAATTCCCATTCAAATTCTACAAAGAAAGTGGTTGATACACATAACATTTCCCATATATCACCGTCAAAATCTCTGAATAAAACAACACTTGACAATTATAACGATAACAGTATTTCTTGTGCATCATCGAAACATATTGATAAATTAGCTTCATCTAGTCAGATGCTCACTAGTAAACACTCTGAAAACGATGATGAAACTGAATTAGACACATTGATCTCAGTGGCTGAAGAATTAGTATCACCACAGGATACTGATGATGAGTTGAAACAGCTTGATTTAGATGATGATATTGATCGTTGTACACCAGTTACTGATCATTCTCCTAATTCGACAAATAAAAATATCACATATTTATCTAATGCTGACGTCAGTGTTGCAGGATCTAAACAAACAATGAATTCTGAAAACTCACAAAGTAAACGTAGTCTATCACCTCCAACTCATACAGAGTCATCATATGGTACAGATTTTCAACCAAGCTCTGAAGATTACAGTTCGAAACCACTAAATAATCAAAATATTTTAAACAAGAATGAGATTGGAAAGGACTTTAGTAACACATCAATGAATTTTACGAATAACTCAAGTGAAAAAACGGTAATGGGACACGTTAATCAAATAGACAATGCGTTTTCTAATCAGTTAACTCGGAAAAATCTAATTGATGAATGGTATGTTTTTAAAGCTTTCAATATGAAATGTTTGGTGTAACTTTTGATGAATTTTTGAGGTTTTTGAATTCTTCCATGAGGCTAAACATAACACCATTCATCTTTTTTTCAAATAATCTTTCTTATCATAAAGTTTATTCTGTGTTAAGCGACTATATTTATTATTTTCGAAATACATTATGAAAAAAATAAATGTAGAATTTTCAAAGTATTATTAGTGGTACAGTATACTCTAAGTCTGTGTCCTTAACATGTTTAGATATATATGTAAAAGCTTGTATTATCACTAGTTAGTATTTCGAACAAGTTTTCCTTTTTTAGTTTGAATTATTGAAATATGTATTACCAAGTAGAATTATTAGTGTTCGTCAACATTACATGAAAATGTTGTACTAAAGTAATGAATGATGAAAATGATCAAAATCTATTTAAACAAAAATAAATTTAATTCAATCTCAAAAGAAAATTACTCGAGTTTGCTTGTGTGTTCACACATGTTTATACTACACATTTTCCATCTCGTCTTTTATTTATACGTGGAATTGTAAGTGTTTATCGTCTTGATACTTGAAATGGTGTTTATTTTGTTGCCGAAAATAGCAAATGACTTATTCACTTTGAAGTAATGAACTTCTGTAGTTTTATTTGTTACTGTGGTTATGTGTGAGTATACGTATGATAAACATCCTTTTGATCATTTGAGTGCACGAGGACTGTTATACATGCATCCATTGTAGTTTGTAAAAATTTGATTATCATTCATATATACTGTTCTTGTAATTATATATATATTTATGTCTGACGTTAGGTTATGTCACATGTGTGTTCTTCAAAACTCTTACTCTCTGTCGATTTTCTTAGTGGTTAGATCGAAACCCATACCTAGCTTTATACTGGTGAATTTTAATGCAAGTAAGTGAACAAATGAGTTGTCTACTTGCACACGATGTCAGTGAATAAACCTATGTTGTGCTGTACTCGCTCAACTATTGTCTCAAAGTTTGTGAATATGCGTACTTAGGTGTGTGCATTATTATTTAGAGAGACAGAGAATTTAAATGCATGCAAATCTCTAATATAGTATTTTTGTCTTGCGGTGCGTATGTATGGGCTTGTAGTTAGTTACCGCACATAAATCACATTCTATATTGACTTAATCTCATTGATTTGCCAAAAAGCAATGGTACCAAACTCTAACTGCACTATGGACTATTCACAGTATCAAGGCAACATAAATGAATGGAATGTTAGTTATTGAAATTCATTTTTCATATTTAACTATATGTATATATATAAATATAAGTAGAATTCATTAAACACATTACTTTCTAACCATCTAAAGATCTCTATAGTTTTAATACTGGATTCCATTTGAAGTCTGGTTGTTTTCTTTAATCAAAAAGTGAGCTACATTTGCTTAAGAAATAGACTAATTATATCATCTGAATTATTTTTTATCTATTATGGCTTTTTAATGATAGTAATAATAATTTTTTCTATTGTTTGATATGTCCAATGTATTCGATGATGTAAGGAGACAATATGTTAGAAATAGTATATGATCTAGCCAAATCAAGACGTTTTAAAAATAAACAGAAAGAAAATAGACATGTGATATGTGCGGCTTGTTACAAATATTTATCCGGTGCAATTCATTATATTACACTTTGATAAAGACATGAAATTAGTAGAAGAGTGCCAAATACTCTATTTACCAAATGATCTGTTTCACTAGTAATAGAGTCATGTGAATATCTATTTCATTCAATGAAAGTATTTATCTTAATATCTTAGAATAAATAATAGTGGGCTATAGGGTTTGCTCTTCACATTGTTGTATGCATATATATATATATATGCATATAGCAGTTAGGATCAATATAGAGATGCTCATCGATCTCTGTGCTAATTCCGTAGGGCAACCTGAACTGATGTATGTATGTACAAAGTTCTGTGTTGTTGTATCTGTTCATCGATCTTAAGACAACGTTGATAGTTAATTGAAAATTCAACTTGATTAGGATAATCATTGCGTTGCAATGATTTTAAATTTTTGCTAGTAAAATGATATCTAAAATTTGTTGTCAGTTTACTTCGAGAAATGATTGATAATATTACGCATCATTCAATTCATTCAGTACAATATATCTGAATAATAAATTAATTATTTCATATTTTAAGTTAGAAAATAATAACTGTAAGTTTCCATGTGGATTTAGTTTAAAGTTGGCGATTTGTCTTATTTTAATCCACACTCATAATATCATATGATTATTTTCCTGATTTGATCAGATTCATTTAAGGCATATTCATTGACTGAAATGTTAACATTCTATTAATCGGGTAAACGTTAGATATTTTTATTGTAATATTTATTCCATAAGATTGACATATAATCATTCAATGTGCTTTTACAATGTGTATTCTCATCAGTATTCTTGTGGCATAGAGTATCGATTTTGGCGTCTTTAAATTCTTGTGTTATACAGTCACAACGATTATTTATACACAATATTGAATCACAGTGAACTAACAGTAAGGTCGCTAACAACGACGAACTGCAAGATTTTCAACCAGCATTGTTTCTTTAAAGTACTGATTATTTATATGCCTTTTAAATCATCAAATCTGTTTGTTTTTGGTACATATAAAAGGTACAATTAGAGGGAATTCCAGGCAACATATAATGAGTATGCTGTAAACTGGTCAATTTAAATCGTTGATTAATTTAGTACTTAGTGACTAACTGAAAAGCTATTCTAAAGAGCCCTAACTACGCAAATATTTAATGGTCATCCATCATCGTTACTCATTCTGTTGTTTGGAGATAACTATGTGAATGTTTAAAAATAGAAATATTAATCTTCTTATTGATTGTTACCACTCAGTCAATGATTGAGATAGTTTTGACTACAACCTACACCCTTTTATCAGTTTTCTAATTACTTATTGTGCTTTCTGTTTTCTGTTTCGTTAATTAGCGACCTAAATCATTCTGGAAGTTTAATTTTTCTTTAAAAATATGTTAATCTAGCTAATTTTCTTTTAATTGCTTCTTTGTATTAAAGTATTTTTTTGTTTGGAACTATATTAAAGTTAATCATTCCATCTAATCTAACTGAATGTTGAATAATTCTATCTAATAACGTACCAAATTGTGCTACTTTACCATATTTGCTGTTTCAACATTTTTATTAGTGCACTTTACACACTTGTTTGTTACATATCTTAAATTAAGTCTTCATATCGCGCTAACTTATTAGGCATACACCTATCAGGCGCGTATGTTTACAATGAATTGTGTGCACGCTTTATATTTTGATTATTTTGCTTTTTGAAATACACATATGCTGATTATTTATACATTTAGATTATTTGATAACATCACAAAATTAGTATTTTTGAACAAATGAATTTCATTAATATCTGACTTGATATTTCTTTTCGGCAAATATACGCGGTCAAAGTGTTTAATGTTATATAACTGACTGCGAATAGTCTTTATTCCATTACATTTATATCTAATCCAATTTTTATATTCGGTGTAGTGTGCCATACTACTTGAGTTCGTTATTACACTTACTGAAATCTCACCTTCGATAGTACTGCTAATAATAATAACAATATTTTTATTGTCGTACTGTCTGTCTATTTATTATTCGACATTGTTTATAATGGGGAATAAAAGTAACAGTTATTTCAGTCATGGCAATTCTAATTTTTATTCATTCACCCCATCATCAGTTTCTTCCTCATACTCATCCAGACCATTAACTGTTCATAATACGAAATCATCAAGTCATCAAAGGTGAGTGATGTTTGTAAAAGATAACTAACTATATTTGAATGCACCTGAGTGTGTATGTGAGGGCGTTCTGGTTAATTAATTTACGACACAGTAACAATCAAACAGAAGCAATAGGTGTTTTCATACACATAGTTCCCTTTAACTTCTTGAAGAGAGCAAGCACAAAGATTTGAGCTGAATAACTTCAAGTAAAAGAATGTGTTATTCGGCTCAAATCTTTATTCTTGGTCTCCTCAATATGTGCTTAAAAGTGGGTTGATTTTTTTACATTTAAGGTGTTTTTTTCGTATTTATCAGTTAGTTTTTTGTCTAACCTTTGTCTAACTCTTCCATTTTGTTTGATTTCTAACTTTATCGTCATTTGTACGCTGCATATTTCTTCACAATTTTCATCATTAATAGTTTGCGTTTTGTTTTTCTTCGTTTCATACTACTACAGTCTAACTGTCCTTAATGTCGGTGTTGCACGCCATCAGTATGAATCAAATAACATTTTATCTAGATCTTCATCTGCTCCAGTCATTGAATTTGATCATGTTACTGACGAAAAGGTTTCAACTGTAATCACTGAAGATTTTAACAACATGGCAGTATCTACTGATGTTCAAATGCCATGTGGCGATATGAGTTTACTTAAAATCGCTGCAGATCATCAACAAAGAGAAGAACTAGTCGATCGTATTACCACTGAATTGTTAAATCAACTTGTCGCTGAAGCTATCGACTCCACGTTGAATGTTCGAAAATCCAACTTAAAGGTATACCTCTAATAATATGGTTTGATCTACTGAATTATCATACATTTAATATATGTCGTTTTAAAAAAATATTTGACAAGACTATTGCTTCTAATTCACTTATCATTGTTGACATTTATTCATTTTTCTTGTTCGTTATCTGAAATAGTTAAAATTAACTGAAAAATATGTAGATTTTAACGTGAAATTGTAAATAATCCAAATATCACTATTCATTAATTTTAGCCAATTTGGTCTCGTGTACTGTTACGGGTGCAGTAGTTCTCTCCGTCCTAATATATGACAGTGAAACATGACCAGTGAGAGTAGAAGATATTCCTAGGTTACTTGTTTCCGATCATAGGTGTCTTCGAAGTATTGCTCGTATATCCTGGGACACCCGAGTGAGCAATGCTGTTATTACGAAATGGGTGCTAGGTAATGATGGCAGATCAATAGACGCAGTAGTGACACTTCATCAGTTGAGGTGGTTGGGACATGTGCTGCGTATGCCTCACCACCGACTGCCTCGACGAGCTTTGTTTTTTAGTGTAGGAATAGGTTGGAAGAAAGTTAGGGGCGGTCAGATCAAACACATGGCAGAAATCCATGAAGTCATTGGCAAGTGGACTTAGGCATGTCGGTAGTTGTCGACTACGTGGTTGAGGTCCGCGAGATGATAATAATCGATGGTCGGAGACCCTGAATGACATGGCTCAAAACTGTTTGCAATGGCGCCGGTGCTTTTATTATCTGTGTTTTCTCAAATCCTAATCTTCTGGATTCTTCAACACCTCTAGTTTTGTCTTTCTTAGCTTTTCTCATTTAATCATACTTCTTGAATAGTATCTTCTCATCCTAACCTCTCCGATTACTTCTAATACCCTTACTAACTCTTCTACTATTGGATTTGAATTGATGATTACATCTCTGTGCTGATGTGGTACGGTGACATGAACTGATGTACTTACGTACGAAGTTCTACGTTGCATCCGACCGATCACTATTCATTACTGAGTGAGTTCAACTTTTGGAATTCATTCACCCGAGTTCAACTTTGTTTCACATTGTTTATCCTGTTGAAGAGATTAAGAGAACAAGAGAGTGATGTTTCCCTGAACAGTACATGATATTTAGAGTTTGTTTGAATTGAAGTTTTGGAATTAGAAAAAATCTCTGTTTATTGGAGAGAATTTGTGTGAATCATGATGAATATTGATAATTAATTTTGGGTTTATATATTCTTTTTAACGAAAAATAATTGAATTTATGCTTATTCATTTTTTTGTTTAACTAACAACAGATTAAATCTCCTGACAATTCAGAAAGTGATGATGACGATGACTTATTAGACGATGAATTTAATCAAAAATCTTCAGCATCCCAATCCTCTTCGGAAGATTCAATGCCTTTATTAGATTTGGGATTAAAAACATGTGATGATTATGAAGAGAAGAGTCCTGAAACATTCAAGTCTAAAATGTCTTTCACTCCAGAACTATCATTTACTGTTGATAATATTGTTGGACTATTTGCTGATACACCTGATAGAACAAAACCACTGATTCATCTGGCTGTTAAACATTTCTGGGATGCTAGGTTGAATGCAACAAATGAATGTGAAGAAATTGTTCTATTGAAAGCTTCCAACAATCCTCCATTGGAATTCGCAGTTGATTATTATGATGAAGCAGGTAAATGTTGAGATTGACTTTTTTTTAAAAAATGTAATACCGATTTATATCACTGTACATATGAATGTGATAATATGAAATGTGTTCATCATCTTTGAATGTCCATCTTTAAATGACAAGTCATGGGAATGCATGAAACATTCCTAAATTGCCTCTTTGCAAATATGTGAAGTTGAGTACGATTTACACACCCACACCGACACACACCACACATTTTTACACTTATCACTAACCGATTTTACTGTCCTTATTCATTATAACCGTCGATAGACTGTGGTAACTTTTTGGGTTAAGAATTTCGTAAAGCATAGATTTTAAAAATTTTGGAATTACATAAAAGTATTCGATAAATATCAACATCTTTTTGGCTTGTTTTTTTTTTAGTATAAATCCGTGCTGCGTATTGTTTTTGCTAGACAAAACTATATTCCTGTATTGTATTTCAAATTCATTAGCTAATATTGTACTAATGATAATGATGACACTGATTAAGTTCTGCTCAAAGTGTTCAGTAGTTAAGGCGTATATTGTCATCAATACAGAAAAAACAAACTATCTGTGATAAACATGCTGATTATTATCGTTACATTGTTTGCCATTGATAATGAAGTTGTTGTCTTACTGACCAAAATCATATCTGAGTTTTTTTTATAGTGAACAGCTAAGTCTATCGGAGAGTAGTTTTCATTTAGGGTAACTTTCAGAATCAGAATAAAAACAAACCCACCCTCTTTGGGTTAGGAGTTGACGATTACTTTCATACTTGACTGCCACAATTTTGGCTTTGATTGCTTGTGTTATTGTAATTCAGGAGTAATATATGTTCAGTTGCGAAGACCAATGTACTGTTTTTTATTATAATGCATAAGTTTTTTTTTTAAAAAAATTTCCTATTCCCTTGTTTATAGATCTCGAATTGTTTCGTACTCAATCCAATGTTAGATTTATAAATCGTGCTCTATTGTTTGATTTGATAAGTGAAATTGTACAAAAGATTTACATTGGTGAAGTTAATGAAGTTGAATTACAAGAAAGGCTAATTAGTAATGCTAATCCACCTGAATCAAAAACGCCTAGTCGTGTTTCTAGTTCTCGATTCCAACTTTGGCGTGGTCCTTGTCCGTAAGTGACGAACGTTTAGCGTTTCACCTTTTTTTTAATAAGAAAATATTTAACGAAAACTGTTTGAATGTGTGTAACAATTTGAGAGCAGTTTTTTTCGATTGTTTTGACGCTTCATGAATTAGGACATTGGTCAGATCATATTAGTAATCGTTTGAAATATATCTCGAGTATCAAGATTACGACATTCGTAGGAATGTAGTGATAATATTTGATTTGATGCATTAGACTATTCCCATAGGTGTTTAATTACTGTTTACAGAATATTTATTGATATTCAGAAAGTTGCAAGCTAGTAATAGTTGACATTGTCCTACGAGGAGGTAAGCCAGTTGGCTTTTAGAAGTGTAAAGGAAGAGCCTTTATGTAAAGTAAGGTGCCACATTTGAGAAAAGATAAGAAACGATCGATTTCACTCAATGGGTACATAAAAACAACTATAATATTAGAAACAGACATATTTTATATGTTCTCAATAAAGTCTACTTTCATATATATATATATATATATATATATATATATATATATATATATATACTTCTATAAATATGTTGTTTCTTTTTTTTTTCTCACAGACCAACCACATACGATCGTTTGTTGACTATTGTTACAGCTGAAGTTTGTCGAGAATTGAATCTGAGAATGGTTTCAAAATCAGAAATATGTAATCACAATAGTAGCAACACAAAACGTTTCGGTTTAAATGAAATGGTTCCATCTGGTGTACGTTTGTCGCGTTTGGTGCAATGGACATTATCTAAAAAATCATGGTTAGATCGTATATTAGAATTGGAATTGCGTGCTGATGAACCAAGTTGGTTATCTTATGTGCCAGAAGAACGTGAGATTAAAATGAAATTAGCTAATGAAATATGGGAGGATGTACTAGATAATGCATTGACGAGCATTTTGGCCTCAAATGCTCGTCATCTATCAAAATAATTTACATACTATCATCCTGTATAATGTGCCTTAATTTATTGAAATTGTAATCATTTGTTTTATTTTAATATTAAGAATATCAATGTGTAACTACTGTGATATACATTTTTTCCAGTGATCAAATGTTTCTATGAAAAATTTATCTAACCGTCAGATATGTAGAGAAGAGAAAATGTTAACTGTATTCCAGATCTCACTCACTGATTGTTTGTATAGCATAAATTTTTATCATTTTATTCAACATTGTGTTACTCCTACTTTTATCTCTCCTCCTTTCGCCAATCATAGATTATTTATGACCGAATAGAACAATAACAATCATATATGAATAATTTATATTACCCTAACTTTTGTACATTAATAATTTTGTTCTAAATGTGTTAGTTTTCTTCACTTTTGCTCATCACCACTACTACGATAACACTTTTAGTTTCAATAATAAGGACATTGTGTAATATCATTGGTACAATTTAACAAAAACACAAATCAAATGTTTGTTGTACATTATCTGATGTAATATGGATGCTGCTATCGCCCATTAGTACTCATATTCAATGTGACAAATAAATATACTTTACACTCTAGTAACTTAATGCATTTGATTTGTTCTACGTCTAATATCCGTTTTACTATTTTCATACTTACATTCTATAATATTAATATTGACCATATTTTCTCTTTGTTATGATATGCGGTGTCTGAGATCTGATCACAATATGTGCTAACTTCCTAAAACTGGCTACTTGAGCGAGAAGGCCAGACTGGAATCAAACGTGTATTTGGTTACCGAATATTATGTACAAATACCTGTCTATGTCTATATATCCCAGCTCCTTAGAAAATGAACCGTTTGCTTGACCAGTGATATGTATTCGTCTAGGAGATTCTTTATTGCAATCTACTCGCCCATTCAGAATATGATTTACATATTGCGTTAAACCTTTCCGTTGAACGTCAATCTTCTACATGACGTCACCAAATGTTTCTACACTAACACTCGCTAACCACGCCAGCCACCACTGTTAGAAGTTCTTCACATGCTGGTAATCTGTCCGGGCTTTGACTTTCTGTCCTCCTTACTTTAGGTCGATAGTCTCGAGTTTTCTCTGTGGACACCGCGTGAAATGGAGTGTGAATCTTCAGAGCATCGCTTTGGCTGGAGAAATGTCCTTAGGTGAGACTGTATTGAAAGTTATTCGGTATACTCTCTGGAAAGTTTCAATGACGTGCGTCGTGTGGCTTGATAAAAGCTAGCTTGCAAGTATCAACAAAACTCTCCGCTTGATTGGGGGTGGTAGGATGGTGATTGGATGTGTATAACTACGTTCTCTTCTACCCATAAAAGACCAAGTCTGTCACAATCAAATCCTTCCTACATTTCTTAATAATTCTCTTATCTCCACGACTAACCCCTCTTTCATTCCTTTGTTACCTCGTGCCGTTGTTGAAAACGTTTTGAGTTCGCGAAACGTTGTTCATGATCTCCTGTAACCCCGCTGCAAAATATATGTTGAAGCTCTTAATGTTCGAATTTTGTGTTAAATAGAACAAAAAGATTTTTTAGCCAGAACTGTGGAATCCTGTGACATCGACGTATATTGCGTCTCCGAAACGCGCATACAGGATCCGAGAAGACTCATTAATTTGATTTCACTGTCCAGATAAAGAACCAACTACTGTGGAAACAGCAGTGATATCTGCCCGTAAGGTAAATCATAAGATTAGGAAGAAGCAGTGGATTTCAGTAGCATCTACCGAACTGATAGTTTCACGGAAACGCATTTCGTCTGGCTTTGAACATGACGAAGAGCGAAGTCAGCTTAAGCGCAGTCTGATAGAAAGCCTATGAAACGATCGTGAACAGTGTTGGGTAGCGAAAGCAAGAACGATGGAAAAGGTAGCAATGATAGACAACTGTAGACAACTGTTCTGACCTATCAAAGCTATTGGTGCTGCGATTCTTACTGTTCGCGAAACTATCTCGGAAGATGATGGGCTTATTATTCATTGTCAGTCCAAGAGATTGGATAAATGGGCAGAGCACTGGGGATCAGTACAACTGGCCTTCGGCGACTTTGCGATTGCTCATGATCTCCGGTCATTCTGAATGGCAAATCGATGTAAGTCGTCCGACTGTTAAAAAGGCTACGGGAAATCTAAGGCGGGGGAAAGCAGCGGGTCCCTAATATGCTAACTCCTGAGATTTTCAAGGATGGTTGTCCAGTGTTAGCAGCTAGATTGCCTGAGATCTTAGGTAGAATATGTAACTCGGCGTAACCTCATCCAACTTGTCTCAGTCTACAAAGGAGGACTAAAGTCTTCTTGTGACAATCACAGAGGAGTCAGTCTGACAAATATAGTGTCTAAATGTTATCCTCGATAATACTTAGACGCCTCACTATAGCTCGTGAAGAGCAGACTAGAGAAAACCAGGCTGGTTTCCGACCTGAACTTAGATGTATAGACCAGATTTTCACACTACGACAGGTTCTGGAACACAGACACACATTTAGGCGTCCTACAATAGTTGTCTTCATGGTCCTTAAGGCGGCATTTGACTCTGTTGATCGTGAGGTTATGTGGCAGTGTCTCATTAAAAGGTGTACTAGAGAAGTACGTTAGCCTTATACAAGCTCCGTACTCTAAAACTACTGGTCGGGTGAGAACCTGTGGCTAACTGTCATCGGAATTGATTACTTCAAGTAGTGTCCGTGAGGGATGTCCACTTTCCACATTCTCTTTTAGATTTGTGTCTTAGACGTGCTTCTAGATATAACATTATCTTCGTCTGAATTTTCAGAAGTGGACCTTCTGCCAGGAGATTCACTGGTTGACTTAGAATATGCCGATGACATATTTCTATTCGGTGAAGACGCTGGCAGTATGCAGAGTCTTCTGACTACCCTAAGGAACAATGCAAGCATGTTCGGGATGAGATTCTCCACCTCTAAGTTCAAAATATTGCTTCAGGATTGGCTTGCATCAGCGCCCGAACTAGTAATAAGGAGTGAATTGGTTTAGTGTGTTGGTTAGGATTTGAGAGGACAGAAAGAGTGAATAAACTTGCACCATTGCAAACGATTTTGAGCCATGTCACATTGAAAGTCTCTCACCATCGGTTACTATCATCTCACGGACCTGCTGGAGTTTACGGGCCGAAAGCGTGACATCCTGGATCATATTAGCCTTTACTGGCAAGTTATTGATCTCATCTGTCGTAACTCAGTGAACTTCTGCAATAGAATCCACGTCAACGACTTGTTCAAGAACACCTGTAGCACTATGTATTCTTTATGCAATCATTAGTAAGATAGATGTTTGGCCAGCCAAGTTTTTCGAGAAACCAGGTTGACATCAAAAGCAGTATCTGATTTTAATGTGGTCGTTAACATTACGCATGTTACTCCAAGCGGAGCGTAGGCCACTGAACCGGACTTTCCAACTCTTCTGGAATCTCCTCAGTTGTTCTGAAGTGCTGTTCGTTCTCTTGAAGTCTACCTTCAATTGCCGATGACATGTGTTCTTTGGTCTGTTTCTACTCCTTTTGCCATGAGAATTCCAAGTTGGAGCTTGCTTTGTGACACTTCTTACAGCTAGTTCAAGTCCCAATGCATAAATAACTCAGGACGAAAGTTGGAAGGATGATATTTATGAAGTTCGTTTATCACGTAAATATGATGATAAATCTGCATAATTTAAGTAGTATGAGTAGGTAAAAGAAAATAATTTGTTATGAGATATTTTGTAACATAGAATTATAACTCTCCATAATAATATTGTTTCGTCGTGTTACAGGAGATTTTATCAACTAACTCACTTTGAGATAGTGAAGTAGTGATATGAACAAAAAAATTAGAAAACATGGACACAAAAATTACATGGATCTAACCAAATTCAAATATGTCATTGAAGCTTGACTGGTCGAAGATCGTTTTGAAATACTTAGGTAATTATGTACTGCTACCATTCGTTATAGGATATTCCACAAAACTCTGTCAGTTAGTTTTGCCATATCAGGATGCTATTAAATGCACGAAAGTAGGATCTGTTTTTGAGTAGTAGGATAGTGTAGGGAAAGCCAATTACTTTAGTGTATTTCATTGTTGGTGGTGTTTGTTCGCGTATGTAAAACTTTTACTCATCCTGGTCCCATTTTTCAGTTTATTAATTTGACGACATTCGTTAGTAATAGCTTCCATTGTAAGAGTGGATCCGCATTCTATTCTGCTTTGAATTCTAATACGAATATCTGGGTCTAATGGTTATTTCAACCCGTAATATGTACTTAACTCAAATTTTCTGATTCGAAATCATTTAAAACCTTGGATTTTCATTCCTTTGAGAATAATGTCATTCGTACACAAAATACAGAGTTTGACAATCTGCTATAAGCCGTACATTTATGTGAGCACGTTATAACTTCCGGACTCATTTCTGATGTTTTTTTATGCCGTCGCTATGATATATGTATCGATTCTGTTGGGTCTGTAGCCTTACTATTTGTACACAACAATCTGGGACCACTACCATTCCCAATTCTAGTGTTGTATCCTAAAACGGGAACCAATGCAACTATCAAGATACATAGCAAGAACTCTAGACTGATGCTATGATCGGTAGACTCTCCAAAACCACGTCCACAATCAGGTCTGAAAAGGTACGCCGTCATTAGTCCAAATTACGATCATTTATATAGTAATTTTTACACAATATCACAAGAAAAAACGAGGTTAGTGTATAGACAGACCCTAAATATAGTTCACCTCAGTCGATCCAAGGGGTATGATTGTCATACTGAACAAAAATTCGCACTTCACACTCTTAGAGGGAAAACCGTGAATCTGGCTTTAGTTCATTAGATAAGTAGTTGTCCAGGAAGATAAGCTAGGTTCTTTAAATCCGTTCGCTCAAGTTTTCATAAGGGAATCGCGTCCATAATGTGAATAATTTACTCTCAGTTAACAGTTTGATATTTTTATTCAATGAAATACATATTATTCTTTGTATTTAGCAGTATTCAACTACTTTTTGTTGTTTGAGTACTTTCTGCTTATTTACGTTTTGACATTATCCGTATAACAACCCTAGTGCATGACTGAAGAATTTACTACTGGCCACAGCTGTATCCGAATACGTATTTTTCCTACATTGTAATATTCCTTACATGATAAATAATCAAATCTCTTTGTATTGGAATTTTTAATTTTAACAACTTAGTTTTTTAACTGGCAAAGTTTCAAAACATCTGTTCTATTTGTAACTAGTTTTTCTATGAGAGAATGAATCTAAGTTCCTTAAAAAATTTGTACTACTCAGAGAGGATTTTAGTAATACTAGTTGGTTTACTTAAATCAGAACTAGTTGAAGCTTTGCGCTTACTTTGACACTCAAAAGAACAAACAAAGTACTTTGAGCTAAAAAGACTCTACTTATTAATTAGGTTGTTCCCTATGCTTATGAATTAAACACACTGACCTATGATTCAGTACACTTAAGTCGAAAAATGTCAAACAACCTTCTGAATTATGATAATACCGAATAAGACTAGGAATCAGCTTCTAATTAATTGTGAAAATGTAGACTTATTATTCTGTTACTTTGCTTCTACACCTTTTTGTGCAATATTAAATTATTCTGCTCACGTTTCGTGTAATGATAAATGTTAAGGTTCGGGATATGGAATTTGGGAAAGGTGTTACATTGGTTCATGACGTGATGAGTCATCACTGATTAGAATGGTTACGACATGTTCTAAGTAAATCATTGGACAACAATCCTTGCTAGTCCAGCACTACGTTGGGGGAAACCTAAAGGCAGCCAAACTAAGACGCGGAACCAGTCGGTGAAGTCAGTGACTGTTGGTCTGAGTGATATATGTTGGTGTAAATCCTTTTGTTGGGGTCCATATGATAACTGCAGAGAGTGGTTGAAGTCTTTTGATGATGGAATCATATTCCTAAGGTTCAGTTTCTCATTTTATAATCGCTACCACACTATTTTCTTCTTGTGCTAGTCTGATATATCAACGTGGGCCAACACACATCTATACCACGCTCCATAATGATATCTCTCTATTAAAAAATTTATTAATGACTGTTAAATTCATTGTTATACACAAGGAGAGTGTAGTAAAATCATAATCATGACTGCAAATATGAGTTATGTAATTCTAACTTCCTAAGGTATATATAATAGATATCGTTTCAGTCATGTTTAAGATTGAGTTAATAAGGTATCAATCATTGACTAAAAGTCAACCTCTGAGTCATAAAAGCAAACGATGATAAAAATAGCAACCACATTCTTCGTATCTGACCTTAATCTCATTTTGTTTTGTCATTTATTTTACTAACCATGAATCAGCTACTAGATTTCATTTCATAAAATATTTTGATTATATTAACGGCTGAATCGATTTCCGTCATGCGGAAGATATATCTCAGACAAATATGAAGAAATTAAAAAACTAAACTATAATTAATAGAAAACTGATGGTCCTATTCATTTTTGGTTCCTAATTATATCAGGATAATGAGATGAATAAATCAAGTGTTGAATTCTTTAAAAGATATTATGTTACATTCGTTGTTGTATTACCTTTTGATAACAGTGCAGGATACTTTTCCAAAAATATTAAACTTCCTACTAGGAGCCATTTGTGTTGTTGGCAACACTAGGGATTTTACAATATTCTCTCACGGTTTTAGACTGACAAGAGTAATACTGGATGCTGTACCAAGCTGGAAGCGTATACGGCGCTTATTAACGTCCAAAGTAGCGTATTTTCTTCGGTTTTGAGCTATCACCATTTTTTTAGTTGAAGTTCCAAATCGATATTTCTCAGAATAAGGTTTCACTTGATGACGTCAATGTGCTCTTCCATTGCAGTGCGTTTCTTGGTGATCCTTACTATAGCATTTAGCGAAATGATGGTCTTTATATGTGGTGAATTTCCGGTAATGCCATCCACCACAGAACATGTGCGGTTGGTTATATAAGTAACATTTTTGTCGTGAACTGGCATCTTTCTGTTTAGTTATTGTATGGTGGTATGGTGACGGTTATTGTTTCCTACCATAGAAGTAACATGTTTCAGGTTTGTTAGTCTCTGACAGTCACCAGTTACTTCCTGCAACGTCATAGTTGGACGCTGTTCAATTTTATGGAGAATTCTAGTCCTGATGTTTAGCACATTTCGGAGATGGTAGGCTGCACACAAACACAAGACAATTAAACTGATCTTCTATCATCAGTGAAAATTTAAAACCTTCACATTCTCGACCTATAAGTCACGCATGCTTGACTTAGTCATCATCACCCGTAACGAATAATAACGAATATTAAACAAAGAAGACTGTTCATCAAAAGTTCGCGACAATATATCAACAACTGCATCAAAAGTATGTTCTCTTGGGTTCTCTAGAGGAATAAAATTACTTCAACGTTCATGTTTAATGGAACCAAGTTTTCTAGCAGTATCCTAACCTTAGCGGTGTCATCAAGTTTGTCTAGGTCAACTATGAACAAATCTTGATATTTCTTGAACCAAGATTTAAAAATAAAACCAACAAAACCACAGAAATGGAACTCATTAACAGAAGTGACAATGAAATCGACATCTGATTTAGATGTAACAACAACAAATTCTCTTTGATTAAGGTTCCGCTGCTGCGTTCAAGTTTCTAGCACATGCATCTGAGACTATTCGAATCGTTTTCGTTCTTGAAGTTCAAAGAATGTATCTACTTGTTCAAGTGAAAATGACATTGTGAATTGTTCACCTCGTTGCTAGTGTTAAGTATACTTCTAAACTAAGTTATACACAATAAAACGTTTGGGACTAGGACTAGTAGAACAGCCCACCACATCGTTAATCAAAAGCTGGAAGAAACCATTACTACAGTAAGTGTCAAAATGTACATAGAAAGCATACGTATTTATATTTTTCGTATGGAGTGAAAACATAACTAAAGTCATCCAATCCTCAATCCACGATGTTTTAACATCAACCAGTCACCTTATGCCAAGCCGACATTCTAGAAAATCTATTTAGCCCTCATCGGGTGGAAACTCTCCGGTTACTTGGAAGCATTTGGAGGCTTTCGAGAGCCAACCTAACATTATTAAATTGTGACCTTTTGAGGTACTTCCTAACCCTCACTCTCTTTCCTTATCCGAAAATTAACTTTCTCGTATTTATTCTGTGAGACTTTATTTTAACTTATCTCATCTCCTAAATAGCTTATAAGTTTGGTAAAAAATGTGATTAGACATTTTAAATCAACACCAGGTTCTCTTAAACCATAATTCTTCAGTGATATCATTTTTTGAAGTCTCTAATAATGTTTTCAAATTTTATTGGGATCTATGAGTTCACAACAAAATTATGTTGGGTCAAGTTAGCACGAAGCTTGATATTCAGTATAGGAAAATAATATCAATGAAGACCTGATCAGTGTAAATGTATAGGATTCGGACAGCAATAAACCTTTTGAATTGTATTAATATACCATCTATAAATATTATAATATTTAAAATATATGTTATAGCCTTTTACATTTATTCCAACAAGGGGAATAGTGAACTGACTAAACTTATTGTATAAGTTACACATAAAAGTTATCTAGTTAATATTGAAATGGTCTTTAATAGCTCAAATAAACGTTTACATTATATTCTACCCATATTTTCATATAACGTGTAACAGCACTGATATTGTGGATATAATGTATGATAAATTTGTAGACACAATTATATATTAGATGGATGAAAGCCTTTCCTTGATTTCTATAAATACGCATATATTTTAATATATAACCCTAGTGACCCGTACTTAGTATATATATATATATATATATATATATATATATATATATATATATATATATATATATATATATATATATATATATATATATATATATATAACCCCAAATAAGTATTATAACACAAAACACCAAAAATTAATTGAAATTTATTATTATTACTGTTGCGGTTGATATTCATAGAACTGACTACAAAAATTAATAAGAGTTGAATGTTTTTTTATAAATTAATCAATCATATAAACCATTTGAAATAATTACATATTTCTGATATGAATCACAGCTGAAGTGATCAGTTTTTTGTTTTGCAAAATTTATTTATAAAAAAAAACATACGTGCATGCAATAAAGAATAGAATAAGTTCACAAACATGTAAATTATTTACTGTTTACCTTGATGATGATGTCATCGATTGGTGTGTATGGCAGTGAACAAACAGCATTAACAATAATACTAAATTATTTAATGAAATAATTTGAAATGAGTCATGTTCAAGTGAAATTGACAATTTGTAATATTTGTCTACAGAAAGAATGCAATACTTTTTGTCAATTAAAATTTGATTTTACTGATTGGAAGATGCTATAGACAGACACGTATATGCATTCATAAAGCAAAAGTAAAATATGCTTGAGTAGTTCAAATTAATAGTTATGATGTATTAATTTGTCTGAAAAATATAATCGATATCTGTGACTGTTTTATGATGAAATTGGTCCAGTGAATAAAGGGAACATCATTTACAAACTTCATTTTAATTGTACCATTGAAAGACTATTTTACTGTAATATCTTAAAATATAATTTAAGATCTGTTGATTAGCTATAAATTTCAATTTTTCCCGGAAGACATAATATTTATTTAATTTTATTCTTTGAAAAAAAATTCATCATCAGTCGTTTTTAATAGACAATGTTTATGTATTTACAAGTTGAATGAAAATCTGTATTTTTTTTCGATTTATTTATAATGATTATTACGTGAAGTTTCCTATTCATGTTTACTCTCTTGTTGTATGTTGTCTTCCGTTTCAAGTTGTTCTTCAAATTCAGTTTGTAGTGAGTTATTTGAAGATTTTAATCCATTCAATTTCAAATTTGTCGTAGATTTACTATTTTTACCATTTATTTTCATATTATTATTACTGTCTGAATAAATTGTAGATTTTCTATGTATTCGGCCAATAGTTGGTAGAACACTTTCTGATCGATATCTGGAGTCTCTTAATATAGGATAACGTGGAGTGTGTTCTTTAGAATTATTTTTTAATAAATCATTTTCTGATTGACCATTTCTTAATCTAGAAAAGTAGAAGAATAAAAAAGGAATCATGTTCTCTTCTATAAGTAGTTGGTGCCCTGCGAAAACAGTTTCATACTCCCTGCCATATTCACAAATTTATGTAAATAAATAACTAAACCATGTCCCGAAGTCAAAACTTCGGGATCCATTTGTTGATGTACTTAAGAGTTGGAGAACTTATTCAGCGGGATTTTTAATCAGTCACAGGGCCACATGTGTATTCATTCTTCATCTTCTAGATCGCTGGTTTGAACATCATTTTGTACTTTACAAGCTTCAAACTATATTTTTTATAATTTCAAATCATAGACTGACTTCAGTTAGGTAACTCTTGAAAATGTCCAGACAATGGGGAAGTATTTTTCCTTCTACCAAACCCCGTGACAATATGTTGTGGTTGGTTGTCACACAGTATCGCGGATTGACTGGAGTTAAGAATGTAGGTAGTTGGATGGTCACTATGAAGCCTTAAGGTCTTCGGTTTGATCAGTAGTAGGTTATGAATAGCCCTATACTGAAACAAAATGCGGATCTAATGTATCTTAATTTGCACAGATTGTTTAACTGAAGACAGTTCATCAATCTCTACAATTCCCTACATATCTTTTATGCTTTATTTTCAGTTTTGATGATAACACCATTATTTTCCTGTATTAATTTCTTTCTCTGCTGATGCAAAATATGGCAGTTTGAGCAAATATTCTTTTCTATCAGATTCTAAGTTTCCTATAATCGGTTGACTAGTAAATATTCTATCAAATAAACGCAATATACTTGTTTAATAGTAATAATAATAATAATGACTTTATTCAGCATTTTTTCTTCATTACAACTCGGGATTCAAAAAGTTTCTTTTACAAAACCAACCAAAAAATTAACAACAAATAACTACTTACAAATATGTATTCAAAAAAAAATTAAGTAGACAAGATATCTGGAGTTTCAATGACATCTTTTTTGTGATCTTATGAGAATCTTTTTTTTAAGAATATAGATTTTTGACTAGGTCAGCTCTCAGCTCATGTTTGTCGCGTGATATGATCTACTAAGTTAGGTATTGTAGAGATTTTATACTCTTGCTTGCGTGCATGCATTCTAATATGATTTTGTTCTACCAGAAGAAGAAAGATGTGAACAAAATGGATAGTATGGATAGTATCAGGGGTTTGTAAGTTTTTATAGATCTTTTCACCACCATATCTATGAAAACTCCAGAAGATTCACCACAAACTCGGATAATCACTAACGCGACTAAAATTTTATTTATGAAACTTTTCATATTAGCAACCAGTCAAACAAATATTAGTCAATTTAACAGATGCGTCATAGACTGATGGTGAAGTCCTAGATGTTATGTTATGGGTTTCAGAGACTACCTAATCAGTATACGTTTGTATGAATACAAGTTAATGGGTTTCTGCTTTTAAAATCATAATAAAAAAATGATTAAAACTATGTAGATTTCGTTGTAGAATAAAACTATTTCATGTTCTAGTGAAAACGGTCCACCGTTTTGAAGAGAGCTCTCTACAAAATAATAAAGGGAACTGTGCGTGTGGAAATTCATCATTTACTTTTATTAAATATCGGATAATATTTTATAAAATTCCCTAGCTTAAGATTTTCAGTTTCACAACTGTTAGTTAGTGTTGTATGATCAAAACATGAATATTTGCTTCACTTCATATGATATTAGATAAGGAAGTCGTTTTAAGTTACTTTTGTAATTGGTGAAATAACGACGATTTATGGACAGTTAAACGCTATGTACAAGTGATCAGTTGATTTGAATGTCTGGTTTTTTATTAATTGAGTGAACACAGTTCTGTCAGTACTAATATTACGGTTCACTTTGTCTGATGTGAGGCAGTTACCCAGCGGAGACAATAGGTGAGCTCGCCAAATACCATGGATTGATTGGATCATGCCATCAATATCGTTAGGTGCCGGCTCATTGGTCTAGAGGTTAAGCGTTCTCGTGCAAGACCGAAGGTCATGGGTTCGATTCCCGTGTGCGAGCTTCAGGGATGCGCACTACAGGTGAGTCCTACACTAGAGGGAAACTTCCATTCAGTGATCCCAGGTTTCTTATGGCGGTCTAAGATTGATCATTTCAGGATTTCAATGGAAGTAACCTAACTGAATTAGTGTCAGCTCAGTCAGCTCAAAAAGCTTAGCGAAACTAAAATTATATGTACAAACACGTATCAAATAATTATACACTATCATTACCTTGGTCTTGATAAATCATCACTTGCGTCACTGACATTTTGTTTACTTCGTCTTCTAAGCAAAACTATTTCTTTTTGATAACCATTATTATTATCATCATCATCGTCATCATAGTCTTCAGTTTCATTTTGAAAATCTAATATATTTAACCATTCATCTGCCATACGAGTTTTTGTAGCACGTCTCAGTGAAGCTGTTTCACGTGAAGCACTTAAATCTGCTTTTGCACGTACTAATTCAGCATCTAAATCAATACTACGACGTTCCAAACCAGAAATACGACTAGTGTAATGAATTACTTGATCTTCTAATTCATGAATTTTCCATTTTTGATGTTGATTCACACTACGTAATTCCATTTCTGATGCTTGTGTTGTTTGTAATTCAACCTAGTAATTTTTTTTAAAAAAAAAATTATGACATTAAAAGCCATTACAATGTTTTGATATTATAATTAAGAATTAATTTGTACTTTTAGAAAAAATTAGATAATAAAATATCAAAGGTGATTTCGAAAATGATCATATCAATACATAATATTGATTGATACATTGAGTCATTCGTTGTAGGACTAAAATATGGAGAAAATTACAATTTTATCGACTAATGAACACTAAAGTAAGTAGATGTTGGTAGACTCAAACACTAAGAAACTGATTGTGGAAAGAGTGAAGAATTCACTTCTTTTAATGTCTGTATTCATCGCCTCACTTGCTGACGTATTAAGGGGACAAGATGATTTAATTTTGAACTTATACCATTTTATAATTATGTATTAATAAGTTGAACAACCATAAAAGTCTTTTTGCATGATGATAAATTTAGACTGTAGACTAGAACACCTTCTCACCATATAAAATGATATTTCCAATTAGTCTTCTCTTGTACTGTTGATTCAGGCAAACGAAGTAAGTCAATATTTATTATTCTAAATCATTTATTCGAAGAAAACAGACTAAATGAATTTTGTTCATCAGTCTACGTCTTTTCAGTAATCATTTTCATTTAACAGGTTTCAGTGATTTGTTCACTCTCGTTCTGAGACAACAAATCAAAATTCGTTTCATAATATCATTTTAAGCATAATATCTCTTGCTTATACATTATGCATTAGTGATTATATGAAAGCTAAATATGAAGTATCATTTGGTTTGTTTATTGAACAATTCAGCGGACTTTGAGTTTGAGTATTTAATAAATAATTTCTATATGTAGTTATAACGGAACTCTGACTTCAAATTTCTTTCATTTGTCATTTCAGATATTCATTTATTTACCTAGAATATGCTGATCAAATACTCCAGTTTGATGAAGATGGTGATTAAATACAATGTTTTGTGAATAACTCGAATAAAAATGAGAGGATTGTTGGATCGAGTTTTTCTTTCGTAAACTGTAGAGCTTCCATTCAAGATTAGGTCTATTCAGCATGAACTGTGATCACAGGCAATGAAGAAGTATAGCGTGTAGACTACATCAGCTATCTTGCAAAATCTATAAAACCTAGGGAGTAGATGATTGGGATTTGACAAGCTCCTTTTTCTCTTATCAATCTGCATCATCTACGGTGGAGGCTAGATATTCATATGTCTACTGTACAGTAGTTCATTTTGTATTGAATTATGCCTATGTAAATTTATATTAGAAATTAAAGGATTCTAATATATGACCAGACATATCAATAAAATATAGCTTATGTACGGATGAATAAACGAGTGATCAATGCTGAAGGTAGATGTAAGCTACTAGGTAGCAATGGCTGGCCGGTTAATATTACTGTAAATTTTTATCCGTTAAAGTGGATGGGATATAATAAACAAGGACATTCATTTTCTGATTCTATGAACAGTGTTGGTTGATATGACAAAAGGACGGAAGAAATCTACGAGAGGTCAGATAAAACCTCCAACTGCTCTATAAATTTGTTCTCAAATGAAATGAGATGATTTAATGTCACCAGACTACTTGAGTTGGACCCAAGCGATAAATATGATCAGTGGTTGAATATAATAAGCGTAGTGATTGGGAAATAACCATAATGATGCAAGTGCATCCATGAATTATTGTTATTTAACTATTTAGTCTAAATATAACCTCATACTTCTGACTCCGATTTCTAACCATATTTTTCATGTTTAGTCACGTCACCATCATTGATCTGACAGATATTTCAGCTTCTTTATAATTCAAGTTCCTAATTTTTTCTGGGCGTGCTGACAAATTGGATCTATGGATATTAGTGTCAAGTACTTAGTAACATCGAGTGATGAAGAAGTACATATTATTTGTGTAAAATAACCTAAACATTGTAAATCTATAGCCGTCTACTATGATTACACAACGAACATTTAGATATATCAATGAAAAATTTATGCCTAAATCATTCAAACTAGTTGATACAATACTCCTAGTCTACGTAAATACTACTGTTAAATAAATTCAGATAAATAAAATAATGTCATCATTGAGTTCCTGTTAATCTAGGTGAGTTAATGATATTTTGCTGGATAAATTTTGTAATAGTTTTGAAATATACCGGTAACAGAAAATGAAAGGAAATTCAATTTCTTCGATAGAATAATTTAAATAAAATTTATCTTGAAAAATCAAAATATCTCATTCGATAAACTTACTTGAAGTTGCTCTAGTTCTTCACGTACTCTTTCCAATTCAGCTTTAATATCTGAAATACGTGCTTCATTATGAACTTCTGTTTCACGTAAACGTGCTTGTAATTGACGTCGTTCCGCTGCATTTTCAGCTGTACTTCCAGCAAGCGCTTGTTTAACTTCTGTTAATTCTTTTCTTAAAACATCTCTTTCTGAGCGTAATTCATCCATTTCGCGTAATTTAGCAGCAGCCATTTCTCTGTCAGCTGCAGCTCGACCAGTTATTGTTGCTGCTTGTCGAATTAATTCGTCTCTTTCTGTTTCAAGTTGTGTCATACGATGCATTTGAGCGGTACGTTCTCTATTTAACATTTTTAGACGTAGCTCAGTCTAAGTGAAGAAGAAATTTAGCCATATTAGTTGGTTAAAATATTACTTTGAAAAATCTCATAATAAGAATTGTTCCATATTAGTTGACATGTACTTTAAACTTTATAAAGATATGAATAAAATCTAAATAAAAATGTTCCTGTTTTTGATAGAAATTGGACGAGTTCAAATTTACTATACGAACCAGTCATCAGGTGATAATCAATGAACCTCTTACATCGTAAGTACTAAATAAATTGATCTAAACAACTTTGTCACACATTGACAAAAAAAATAGGTATGACATTAGTATACAATTTAAAACACTATTATTTAATTAGATTATTTTTAAACGCATTAACTGATTCTCACTTTTAAAAGAAGCACCATAAAGTAATTGAATATTTACTATAGTTCATCAGAAATATTCTTTCATAAAAATTTCTACTTTAAGTTTCCATTTACACGTGTTTTTACAGATACTAGACCGTACGTTTGAAATATTAACGTTTATATATTTACTATTCTCTTGGTTATTTATGAAATGAAATAAATAAACCTTTAGTCTAGGTTTAAAAACAATATGTCTTTATTTGTAAGCATGAATGCCAAGGTTTGACTTGATTATTTCAGATGAATGTAGCATTCGGTAAACTCCTCATTATTAAATCATGAGACATTTATAATATTAAGTGCTAAATCAAGTTTTTTTGGATTACCGAAAATTTATAGACCCAATAAACTATTAAAGACCTCTAGGGGACTTTAAAAAATACTGGACATATATTTTATTTACATGTCTCAGCAATCTCATGAAGTCGTTACAACACAAATTACACAATAGCACTAACGATTCATACAGTTTCAAACCAAGGATCTTGGATTTAAACACCGAATTAATGATAGTAAGCTATGTAGTTATGTCGCTACACTCTAGTCTTTCAATTGTTGAATGCATAGATTTTATTGCGTCTCACTAGAAAGTGATAATACTCTTTCTAGTAGATATCCATTAAGTTTTAATTTAATCATGAAATTCCTAAAACTCAGATTATATTCAACTTTTGTCACATTTCAGTTAATTTTAACAAACAAAGTGAGACATGTATAAGAATCATTGTCTCATATTGTTGCTAATTTATTCATGTTCCGTATATAGATTAGCACTAGGATCAGATATATAAATAATATATTTGTCATCGTTAGGGAAGACTGCACTTAAAAACTTCTTTAAACAAATAAATAATTTCTCAACTCAAATCCAATTTACTTTCGAAAATAAAAATGAATTTTGTCTACTGCCATCTATTCAAATCATTGAACAAAATGCATTGTAACCATCTGCTGGAAGCTAATACACTGAAATCGTTGAATCGACTTCGACTCTTGAGGTACCTTAAGCGACACAGAATTAAATCTTTGAATGGAGTGACCAACACTATGAAATCCTTGTTACCTCGACAAAGATCATGTCAACTGTGACACTTTCCATATCGGAGAGTTAACTACTGAAATCTTGAGTCCTGCCATTGGACATCTGAGTTATATAAAACAACCTAATAGTCCTGTAGAACTAAAGAATTTTTAAATGAAATCTTTGACAGTGGTACGTGCTATCTTGAACAATCATCAAAATAACGTGCTAAGGCTTTTATATAATGCTTAATCCGGCTAGGCTTGAAAGAATCGAAAGCCTTGATATTCACTGAACTTTTAACATTGAAATAACCATGTTTAGTTCGGTTTATATTTTATTGCACTGGCGAGCATACAAATTCAGCCTTATTCCTTCATCTAACGAATTTCATATTGTTTCACACCCATTAACTTACACAAGTATATGTCACCAAAATATCATATAGTTGACTTGATCAAATTTATATTTTGATTGTACTAAAAATATTCTACGTTCTTTTGCAGTACTCTTTAAATTTATATGAGTTTAATTCGATTGATGTACTTTGAAGAAGCAACAAACTCAAAGGTATGATACGTTGGAAATTCAATTGCTTTTTTTGTTTTTACTCATTAAACTATTATAAATATTTTATAGTTATTTTATTATGTATTTATTATTTATTAATTGGTTGGAGTAGAGATGAACAAATCAAAGAAATTCTAATTAAATATGAATTAAATTTTAATTATCATAATGATAATTAAAGGTTAATTTCTAAAAAATAATGCTTGTATTAACTATAACAAGGATTTTTGTCATTTTTTATTAATCACTAGTGATTGATATCTGTGACCTTATCGAGTTTAAAACAAATAGGTAATTTAGAAAATAATACTTTGAATTTGTATAATTACTGTTTACTCAAAAATATTATCAATAATCTTTCTGTTTATGCTTGTTAAAGATCATATAACATTACGATATAAAAAAATGCATTTCATTACGATTGCTGAAAACTAAGCAATATTAAACTTGATGTTTAATATTTTTTCTTATTTTATTGTTTTAACTTATCAATAGTATTCACGTGTTTTATTGCACTAATAAAAAAAATAGAGCTTTCGATCAATAATATATCATCCTACAACGAGATTACAATTGTCATTAAAATGCCATACGTACAAATCGATGGTTGATGATGAATTTAATTGTATTAGTAGGAGTTCTGTTAAATAAGCAAAACTCTCAGTAATAAACTCCATAAAGATAAGTTATGTTAATGTATGCCAACTTCCACTGACTCTAAACATTCAGTGCTATTTCTTTTTCCAATTCTCTTTAAAGTGAATTATTGTAAAATTAAAACTGGATGTTGCATATACATTGAAATATGAACAGTTAGAATATAATACATGTCCAATGCTTGTCGGGAATCAATATCATGGCATTTTGTTCACACAGGACAAAATCTCTGCTGAGAAAACAATCATGCTTGAAGGATGAGTGATGTAGTTTGAGAACAGCTGCTTGAATGACTAGATCTAATGCATTATTAGTAAATTACATGGCTAAATAATGCTAAAAAAAGGAGCAAATGCTAGTATTTGTTTTTCGAAATATGCCATGTACCTATAATGAAAGAAGGTAGTTATTTTCTCATGTTGGATAGGTTTTATGAGTGTTTAGTGAATGTGTTAATGTGATAGTCTTATCCAAATCATCTAATGATATTGTCATCGAAATAACTCGCACAGAATTCACTTCATTGTAATGAGAAAATATTGCACATGGCATTCTCCAACTTCACTTGTTTAGGAAGTTGTTTTGATCAATTCTAATTAATCTATGATATTAGCATTATCATATTACATTGAATAATAAACACTAGTGAAAATGTTAAGTGAATCGTTTAAATACGGGAAAATAAAAGACAACATATCGAACACTCACACCAGCGCACTTACATCTTCTAATAATGAAGTGGCATTTTGTAGTTTGACATTTTGTATATCCAATTCCATACGCCATTGTTGTTTCTCTTTTTCCAATAAATTCACTTTTTCTTCTTTTTCGGTCAACTTTATTGTTTTATAAAAGGATTTTTTACAAAAAGAAAAGAGATAAACCGTTGTTTATGCACCATTCGATATTAAAACAAAATTTTTAATTTTTAAACAAAAATTAGTATTTTGATTGTTACTGAATATTATCATTTGATGATTGGTATTGATTTTACAGCTAATTTATTTTAATTGAAAATTTTCTAACAGTGAACACCCTTCAAACTACATACGAGTGAATTATGTTTCAAACAATTTCACTATCGTGAAGGCTGTAAATGCAATATATATCACTAGATAATTGATTGATTTCATTTACATGATGACAAGCTTTAGTGAAACGACTGATCGATTTAAGTGAAGTAGAGTCATCGTTTGATGCATACAGTATTGTGACTAAATGTAATGCATTCATTGTGACCTGATGAAGTGTTTGTAACTCCTCATATTGTATTTTACACTAGAAAAAAAATTACTGTTACATTTGGAAATGGCAACAACAAACAAATTGAATTAATTTTTCAGTCATTGTCCAATGAAATTGAACATTTTGCAGTATTCTGTTGTATTTTTTTATGCAGTCTATTTTATTTTGCTTAGCTCAGTTAAATGAAGAATTTTTTTTAAAAAAATATGCAAATACTATTCGTAATGTTTGAATTCATTATGCGTCTAAAGTTCAAGTAACCATGTATGTGTGACTCATTTTGTTTTCGAAAAATAGCATTATCAATTTTAAAATGATAATTTTATGTCAAATACTTGAGAATATTCACTTTAGGCTTTGAAGAATTAAAAAAAACGTTTGACTGACGAATGATAAATAACAATATTTATGTGATTATCATTTTTTTAGACAAACACAATATTTTGAATTGTATCTTCATAGGTAAATATTAAACAATAATAAGATTTCGAGAGCACAATAAAAAAACGTAGTTGATCTGAAAAAAATGTGCTGTGGTCGCTCTACACATTTCGAACAATATGGTCACATATAAACTTGTCAAGGAATTTTACATAAAATTATTAAAAGGGCATTTTAGTCAACGGTTATGGGACATGTGCATAAACACTTTCAAAACCAGTTAACATCAAATAACCCAATAAACGTGGGAAATTCGAAAATCATGTTCATCAATAGCAAACCACCTAACTGAAATGGGCATTAAATTGACATCAAGCCAACCTTTAAAAAATGGCAAGGACGAATTTTGAGGTCTGCACAAGCTCTGGCTATTCGTAAATTCGAATCCCACTTATTTGTAAAAAACAAAATTTGCCGTAACCTGGAATTTATCCTGGTAATCTCTTTAGGTCATTTATGGCCTTGTGTTACATGATAATTTCCTATTCTTCCGACACTGATAATTTGCTCTCCCATTCATTTACAGTTATCATCTTATGTTTATTTGAACTTTTATTTAATTGACTTTTTATTAATTTTCATATAAAATGCTTTGACAAGTAAATATGTGTGATCAAATTGTTCGAAATGTATGGCGCAAATATATAACACTTTTTTCAGATCAACTATGTTTTTTAATGTTCTATCAAAATTTATCAAAGGGACTACTTTTTTCAATAAATTGATTAACATAAAAATATGAAATCATTTGATTATATCTCTCTTTTTGAAGGTCAAATTAACCTAGTGAAAATAATCCTTTGATTATGTTGAGATTTGGTTATTTAATACTGTAAAGACGTTTAAAGGTTAAATTGTTTGAAGTTCATTTACATTTATGAAACTATCTTGAAGTGTTATAAATAATTCAATGTATTTAGTGTTAGTAGTTTATTGGTGAAAAATGGCGACAAACTCTGTACATAAATTTCATAATATTTATTACTTTTCAAAAAAGTACAACTGAAATATTAAAGGAAAATATTAATGGATTAGAATGTATACAATACAGTATCTGCCACACATGGTATCACAGCGTTATTTTAGTCTCGTTTGTAATTCGGCAGGACTAGTATATTTATATTGACTGATCACAGAGTAGTGAGCAATTTTGTATTTGCATTATTCCTATTACTGATTGAGTTTTACCGACTATATGAAGTATAGTATGTAGGTGTTTTATACAAATATGGATAGAATATAAATGAACTCAACTAAAAATATACAAAAAACCTCCTTGATAATTAGACCATTTAGCTAAATTATTTTTAATTTTGATGATTAATATTCAAACGCACATACAGTTTGTTTAGCTGCGTATAATACTTTTATCATTAAAAAAGAGAATATAACTATTGACCTTTATTATATCATTTTTTAATCTGAAAGTCAAATATTGGACTTTGATTTATTGGTGTGGATTCAACTACAATGATTGTTAAACTCAGATAAATTGAGTTAAACTTCTGAAATAGTTGAATTCATAAAGAAGGTAACATTAGTTTATGGCTACTATGTACCAATAATTTAATAATCTGTTTTGGAACGGGCCATCTAAGCAACGCATTAAAAATGAAGCTTGTCTATGAGGAGTGACCGAGATTTATGGTCGCTAAACCTGAGAGGAGAAAAAGTGAAATTCAAAATTTCTTAGATCGAAACTAGTATAGTTTTTTTAGGAGAATAACTTTATACTCAGAACCTTAAAGTTGTTGGCGCAAATAGTTATAATTGTGACTCATCAAAATATGCAAATCATATATATTTTATAAACGAACATTTGAGAAAATATTATACCTTCTTCAATGTATCAGTGACTAGTGTTTCTTCCACCTCCGCCCTACTTTTTATCTATCCTTTTAGTAAAACTTTTCATACTGACCTTATACTATGTTCTGATTACATATTTTCTTAACAATGATAATATTTCGAGTTAGTTCAAAATCAATAAATGTGTAGTTGCACAACTTATCTGTTGGCTAAACTGGTGAGATGGAAAAGTGCAAATGTTAAAGTCGAATTCATATCAAAATAATTTATTCAAGCCCTTGACGTATGTAGAGATGAATATTGTGAAATAGGTCTACCGATTAAACAACACCAGTAAATTTTCAAAGCAGATAAATTATGAAAACTAAAGAGGGGTGATTTATTATATTCAAAGTATTCCTATTTATGTAACCAACGATGAACGCATTCATCGTATAAATTCTTTGAAAACAAAGAAATTTTAGATTATAATGTTTGCTTAGTATATTCAGAGGTCACAGTTGGAACCTGTTTATTAAACTGACTAAAATTATATTCATGAATATTTAATTTACGTTGGTTTATATATATTTGCATTGCGGGGTTGTGAAGATTGTTAAGTTACACATTCTTGAAACCATGAATCGATCAATGTTAGACCAACATTAGAAACCTGGAAGCACTGTACGGCCGTTTCGTCCTGGTATGGGACTCATCAGCAGTGCGCATCCACGACTCCTGCACCCCTCAGAATTCGAACCTAGGACCTTCGGTATTGTGCGCTAACGCCTAACATTTGGACCACTGAGCCGGTATCTATATTCCACTTGAAAATAATATTATGTCACCAACAAAATCATTATAAATCGAATAGCGGTAGACAGTTGTTTCATTTTAGTTTGCGATTTCTCAGTAATGATTCGACATTTGATTAAAAGTAACTGCAAAGCGACCATAGTTTATAAATCTGTGGTTTTCTTTCTTGGCATAATAAATGACTATATGTATTTTACGCATATTTTACATAAACAATGGGTTCAATATTCTCAATTCAAGAAAAAGTGAAGTGTCACCTACTTGTCTTTGCATTGATACAGGATCATTGTCAATACGATATTGGTCATATTCTTCGCGTAATTGATCCAAACTCCTCTTATAAAACATGGCATCAGCTCGTAGTTTAGATTTCATTGATTCCCATTCTTTGGCTACTGCACAAGAGAGAAATTAATGTCAACGGCTAATTCATTAATAAATATTTATTAGAAAATGAAAAAAGCCCTGAAAGACGGTTAATGCCTATGGAAGAGTCCGAAATTTCCTACAGTTTTATAAGCAACATGGAAGAGATCTGTCTTCATAAGGAGTTGTAACATGTTTTTATGGATCTTGAGGTCAAAGATTTTACCTCATATCTGTTCATGTTTTTGTCTATTGGCAATCAAAATAATTACTAACAGATTTTAAGAGGAACAAGGAGTTCTGATAAATTTTTTTAAAGTGGATTGGTCATGGGGTTCAATTTTTAAATATCATTCCAAGAGGTTTTCCTATTCCATTAGATATCTAACAGAAAGATCCACGATTTAGCATCAGTAAGGTGAACAGTTAAATTAAACTTCAAAACTAGCTGAATCACGTTGACTGAAACTAATCAAACTGTTTATATTTCGCTAGGTCTTTTCGGCACTGGTTTGGATAAAAAGAAAAGGATGGTAAATATAACATTCGAATACTTTGTAAATCCAACAAGCATAGTTTCATCACTGACAGAAAATCAACCGCTCTAGTTCCACTGATAGACAATGTATCAATATATGTCTAAGCATCAAATTTTTGAAGATTACAGCTAAGTCACAGTCGTTAAGTTTAACCTATTTAACCGACAAATTCAGAAACAAAAAGGTAATACGAATAACCTATTTAAATAGCCACGTATAGATTTAGAATAAAATAACACATGGAATAAGTTAGTTTTCTCAATTATTATAATGTCAATACTATTCAAGAAAGAATAGATTTCTTTGCTGTTGAATTTCAGAGATTCCAGTTACGAAGTTTGTAGTATAAAACATGATAAAAGTATTAAGCAAAGAAAAAAACACTAAAACGATTGTTCTTTTATTGTATGATGTGACACTTAAACGCTTGTTGCTTATGTTATTGAAATGAATTGCATTCAAAGTACTTAAAAGAAAATGATTGAATTGGGAAAGAAATAAACAAAATACGACAAGGTAAAGCAAATATTCCAAAGGAACAAAGAAATATATTGTCAAGTTTAACCAGTCAGATTGAGTTAATCTAGTGGAGTCAGTCTCAAGTCAAATGGCTTGCTGCACGTAACTGATAACTTCCACCATCTAGAAAAACTAATCATGATACAAATCTTGTTCCAAAGCAGTAAAGCAGTTTTACGTTTACTAACTGGACAATAATAAATTGCGTTTGTTTCGTTCAAACTGTAAACGTAATGCAACAATCTAGGTTCAATGAACCAGTTTAAGTGGTCAGTGTTCCAATATACCACAACGATAGTGACAATAGGTAGTTTTTACGTTCTAGGAATTTATAAGGTTACTTATTCATAAAAAAAACACCAGTACAAAATAGAATCAGAAATTTTCAAATTGCGCTTGATTTATTTTAATTTGATTTTAAGAGCAAGATACTGAATATGATTATAATTATAGCATAAATAAGAATTTTAGCTCTTTTTACATAGTAGAAAAAATAAATGAGATTAAATGATTAAGAATATATATACATATATATATCTTTCTATTTAAATTGATTTATTCTAAAATAAACATACCTAAATCATCTTCCGGTTCATTGTATTCACGTAATTCAGTTAACTGTTGTTCCAATTCTTTATTTTGTTGTTCTAGTTTGGTGCATTTTCTTGATTCATCATCTAGCAGTTCTTGTACATCTTTCAATGCACGTTGATTCATCATTTCTTTTTTCACAAGTTCATCATATTCATCTTGTATATGACGTAATTGCCTATCTAATATAGATATTTTATCATATAAATTAAAGTTTTCCGCTTCTAATTCTTCACGATTTTCTGTTTCTTGTTTAACAGTATCCTGAGATTATGGTAGAAAAATAACATCAGTGTTATATGAAATGAATTTTTTCAATTATGAAATCGTAGTTAGTTCTAGTAGTATTATTTAAGCTTTCTGATTAATGAATTGTCTTGATAATTATTTTGTGACTTAGACCTCAATCACATTTATACAATGGTTTTAGATTATTAAAAACTCTAAGATAAATAAAGTAAGTTGAAATATACTGTTCTGGGACGTGAGCAATATTCGTAGGTGATCATCAGTAAACTAATAGTGGGTAGATTATTGTAATTAAAGCGGATAAATCTCCTTCCGGTCATTCATTTATGATTTACCCCTTGAATCTGTATCAATGATGAAAGTATCTCAATGAAGTTTAATTCTGATATTGTCTACGATCAATACACTTAAAAATATACCATTGCTTTGCACAGGAGGTAAGAATTCAATCCTACATAAGAATTGCAACCGTTAAATTTCCACCAGGTACAAGGAAAGACTAGTGTTTTTTAGCGAATTGGTTTTCTACACGACGAGGTCACTAACCCCATGCCAATCCCTCCTCCTTTATCCGGGCTTGAGACTGACAGTAAACCCAGAAGGGCTCCAGTTAGAGGTTTGGAAGCAGACATGAAAAGAATGAGCATCAATTGGGTAGAACTGGAAAGGAAGGTCCAGGACAAAATAGGTTTTAGGTTGCCTATGATACATTAGAGTTAACAAGTGTAAGTAAGTAACTGAGTGAATGCAAATAAAAAATGAGATGTGTAGCTTCCTCACTAAACTAAAAATATATCTTTTCCCGAAAAAAAAATCGAAGTATGCCTTTTATAATGGCCTGCAATCTGAACAAATACTTTCATACCTACATCCATTTATTGATTCCTCAGCTAGGATCAGTTGGTGACGTTCAATCAGTATTGAACTAGAATTTTCGGAACATTTAGTTTTCAGTGAAATCCAAAGACAAAACAATTACCTTTAATTTCAAATTTATCAATTGTGCTCTCTCCAACTTAGATCTTATAATTACTGAGTTACAAGTATGCTTATTTTAAGAATGAACTTTTCAATTTGCTATAATAATAATTTTGTAGTATATTGCTATATTCGTGGTTTGGACACACGTGACTTGATACTCAAATGGTCTACGTACAGTATATTACCTGCTAACATCTAAAGTGAGTGAAAAGTGCAAAGTAATAATCTGTTAGTTTTAAAAAAAATATCAAAACTTACTTCAGATTCAATCAATTGTTTATGCATAAGTACTAGTTGTTTTTTCATTTCAGCTAATTGGTGTGATGTATTACTTCTTGGTGTTAAATCATTCACTTCTTCTCTAGACTGTGCTCTAGATGATCCAAAGAAATTTTGAGCTTGTTGTGCATTCATATTTGTTTTGCCAATTAGAGTTGGTGAGTTTAACATTTCCAATGCACCTTGGGTACTACTATCAAGTTGTGAAGACAAGTCAGAGTGTGACGATAAGTAGTCCTTGAGTTTAACAACTAATTCGCGATGTGTAGCCAGTTCATTTTGCAGTTCGTTAATTAGCGCCTATAATAATATTTAGGAAGATAAAATGATGATTATCATGTGTTCAAATAAAAGTGTTGTTTATTTTAAACTTTAATTGAACACTGAGTAGCGTTATTTACGCTGAAAGATATTCTAACAATATTTAAGATCAAAATGCACATTTTAATTAAAACAAAACAAACTGATGTCACATAGTTTAATAAATTTATCTAAAAGAGTTTGAGAACCAGTGTTAAAAAATGTAATAATGAAATAAAATTCTACGAACTATTTTGATAAAAAACTAATTTAAACAATAAACTCTTGATCATATCCATGACATATACATCTTGGTTTAAAAAACATTTCAGGTTGATTTGTTTCTGTACTTCGAATTCATTTTAAACAATCACTTTACTAGTATATAAATTAGAAGTGCGAGTGAACGAAATTTCGGCAACATCTAATGTAAGAAACAAATCAATATTAGGTACCATGTATGCTGTTTAAAAAAATGAGGATTTAGTTCTTCGAAATATATTACTTACAAATTGCTAATAGCAAAGCTAAATCAACTATAAAATCTCATTGCGAATTTGAAAATCTTTACATTTCAACAATCATGAAAGTTTTGATAATAAACCGATTACTGCGCTTCAGAAGTGTAAATAACCACTTTACTATGGTCATAAACAAGACATTTGTGGTCCAATTTAAACATGGATTGGTTGTAATAAACCAGCAGACTTTCATTCGGTGAGTTTAAAAGCAGACTTGTCGCTTATTTTAGTTAAAAATTGAACTCTTTCTCCACGTCTTAAACTCCGATGTCCGATAAGCAGTTAGTTGAACTATTAATAAACTTGAAGATTACCTTGTCGACAAAACTTAACAAACTATCACTATGCATCACCTGCAAGTGAGGAATTGTTGAAAGTACCAACTATCAACCCAATGAGCCTAGATTGGGTCAAGGTCACTTCTTTGCTAAACTGTGTCGAAAACTGATGAACGTAAACATTTACAGTTTCTGTTTTATGATAGCATTTCAGATCGAAAATTATCAACTAAGTCTGATGATTTTAATAACCACTGATTTGTATTTAATCTTAAATTGTGGAATTTTTAAAGTAGGTATTTGCTAGTTACATTATTCGTTGAAAATCCAGTAGATCTATCTAAATAGTTTCTCAATGACTTAAATTTTGCCAGTGGATGATAATTGAGATTAAGACATACACATTTGCTAATATTCATATATTGATGATCATGAAAAAAAGTCATTAAAACAAAGTTAGCTTTAAAGGAATGACTACTTGAATTAAGAAAAAGCTTCTATACAGTAAGAAATTGGTATTCTTTAATCAGTAAGCAGCCCCACTGAATTTTAATCATTATTCAAGTAAAATTAAAGTATTGTTACATAAGTTAACTAAATTCTAGTTCATTGCATACAAATAACTAAAGTGTTTGGTGGTAAGCATCCAATGAAATTTATGAAAAAAGGAATGGATTCATTCCGTCAAAAAACCCATACACTACTAGATAGGTTTTAAGATATTAATTTCCTCATACTCTTAGGTTCGCTTTAATAAAAATGACGTCTACTGATTCGATTGATCTTTTTGTGAATATCAATTGTGATGATGTAAATGATGAATGGATTCATACAAAAAAAAATAAATATACAGCTTACTTGTGTCTTTGCATCTTTTTCATCATGTTGATTGTCATCGTTTTCATCATTCTCAACTGCATTCGCTAATAATTTACTTCTTTGTTCTAATTGTTTACTTAATTGATTCACCATAAGTTCAAGATTACGTACATAAGCTTTACCTTCAGCTTCAGTAGAATTTTTCTCTTCTAGTTCAGAGCTTAAACGTTCAACTTTACTTGATTCTAAGGCTAAAATATGTTGTAATTGTTCAACTCGTTCACTAAGAGCTCGAACCTAAGATAAATAAAATGAATGATAGTTTTATTTCTATTAGTACTAATGCTGGTTGAGTATGGGAATTGTTATATTTCATAATAAATTAGTCAGTATTTCATTTATCAAACTAATTTGTAAAGGTAAATTTTTTCAAAGTTTACTTTACATAGTTTTCGACGTGAACCAGTCAAATATGCAATACTTTTTTATGCTTTGAATCGATATGATCTCAAGGTTGAAATCAGATCTATCTATTAATTTATAAGTTTCAATTCTTAAACAACAAGAATGAATCGCATGTTCTTATGGTGAATATGCTCGCTGGAAGGGGGAAATAAATTAGTATTTGAATTTGTCCTTTAAGTAAAAGATATCATTCAAGCGAATCCTAAAGTAACGTATGACCTAATAAAGCGTCTTCTCGTAGAGTGGGAATTGAGTGGAGATCATCTAAAACAGGTTACAAGTATATGGTAAAAACCTAACTTATTAAATACTGAGCAGATGTAAATATCATATAACTTAATTAGTTTCTTTAGAAAGTCTATCCCCAAAGCGATCATACTATACAGAGAGCTGATTTATGGAACAAATTAACGTCATTCTATAGTGCGAAACGTTGTGATACACTGATTTTACGGACAGTAAGCGTATTCAATCTTAGTAACATATGAAGAATTGTTAAACTGCTCTTTAGTTTATAAACATATAATTCGATTCCGATATTTTGAAAAATCTAACTAAGTTAAATAGATTATTTTCATAAACCGTGAATAGTGCGGTGAGTGAAACTAAAAGTTAGATAAAATTTCACAATTACAAATCATTTTTTATACATGTTTTATTGTATCGTTACTAAAAAGTGCTAATGAGTCGTATAGTAAGTGGGCTCAGCTTTTTAGCACTTTCTAATTAGCAATAACTGAGTTTAATTCTTTTAGAAATAAAATTTCATTGATTTGCACCACTCATTAATGACGTAAACAATTAAAATTCACTTCAGTTATTAAAAAAAATGTTAGTGAAATACTAAAAATAGACGCACTTGATTTCTGTAATGTTCAGCAGAACGTAACTGCTGTTCATCTGCTTCTTCACGTAACAATTCCACTTGATCACGATAAAATTCAGCATCATGTTTCAGTTTAGTCATTGTAGATCCTTTGACGAAAAAAAGTTTATTTTACAATAAATAAAGCAATTGACTTATTAAAATATCTTTTGATGAAATAAATAAAATCTTTAATGCCATTTACTTGAAGCTAAATTTCATATTTCGAGGTGTTTTCAAGGTGAATAGAAAAACAAAACACTATTTTTAAACATCACTTCTGAAACATATTTAGAAACATGAGCTAAACTGTGAATAGCTTATATTTCAGCTAATATATCACAGCTTCAACATAATGTGCTGACAGACTGATATGGTTTCGTATATGTTTTCGATTGGATCTTTAATAGACAGTGTTGTTTCATTTTTTTTAAGTCTTACTACATTGAAACAGGTCAGCGATATAGGTAACTGAATAGTAAGCTAAATAATAGATTACAAATTACAGTAGCAATTCTCTTGGTTTGGGTTTCAAAATGAACCATGATGTTCCTCCGACATAAAACATTTAGGTTGAGCAGTTGTCACGGAGCGGCAGTGATAGCAATGAATTGTGACTATTATTCTACGAGCGCAGATACGTTGATTATCATTATTATCAAGTTTACTGAGTTTTATCGTTAACCTCAATAAGAGTAACTATGAACAAACAGTTACCACTTTTTTTCCTTGAAACTAGATAGCATTGAATATTTATCACGAATCACTTCAGAATTATGCATGATGCAATTTCCATCAACCAAGAAATTATCACTAGATTTAAAGGTAAACTAGTTACTACATACTTATCGAGTTTTTTCACCCTTATTCTAAGTCCTAAATCTCTTTAGCTAGTATTCATATACAAGCGATTGTACTCTATTTCTTCAGAACACTAAAAACAACAAGTAAACCTCAATTTAATGACCGATTATTTGCCTGCTTTATAAAATACCAATACATTTCGGTCTCTATTGTTAAAGGTTTTACTAAAATATTTTGCAAAAATATAACGAAACACTTATTGTATATAGTTAGTGGCATTTGTGATGCTATGCCTTTTGTAATTATTTTTAGATTCACATAAAATTTATGCAAAATCAATTTATACATTGCTCCGTCTTAGTTGTCTACTATGTGTAGTTATATATATCGATTGAAACGAATGCTTTATGAGCAAAGTATAAATGTATCATTAACATGTGTTGATAAAATTAAAATGGAAATCACCATAATATACATCAATTCATAGATTAGCTGATGAAATGTTGAAATCAACGTATCGCCTTTCGTTCAGTTTCGAGTAAGATAATGTAAGAATAGTTGAGTGAAGCGAAATCTACCGCTAATTTTTCAGCAGTCTGTGACGTTTAAGGTCTATGTGATTTCATTTCGAACTTGAAACAATTTTTATATGCATCATGTTTATAATGAAAGACATCGAAGAGCATTCACTAGCTGAACTGCAACAAATCTTTCTGAAATCCCATTTCATTTGTTAAAGTTTCTATTATCAGTACAGTCAACAGTTTTCATAATAAATCTACAAATTTTATCTTGTGTCTGTGACGATGATTTTTTATGAATATGGTAGTGCGAACTCTGGTTTCAACTACTCATCTTAATATCTTTCACTTACAATTACTGAACACTTAAAGAAAGGAATAGTATATAAGCTTCTTTGTAAGATGTGGTATTGACCCAAGTTTCTGAAACTTTTTCTAAGGTTTCATTATGAATAGAGAGTTGTGATAGCTCTCCTGTTTTAATCGAATCATACGTTGCAGGGTTACCGCTTACAGGTATGATGAGGTAAAATGTAGAATAATTAATATTATTTAATATTTTTAAATCATATAAACCAATAATTAGTTACCAGGATTCGGAGGAGCCTGTTCAGCTTCATTCAAACTAGCAGGTTTCTGTGGAGCCAACGCATTCAACGCTTTGTTGTCAGCAGCTAACGTCTGCCAAAACTCTTGGTTTTTACCCAGCGCTTCTGATATCTGTAAAGGAACGATAAAACTGAGATGAAATGCTATATCAATACGTAATGTCATCAAAATGTTACTTGTGAATCAAAGGATTGACTGTTGGCGTTATTAATACTGACAATTGCACTAACTAGTGTATCTTAATAGACCAGTGATAAAAATATGTGATTACTTTCTAAAAAGCCTTGTATGCCGAAAGACTGTGTTGACCACGGTTACCATACTTTAAAAATCACTTTTGTTAACGGGATTGTAGTTACTTTGGTGAATATATGGTGTAACCCATACAAGTGGCATCTTTTATGGTTTAAAAGCCGATTTTTCCCATAAAAAATATCTTATTCGTGCATAATTATTGATTTCGTTCACAGAATCCGATATTAGATGGTCTACAAAAGACTATCATTGTAAAATTACTTGGTAAGGTGATTGGAAATAAGGAGAAGAGCTTGGGACCTTGTACACGTAATTTATCAAAGCAAGTAAATAATTATGCTTCTTGTGTTGCTGAAAATATTCGTGGGTTCATATCGGTGATTACTTAGATTAATTTGGAATTTACGCTTTTGCTATTTGACTACATTTGATGTTCAGCCAAACGATCGTATCTAATACTAGACAGCATTTTAACTATTAGAAATCTTTTGAAAATCTTGAATTTCAACATTTTAACTAATCTGATAGTTAAAAAAGAAGGCTTTCAGTATACAAAATCAAAACCTTTTTAGAATCGTAATTATAAACATTGTCATGTCAACCAATCATTTATTTCTGACTATCGTTGTATTTTATGACATCATATAAAGATCGCTTATAACGAATCTTTATAATTTCTGTGCATATTATAACATGAATTTTCAAATACTACATATCCACCTTCAAAGTTTACTTTGGTACCATTGAAGACTGAAATATCATTTACTACCTTGTCTATGTGGGTCTACAATTATTCATCGATTTCTCAAAACTTTCGTCGGAATATTTATTGATCATTTTTCAAGCATATTTCCTGTACATTATTTCAAGAATAACCTGAATAAATAGTCACATAAAAATGAGTTATGGTAAATATCAAAAACACTTAAAATAATGTCAGTGAATATATGTAAATGAACAGATTTACCTGTTGCACTAAACTCTGTACTGCCGATGCATTTGACACATTTGTGCTCATTTGTTCCAGCTGAATTCATGCCAAAAAAAAAATGGTGTTGACATTATAAAAAATTAACTTTTGTATTTGTGATTTATATGAATTCGCTATTCTAAATAATTATTCAGTAATAATGTCAGGAAAAAAAAAGTTCTGTAACAACATAATTTGTAGAAGTGAATAGTTTAACAATGTAAAAAGTTCAAGACAGTGAAATAATGATAATAATATATTAGCATAAACTAGATAAAGTTGAAAAATATACAATATCTATCTCTCAGTCAATGTGCCAGCGATAACATATATATGAAGTAGTCAGAGAGATGTATTCAACTTTTAAAAGAAATTAATGTCAGTTAGTTTGCATGAATTCAGCTCGTCAGTAAGAATAACCTGACTATTCAAAGTTTAGTGTTGGACTATAATAAATATTTTTAAAAGGAAAATTTTATCTAATGAAAAAGTTCATTAATTTTAGGTTTGGCGAATTTGCGTATTCATTGGGAATGAGATATTTTGTCAATATATATATATATATATATATATATATATATATATATATATATAAGGTGAGAGAGAGATGATAGGTGATTCCATAAATCATGCTCTAACAAATAATAAGCATTTCAACTAGACTACATAATATTAAATGACAGAGGATCGCAACAATACATAAGAAATGTTCAAACTCACCAAGTGTAATAAATTTGCTACTCTTGCCTGATATTCCGCATTTTCGAAGCGTAGCATACGGACTAACGCCTTGTATCGTTCTAATTCACTCTATTTTATAAAATAGGAATAGATATTCAAGGTGCTTAATAGTTTATCACTAAAATGGTATATTAAATAACGCTTAAAACAGGATTTATGAAATTTAAGTCGATTTTACCCAAATAATATACTAGTAATGAACATCGAGAACAATGATGTTTAGTGGGTCGTTGTCTGTAAATTCAAAGTTAGAAATATTATCAAATTGAATAAAGTTTGCCAATGAGGTATTAAAATGAGGTATCTAATAACTCACACCTGTTACCCCTTGTGGAGCATGAGATCCCTCAATCAAGATTTATTGAGAACTGTGGAAGTTTGATATTTTATCGAACTGACGAACGGGGCTATGTTAGATAACTATTAAAAGCTAAAAGGCAGGGAACAGCTCCTTACTCCCAGTTTCGGGGCTCCTCAACAATGAGCATCCACGTGATTTCAGTAGAATTTGAAAATTCCTATGTTTATAGGATTATTTACACAGACATTCACAATAGGTGACGGTTTTATACAAAAAATGAAAAAAAAATATCGATCAATAAGCTGAAAGTAGTTCATGTTACATTGTTCAGTCTGTTGAATAAACAACCACCAGGTTGTTCTTGAATCATAAATATTTTTTACAGTATAATTTTCGCGAAATATTTGAGATGGTAGCAAAGTATCGATTCGGTTTGCTTTATTGGTTTTTTCACAACTAAACGATTTTGTATCAAGTTTATTGAACTGAACATGAAAATTAACACTAGTGAGCAATCAAGCACTTTGATGACATTAGCACTTGAATGTATTAAGTGAAATTTAAGTACACCAGTAAAATGAAACACTATAGAGACAACTAAGAATCAGGCCACATAATTAGTTACATGAAATTTTGATGTATATTCAGGAGCTTATTATTCAGAACCCGTCAGTAAATAAAGACTATGATGCTGACGTTCGTATTTATGAAAGGTACAGCATCCTGGATACGGAATACAAAAGGGATCATATCAAAGCGAAACTGTCAACATAGTCAATAGGATTTATTTCCAATTAAGGAATTTTGGGTATGTTTAGACCGTTACTTGATATATATATATATATATATATATATATATATATATATATATATATATATATATATATATATATATAAATCAGTTCCCACAACAGAATTTATATGAACACGATAAAGCATTTTTAATTTAAGTCGATAGATAAGGAGGGATACGATTCATTCATTTCAGATGAAAGCTTCTACAATGTTTTGCCGATTCAAATAAAGATTCGCAATTCAACTTAAAAACCCTGTGTAGCATTATGCTTATTATGTTGATTCGTCGATATTCGAAGGAGGAAACAGCCAGAGGTGAATTTATAGGTTCTCCATTTTTCCAAAAATCTGTACTACTAAATCACGTTTAAACTGTTAAAAAAAATTGAAGTTGTACCCTACGACTGAATTTTACGAAAGTAATAAAATAAATACTTCTCAACATAACATGAACGTGGACTGTTAGCAATTCATCAACATAAGAGCATTTGTGTATTTTAACATGACACTATTGTTCCCAGTAAATCGTGTGCACAAAAATCGATAATGCATAATAATCCTTAAAATAAAAATAATAATGGTAAACTAACTCGAAGGAATAATAATTCCTCTTCTTTACGATGTGTACGAATTAATGGTTTTAAAGCCAACATTAAACGAAACCAAGGATCAAGCATCAGACTTGCAGTCTTCTGAATAATTCTAACTGCATTTTCTTCAGTCTTGAATTCATTAAAATTATTGATGTGCATCATCAAAGTAGGAAAAAGAAAGCATCAAATGACAAGTTACAAATATACAAACTTCAATTTTTTTTTGACACTTTTTGAAAAGATTAATTTGAATTTTTCACATAAATGACAGCTAATTCGTATGATTAAATATAAATTTTACTTCATACTCTTTTATGAAAAAAACGCATATAATGTCGAAGACATTGGCTGAGTCAAAAACATTATGCGTTCTTTACGTTTAGTTTAAAATCTTTTATAAACTTGTTATTGTGCAATAAGAGGTAATCGATCTGAAATCAAGTCACTTTCACAAATGCTGAACACAAATGGATAAACACTTTCACATGGACATCAATACTAGATATAAAATACTTCATTTCATGCTATTTTAATTGAATAGACTAATTTTGCATGCTGAACGGGGCTATCATCAAATCTGTTTCATTATGCTGTACAATTCATTCAAACTAATAAAACGAATTACGAATGTGTAAGACTTCAATATTATTTAGTACACGATTTATAACATTTGAATGAATGAATGAAAATTTAAACCTAAAAAAACTGATCAAAAATTCAAATAACATGTCTTTTTGTCGTAGTCACACACTGCCGAAATCATCTACTGATTTTCGAAAATCAAACAAAGTGAATTTGTGATTATTTGCTTTACGAAATAACGAATAATTTAGTATTCTCAGTGTTGTATTTAGATGTTTCCTATGGTACTATAAACCGGTATTATAGACAAAATTCATGAATTCATGTTGCTTTCAACTACGTTCAGACAGTTGATTATTTCAGTAGGCTTTTCAAGTTCTTTCAATGGTTTAAAAACTAACAAGGGTAGTTAACTATTTACTGATGGCAGTGACTGTGTTGGAGTCATAAGCTGACCAACATTGTGTTAAATGACCACACCAAGCAAAGCGATGAAGTTATATTAACTACTCGTCTTTCATGGTGTAATGATATCTTCAAGTATTGAAAAATAGTTTTATGAGTATACAGATTGACTGTTTAAAATCAGCTTTGCCATCTTCTATTCATGATGTTTGATTGTGGAGTCGCATGCTTTGGGTTGGTTATATTCATACATAAACTGCATAACAACTATTGAATGGTAAACTTTATGTTTTTGAAAACGATTTTTGCATACTGTCGTGGTATTATGCTAATTCAGAATTAAACCTAACATCTAAATTAAAATAACAATATTTCATTATTGTTTCAAGTTACTTACTCTTTGATTGGATGATTTACTTCTTGTAATCCATCCACGACAACGTGCTTGAAGTTGTATTAGCAGCTCTTTATTTTTAAAATAATCAAAAGTGAACGGATCACTTAGAGTTCCACGAGAAAATCGAAAATAGACCTGTTCAAAGATTATTTGAATAAAAGATAAAACATTGAAAGCTTTTAAGATTGTAAATGATAATAATAAATATCAAGTATTTTACATGAAGTTTCGTATACAAATTATATATATATATATATATATATATATATATATAACATTATGGATTATTGTATTTGTTTGTATACGGTAAAGAGTAAACAGTAATGTACTGAGCTGTGTGTAGATTTATATTGTATCAATAATATGGGTTCAAAATTCTTGAGGATGAACATCAGAATACAAATTTTCAGGTATCTTTTAACCAAAGTTTGAAATTCATCCACTTTGTTACAGTCTACATAATACATTATTTTAATCAATGTGTTTATAAGTGATTGAGCAGAAATTCAAACTGCCTCATAATGAACAGTTAAACAGTTGTACATATTCATAGTTGGAAACTTAATCTTGATTGATCTTAACAAATTAGACAAATTAGACAAACAAATCACTCATTAGCCAGTATAATAACGAAGATAATGATTTTTGTCTATGTAGAGCGAATAAAGAGGATATGGGAGTTCTATCTCAAGTGAACACAGTGATATCAGTGAAGGCTATACATTTTTGTTCAGATACGTGAATCATCTATTCTTCCAAACGTTTCTATAAAGTACTACACAATTTAATGATGTTGCTTAGTTTGTTAAGAAATAATTGAAATTTGGACTAATCATAATTTTCACTTATGATTATTGTTCCAAATATTTTTTTGATACTTTGATCGTAAATTATTTGTATTGCTTTTTTGAATCCTACCATTGATGTTTAAGATCAGAATTGATAAATCTATTTGGCATTAGTACATTTTGTGCGGATCGCCTACATATTTTCTTTAGGTTACAAGCATTATTAGGAGAGGTGGATAACGTTTAGTAGTGAAATTTTAGACCCACGTTTCGTACCATTTAGAACTTGTTAGCTGAATGTACCTGCATATCGGAATGGATATTCATTCCGCGACTCGAACCTAGAACTTTAGGCTTCGAACGATATCGAGCTATCCATATCAGTAGGAAGACTCAAACAACCAATAATAATGAATTATTCTTTACCCAATTTTACAAGCGAGTAGCTAGTTGAACTCAGTGCCTAAGAGGACATTGTGATGTCGTTCGAAGAATAAGGTGCTAGGTTGGAGTCTCAGGCTGAATATCAATTTAGAGGTGCAGGTACTTCCAGCTGACGAGTCCCGAATAGAACGGAACTCGCTTCCTGGATTCCACTGCTAACCACTGTCCACCTTGGCTATTCATGTTTAGTTTTGTTAGCATTGCTATTTTATATTTCTTTGTCTACTTTCTTCTGCCTTTTCAGATCCGTTTGCTAGGGCCTTTCACTTATTAATCTTGTTCTCATAAGTAGCCAACACTTGATTAAAATAAACAAAAGTAATCGATAGTACGTCAATACTAACACAAAACTTTTATCTGTTTGAGCAGCAATTTTGAAGTGTCAATTCAGACATCTTTTCACGCATTACTAAAACTGTGTGATAATGCGTCTTATAAAATTGTCAAATGTTTACTATCACCTTGACTCAGATAATGATTTGCTCTAATATAGTAAATATTCCACGTATTTAATTGAAATTATGTATAAAAGTACAATATACATATATGGATTATACTTTTAATTGATTTGACCACTTTTTCATAACTGGCTACACAAATTTGTTTTCTTCAGCCTAAAGTACAAAGTTTAGTTCTGTAGTGCATAATCTTACTTTTATGTTCAAGATTGGATAGATTTAAATGGACGTGATACTATTTGATCCTCTGTCCAGTAGTACTATGACTCAATATAGCAACAGACACTGAATTACTAGAAGCAAAGCGGTCATTTCGTTCAGGTCTGTAATAATATAATCATAAATATTTCTATTGATATGTTCAAATAAAAGATCTTTCCAAGGAGAAGAGTAAATGTTTCCGTAAATATGTTAGTCTCCTTAAAACTGTGGATATGTATTACTGACATAGAATTTGGGCTACCAAATGTTTTTACTTAAATGTCTAAACTTTGTTACCTCTTCATTTCAACTGTAAAAAAATACTTAACAATATATACACTTTATGTCGGCCTATTATTTGATTTTAAAAAAGATAAATACTCCAACTGTGAATATATGTAAAAACACCAGAGAAGTATCTAAGGAAATAATGTTACTAAATTACTGATAGGTTTCTTAGTGTTTTTTTACTTATTTAAGTGTATACAAGCTAATCCAAGTTAGTATTACAACCTTCCGAAAAATATCATTGGTAATAGAATACTTCAGCATGTTTTTTAGTAGTGAAAAGTGTCAATAGAAATGGCGACTTTGAAAGTAAAATAAACACTGAATAAATAATAACTTGTGCAGGATTCATCATATTTTAAAGATAGTTCATATTACAAACACCTGAAAACCAATTGATCAGTAAACAACTGATTTGTTTACATTTGAAAATGGTTTAAACAGATGAGCTGTTTGATTTTTGTAAGATTTGTGAAAAATCTATTTCTATCACACAATGGATTCAAATCCATGAAAGCACTTACAGCTCAAATGAAAATATATCAAATATAGAATTTTTCTATAGTTAACAGTTTTTATTTGAATATTTTGAATAAGTGTGACCAGTTTAAAAATTTGCTAAAAGGTTAGATAGCTAAACCTTGTAGTATTATTCTCAATGTTTTATTCCACAACGTTATGAGTGGATTTCGCAGATTACAAATTTTCTCCATGAAAATGTTGACTAAATTGGATTATTTTCTGAATAAATTTCACTGACCACAATTATGGTACAAAATCTGAATAATGATCAAATTACATCTAAATAAACATACTTAAATTGATTGGTTTATTCATTTAAAGGCGATGGACATTTGTTTGAGTTTATTAGAAAAATATTTTGTTGAATAAAGCATCTTTATTTGAATGACTAGTTGTTAATAATCGTGATGAAAAACATTATAGTTTGATTAATTGTGCAGATCTATATGCTACTACTTACAGTTAGTTATTCAACTATTGATAAATTCCTAAACAAGCAACACACCGTAACTGTGTTCATTCATACTTTATTCCTAATGACAACAGTGAAAATCAAATTAGATTCAAATTCTCTTTTAGGTGGTAAAAGTAAGTTAATGCTTAGAAAAATAAACCTATTTTTAGTAGATAGATTTCAAAAGCATTTTTTTGGTTAGCTGAATATGTAAAAATTATTCTCTAAATGAGCTTCATATAATCATTTAATGTGTGTGTGGATAATGTGTTCGACGGCATAAAAACATTCAACAATCGACACAGCTAAAAATTATTGCTGTTAATAATTTTTTATTTCTGGCAATCTGGCCACACAATATATATATATATATATATATATATATATATATATATATATATATATATATATATATATATATACTTCTAATGAATATTCAAGAATATAATTACATTATTGATTTCAGTGTGTGACTAACTGAGTTCAAGGTAAGGTGATTTTTTTTTAAATTCATGCCTCAATCCTGTTTTCTCATTTAACGATAACATAACTTAACTAGCAGTATTCACTGTGTTTAACTGTCAATTGAATAAGATTTTGACGCGGAAAAACAAACAGTACATTACTGTTATTCAAAATATAACTACTTAAATAGTCAGAATTAAGATCCACATTTAACTGTGAGGCCAACAAAGGTTGATCACAATTATCTGAATAACTTGTTATTGTACTTATGATATAAGACAAGCAACTAATAACTCACTCTTGTCTATTTGAAAATATTACATTGAATAAAATGTATTGCATTCACATCTTTCTTATAAGCATTTTATTTATTTACTTATGTGAATCTAATTCCATACAGTGTTACTTTGGTGTTTTGATTATTCATACAAACCATACTGAATTAATCAATATAAAATTATCTGAAAGCTTAACATATGACAAATAGATCAACTATCTTTTTTTTAAGTAATTTGTATTTGTTGCCTAATAAACTAAGAATAAGCACATTTTTCACAATTCAGTTCACTAATAATTATTGATTTCTACCAGTATTGATCTGATTCATTTGAGAAAATTGTACACACAAATACTAGCTAACTAACTAACTAGCTAACACTTATGTTATTATAACACTTCAATTCAACCAAAGCTGTAAATTATGCTCTCATAATGAACAGACTTTTTAATTTTAAATAAAAATCAATACATTTGATAGTTATCACCGGAGTTATAAAAGCCTACATAACAATATATTAGCATAACATTCATTGTTCTCCGAAAAAATTCTGACAAACGCAAACTTTAATCAGAAATAGTAATAAAAAAAATCTAGTTATACCAAAGTTATGTAGAAATTTCTTAAAAAAGAATGTTATCATATTTTTAAAAAAATTTTAGTCGGACCATCATGTGTTTTAAAAATATTCATTATTTTTTTTCTAAAACTTCATGTTTTTTTGATTCGAAGAAAAAATCTGAAGTAAACTGTAATTCGGTTTGATAATAAAAATGTTCAAAGTATTTTAATCATGAAAAATTCAAAAAAACCTAATCAACAGTTAACTTAATATTTAGCACTGAAATATTGAAATACTGAGTAAGACGTAGCAATAAAAGAGAATATTTTGTCAGTTACCATAATTGAACATTTTTAATATACAGAGTAGTAATTACAACAAATTTCTACGAACAAAAAACAGATGGGATCGACAGAATGAAATGTTTCAAGGTATGCGAACTTTATTGATGTTTTCTAATTGAAACAGAAGTAACTGGAAAAGTTTTGTAATAAAGATTTGATCTAAGTTTTTGGATTAAGCAGTGAGATGATTTCGCTGGCTAATTCATCTTAAAATAACACAGAATTAAGTTCTCAAAAGTTATCTGATTAAAAGGGATGTTTACGCTCTGTGTATCTGATTTCATGACTTAAGGGTTGGCTATTGTCTAAAACCCTGTGAAGAGATCACCCAAAATGTTGTTCATTTCTGATATATAGGCAAACAGTAAAGGTGATTGATTGCTCTCCTTTTCATTTATTGATCATCCATTTATTAGCCGACATCATTACAGCTCAGTAGAACATATTTTAGATAACTGAGTTCCATATGATATCAACCTAGTCAATTGCCTATTCTTTCAGTTTTCTGTCAACTATTCAGTTAAGATTATGTATCTTTGCTTAGGTCATCAGTTCAATTACTACATTGATACCATAATCTTGTGAACTTGATAGATGTCTCATAATAGAAAGACGGCTATGCCATTTGAAAATAAATTACTAAACAGATCTGTGCTGCACAGTTAAGGACCTACGTTATTGTTGCAAAGCCTAACACTATTTTTTACAACACAGCGGCGATATTATCAGTACCAATATTATCATCAAATGGTACATCTCGTTCATATATTACAAGATTATGCATGTTAATGCATGAAAGTTGTTGTTAGCAATTAGAATCCACTTTTTCTATGAACATATGAAGCTTACTATTTTTTTTGGTTTGAAAAATAGCTCAAATAAATAAATAAATTCAGTGTTTAAAGTAATTTACTTTCCACTACAATTTAAATCCCCTTGAATGTTGTCACAAGATCTGGCTAACTGAAGCAAAGTCCTATCATGAAATAAATTATTTTTGTTCACAGATTCTATAAGAAAGATTTACACTAATAATATATTAACGATTTCATTTTATATGATATGAAGTAATTAGAACTAATCTGACGTGTGTGACAGTGATCTAACCTGTGTTTTTTTAAATTTATGTATTATGTACTTGTGCTTTTTTTTCATAAGATAAGTTAACGTAAAACAGGGTTCTGACACTTGTTGGTTTTCAAATAAACCATACTGAGATTTGACATATAGACTGCTTTCGCTCATATTATTCATATATGTATACATATTTATATATATATATATATATATATATATATATATATATATATATATATATTCAACATTATTTAGCACTGTTTCGGTTTAAGAACTTTCATAAGTAGTTGACATCAGTTGAATAATAATATGTTTATTAGGTCTAACAACTCTGGTAAAAGGTTTCAATGTAAGAAGACATACATGTTTGTGAATTTGGGTTACGACTAGAAAGTTAAAAATTTTCCGAGTTTAAAATCAAGTGCTGACTCAAAATATGGTGTGTTTTCGTTCTCCAAGCTGATTGTTTTGGTTGTGGAGCTTTCATTCATCATACCATCATATCATCCACACAAACTTCAGGTAGAGGTGAAGTATTCAAATTTCTTAACGTGTGACTCATAGCTTGGTCTGTTGACCTTGATTGGCCGTTAAAGGTTAAAGGTCAATAACAATTAATCAAGATCAAGGTCAGTAGAACAAGCTAAGATTCATACATGAAGAAATTTGAATACTTCACTTCTACGTGAAGCTTGTACGGATGATGTTGTTCAGAAGAATGACGAAAGCTCCACAACCAAAACATTCAGCTCAGAAAATTAGAATCTGCCACACTCATCCATCTGAGATACGAATTTTCTCCACCATTTCAAGACTCCAAATATTCATACAAAATATGCTCTGCGTATTTCTGGCATCAGTAAGTTCCTCAGAGTACTGAATAGATTTCTCAAAATTACTGTTGATTGCGAATTTCAACACTAGTTTCTTATAGCTAACTTTGATTTGCATTCACTATGTTTCTGACGAAGCTTCTAATAGGTGACAAGTTCAAAAGGTTCGAGCAAGTTGATAAAAAAAATTTATTATCACAGCGAGGAGAATTATGCATCAAACAATAAACTCACCTTTAATTCACTTCGTCGTTTCTCTGTGTCATTTTCGTTCGACGCATCATTTTCATGTTGAGTTACATTAGTACTATCCACACTGTCAGTTAATTTTGCAGAATTTCGACGATTATGATGTCTTGAATTGTAACCCGATCCACTGAGTATAGCTTCACTTTTTTCTCTTACATTCCTATGACCTTTACGTTTCGAACGTGGTAGCGATCTTTCATTGAGAAATAAATTCCCAGGCATATACAATTCTTTATTCTCTGAACTTCTTAGTCTGTAATGTGGTTGAGAATTTCTCGGAATTGTCCAATAATCAAAAGGACCACTGTTACCACCGCCTATTGTTTCACTACGGCTACCGTTAACATTATTATGAAATCCATTCATATGTGAATGTTCACGTTTAGTTCGATAAGTGGCACGATTATAAGTTTGTATATTTCTTGGCAATGGTGGACGTTGTGAAACAGCTAATACATATTCTTTTGACTTATTTGGTTTTAACACTTTCCAGTTTGTATTACTTAATGATGCATGACTTTTATTAGGCCTCTGATCAGTTAGTTGATTGCCATTTCCCAATGTTATACTGATTTGTGATCTAGAATAAGGTTCATAATTTACTGATTCATCTGTTATATCAAGTTCATTAATTGATTGATCTTCATAGTTAATATCATCATCGTCCATATCATCAATGACTTCTTCATTTTGATCATAATCGTTAAATGATTTTTGATGCCTTATTGTATGATTAGAATTATCACTATGATATATATGTATTATACCATTTGGTGTAGTTGCAGTTTTCTTTTTAAATAATCTTGTTGTATTCATTGTATGTTCCGATTCTATACTTTGTGAATCTTGTTCATGTACTGTACTTAAATCATGATGCAATTCTGCATAATCATCATCATTGTTGTTATTAATATTATCATCTTCATAATGATAAACACCATTAATATGTTTGTCAGTATTATGTTTACCATTTTGACAAATCTCTTTGTCTATAAGAATGATCTCATTATCATATTCATCTTCATTGGACTGTTCCGTTTTGAAAGAATGTTTTCCAATTAAAAATGGAGTTTCATTCAATAACATAGTTGGTTCATTTTCATTCATATTAATTACTCACTAATTGATCATATATATAAAAGTAGCGTGATTCTTTTAATTTATGTATTTTAAATACAGTTAGTTGTTATAGAAGTTCAACACATTTAGACCCCTTGTTTGAAATAATTGTAATGATAATAAAATGACAACAACACTGACAACAAAGAAAATCTCAGATGATACAACAATGTGTCATCACTATCTCTTTTCAATAGTTAGTAAAAAAAAATTATAGATAGAAATCTATTATTATTCTGTGTCAAACAAACACTTTCACAATTATTTTTACTCAGAATTATGCGTGGGTTCTATTTCTGAGTAAAACAACAATCTATCATCATAGTTAGCACATTAAAATAGCCAATCGAAATTGTCAGACCTTGTAAGGCAAATGAACTTGATTTTCATTGGTTATGCTATCGAAATATTTATGAGCCAAGAATATTTTAGTTATAGTTCTACTGTGTTGAATTTTTTCTATTTTTATGTATTTTCACCATTACATTAATAACCAAATAATCTATGCAAGCAGTTGAATGTACTAAAATACATATTGACTAAGTAGATTATTCAAATGAATTGAATTTAACGAGGAAGAAAAGTGTAGAATGGAATTCGTTGTAACAAAAAAACTTGGTTTATGAGCGGTGCTTTCTATAAACCACCCACTAATCATTAGCTTAACAATAGATATTTTTTTCAAATATTGACTTAAAACTTTGGCTGTATATTTATTGCAATCGGTAATCAACAAGTTAAATGTATCCGTTACCTGCAAATTCAAATACACCGAAAATAACTATATCAGAATAGCCCCTTACAAATGGTGTAATATGACAGGAATTTTACAGTGACTTAAATTTTATGATCTTAGATTTTATTTTAAGTTTATAAATGCGATGCTTAACACCTGACGAAAACTGTATAAGTCCAATTCAAAAGAGCTTCGACTTACAAACTCAATGTATTAAAGGCGATAAACTTAGATTTGATCCCATCGTTCCAGAAACACTGGCACAGTCTGTTCATTGGTCTCTATGAAGAAACTGTGTGGAAAATTTAATTCAAAAAAGTAAAATCTTTTTTTTCTACAAGATGACTTCCCCAAACGGTAAACATAATGAATTTTGGATAACATAGTGTATTAAACAGTCAGTCAGATGCAGCGTAGAACTTCGTGCGTAAGTACATCAATTCATGTTGCCATACCACATTAACACAGAGACGCAACTGTCAATTCGAATCCCATAGTGGTAGAGATAGTAGGAATACTACTGGTAATAGAGAGGATTAGCGTTCCAAGAAATTACTCAAGAAGAATAATCCAGTGCGATAGGTTTAGGAAGACAAAAGTAGAGGTGTTGACGAATCCAGGAGATTAGGATTTAAGAGGACAGTGTATTAAAACATATCACTTTTAGTTTAGTGTATTAAACTGATATCTCTGTATCTTTAATCAATCAGTGTGATATGTATTTTGTAACATTTTCCCAAAACGATATGAGCTATGAATGTGTACTGCATAAAAATTGGATAACAGTGAGATATCCTACTTTAATCAGTAAACATGTTGTCAAAATATCCCCCTGAATCAAGAGTCTAAAAAGCCAGATTAGATAGTCATGTTCTGTTTTTAAAGGTCTTACAGGATAATGACATCTACAACAGATAGTATAATACAAACATCACAATGATGCGGTTGGTTAAAAAAGTTTTAACGGTCTGGTTTGTGTAATTTTTTATGATCTATAGTCCAGTTTAGCTATTTATAATGGGTGGTCTATACCAGTTAAACAGAAAAAGTAGGCAAGACTGTTTTGGAAAATTTCAACAGACTTAGAGAACAAATATATTAACACAGACAATTTAATCGTATAGAGTGAGCAAATAACTCAAAAGTTTGCTATATTGTGCTCAAATCCTTGTTAGCTTTACTGCGCAACTTATCTGATTCGCTCAGTATATCACACTTTGTACATACATCTTTCTTTTGTTTAATTACCATCATAAGTAATAATAATTTCATCCATTTATGTTTGATAAAATCATATTTCCATCCGTAAGAAAAAGCTAAAGTTCCATCGATATTGCACAAAATAGTCAGTCAAAGAACAGAGTCATGTTTTACCAGAAACCGAATGCTTCAAAACTAAACAGTTTTTAGTTTAAATTATAAAACCTGTGTTGCATAAAAAGGGGAGATGTTCTAATGAGTATTTTTAAAAGCCAACAAGTTAAAAGCAAATGTTTATTTTATTAATATTGAGGTTTATAAGGATGGACTATTTATCAACAAAAACAGTTTCTGTTTCCCAATCCCCATTGAATAAAAAAAGAAGACTTGATATGAAGTAGAACATGTATTCTACAAGCATCCAGAAGTTTGAGGTCCGAGTCCAGAAGAGAATCAGGATCCCGGATTAGGGATCCGGGCCCGGGTCTCAAAACGTTACAGATAATGCGTATTTATACATTTAGGTCGAATAGGAAACAACATCGAAGTCTGTGACATTGACAGTTAAGACGACAATTAGGAAACAACATTTGAAGTGACACTGATATCTAGAACAATCATAAAATTGACCAATAAAAATTAACCAATAGGAATTGACCAATAATTCTCTTAGGATATTGGATGAATATTCTATCAAGGTGATAGTTTTACTTCTTTATCACAAAACACATTGATATATTAAGCAGAGGATACATTTCAAATTCGGTTCATTATTGATTATGACATCTTTTGAGTTTTCTGAGTTTTAAATAAAATATCAAATTAACTAAACATTAAAATGTTTTTTTTTATTGTCTTTAATTACTTTACAAATGTTCATTCATATTTTTCAAATAATTTATAAGGTTTATTCTAATGTTTCTTCGAATAGTTTCATTTGTAAGTAAGATTCATGCATAATTATTGTTCAGTCAAGGTTAAACAATAATTTCTCAACGTCACCAATGACAATACATAACATATTGATAATTATTAATATCATGAGAAAATAATTATTTATCAACCTATGTGAGAATGACTGTAACAAATGTTTACTTTTATTTTAGTTAACATGCTTTACGAAGAGCTTCTAATCAAATAAAGAGTAGTGTTGGTAAATGTAGGCTACCTGGTTGGGGTCCGTGAGACGAAAGTCACCGATGGTTAGAGACCTTGAATGACATGGCTGAAAATCGTTTGCAATAGCACAGGTGAATCCACTCTTTGTGTTCTCTCAAATCCTAATCTTATCGATTGGTCAACACCTCTACCTTTATCTTTCTAAACTTATCTCACTGAATTATACTACTTGAATAATATCTTCAAATCCTACTCTTCTCCTTTGCCAGTAATACCACTACTATCTCTACCACTATGGGATTTGAATTGACAATCACGATTCTTCGTTAATGTGGTATGACAACCTGAACTGATGTACTTACGTACGAAGTTCTACGTTGTAATTGACCGACTGACCTAAAATAGTATTGCTGATCTACAACTCTGGTGTGTGCACAGTCTTAGTCATTAGGAACGTTCGATGAATTATTGTAAGGGATATTAACTTCTGAAAAGGTAAACATTCTCAACAGTTGTTTTGTTTGCTTAACACATTTAGATGAAGTATGTAGGAGGTAAATATTTGAAAATTTTAACAATCCGTGAATAGTCACTATAGTAACCAAAACTCTAAATCCCATTCGACTGACAAACTGGATGTATCCTTATACGAGTATTGTTTGTATTGCACTGTAAAAATCATCGATCCGATGAAGGCATATTCTCTGAGCCCTTAGAGCTGAATACACATCATGAAGTTAAATATTAGCTAATGTCTAAAATCCGGTCAGTTTGTTCATCAGAGCGATAGCAAACAATCTTTTCAACGACAGGGTATACCAACAGAATCTGATCACATTCAGTAAAGAAAGTTAAAAATAGGAACGTTATTATTTTGAAGTATAATTTGATTTAATTAACTAAAATTTGTACCCGTAGCCAGTATTTGTAGTTTTTTTTTAAAATAATCTAATCAATCAAATGTATGTCATTTTACTCTCTTCGGTTTGACTATCATGAGCCAAATATTTGACAAATGAGTAATTCAGAATATTTACAAAACAGTCATGAAATAATCAATATATTTATTAGTTCATACTTTAAAAGATTACATATTTTTTGTTTCTAAAGTTAAGACTGAAATCTACTAATCATTGTTTAGAAGTTTTAAACAATCAAATGTGATCGGTAAAAGTCATAAAATCCTGTAGTGTTTTTTTTAAGGCTCTATAAAATGACATAAATGTATCCTCAGTTTTCTGTCTAACCATTAATTCCCTTACTGTTGAAAATTATATACCCACTTTTATGTGATATTATTAAGTCATAAGAGCTTTATTGAGAATATGTAATAATAAGAATCAAATCGTTTTAAAAGATAACTTATTTTCAGTGAACACAAATAAGTTTTGTTATTAATGCATGACATGATTAATCTTTGTGAAAATAACGATGAAAGAAGTTATCACTAATCAGTAAAAGGGTACACACTAAAAACTTGTATGGCCATTTCTTGTTTCATATAATCCATATCTCAGTAGTTTTGTCAGATGTTATGTGAAAATTATTTCAATTTTTGTATTGTTTACGCTGTGACGGTGTACATTCAATTTAATTCATAAACTTCGTGTATTGCTTGTCTTCATTACCCCGTTAACAGGTAACGCCCCTTAGTGTATAATTCAGAAGACGAATACGAATAGTTGATAACGGTTATTATCTCAACACATTGATCACAAAACAACAGACATGCGCAGCGAAAGTGAGATGATATGCGAATGCCGAGGAGCGAATGAAAAGGATTAAAATGTACGTATGTACATAGTAAGACAAATGAGTCACTGAATCATATTATCGACTAACATTAAAGCTAGTACAATGAAGATATAACCAAGCATAATCAAGTATACATGTTCATACAAGTGCGACAATAATAAAAGTATGAAGATACAGATAAACTGTTGTTTCTCTAATGAGTCATCTGTTAAATAAGTTAATAAAAGGACTTAAATGAATTAAACGTGAGTAAACACAAATGTATGTGAGGGGCTAGGAC